TTCTAGGTAATTTAATGTAAATGTAAGGGACCTAAAATTAATTATGAAAGCAAATAGGTAAGTCAATGTGGAAGTTAATGAATCTAATGGATTTTCCTTTCTAGAGTAGGTACTTACCTACATACACCTGTGTACAATGAAAATGAACAATCGTTACCTACCTGAATCTGTTAACGGCTTGATGCAATATAAACGGGATTAATTACTTAAGAAAAATCAGAAGGTGGCGAAAATTTAATTTAAAAAAAGCATGCGTTACAGGTTACTTGAATTGAATTTCGCAATACAACTTCGTATTATAAATAAACACTTCGGAATTTGATTCTTATTCAACTTAGTCAGATAATCTCGTAGAATGGTTACAAGTTTATCCCCCCCCCCACACACACACACAATTTTCATAAGTTTTGTACAAGGTATGACGTTTGGCTTTCAGAAACAGCATCCCAGAAAATAATTCATGGGGGCTACCTTAAGTCAACAAAATTTTATGGCAAAACACAAACAATAGCACATTTGTTTAATCCTTAAAAATGCGCTATATAAAAAAGATACATACTCGTATTTGTTTAAACAAAACAAATAATAAATTATCACCCCTCTCTCCCTTCAGGGTTTCTGATTTTAAATAGTACCACAGATGAGTGTTTAAATCTGTGATAGTATACCTAATAATAAAAATACAAAATTCTTCTTGAAGACCTCCGAAGATTTCCTCTTTTATGCATTGACGAGACTATAATAGTAAATGAAAGAATTTCCTGCTTCTATAAATACTAGGGACCAAAAAGGGGGAAGAGAGAAAACATCCTTTCATCTGTGTTCCCAACGAGCAACAGTGACAGTGCCTAACTCTAGAGGAAGCGAGCTTCATGTGAGTGGCATCAAAGAGTGGGCACTCTTTGGTGGCATCAAGCTAACATACCATAATTATGTGTTTATATACCTACAAACTTGTGGTTGATTTTCCAATCCGTTTCCTAGGGGGCACCAATCCAGAACCAGTGTCCTCAATATTCACAGCGAACAGCTTTAAATAACCACACACAGCAACTTTAGACAAAGTTTTGTTTGCCTTGAGAAAGCTGACATTTCCAGGATCTATAGACCCTGATAGATCTGCCGCCCTCCCCCCACATTATACCAATCCTACTCCCAATCAATTCATAATTTACAAGCTATTGTCGAGCTGTTGATATGCATGAATATAATGGACTATTAAAGAGTTCTATTGTAATTTCGTAAATAAAGGCAATAGTTTTGACAGTGTATTATTTTAACCATTTCCAATAAAATTGTATGTACTTATGCCGATTTCTTTCCTGTGTCGCCCAATAGGCGGCCAAAATGTCTCATTTTCACGATAAAATTACCTATAATTATTTCAATGGTGTCAATGTAGAATAAAACTACATTTTATCAAGTAAACTGGAATCAGCTACAAGTAAAACTTTAAAATTACGTAGCCAACGTAACAAAATTACCAAGACATAAGCACAGAGTTCTCGTACACTAACAAAAAAAGAAGTAAAAAGAAAATGTAACCGTAAACGTGATAGGCACTTTTAGTCTTTAGTAAATTTCTCACCTAAAGATGTCGCCACGTACGCAACTTCTTTGAAAAATTTCATTTGAATTTATGCGATTAACAGCAACGTCGCACTTATTATTCTTTAAAAGGCAGTTCAAAATGTACGGAGTCTTGCAAGATCCTGTAGAGCAATTGTAGTTTAAAGGCCCGGTAAAGGCAGTGTATAACCTTCCTTTTTTACCAAAAATCGACTACACCAAAATTTCGTACTTTTTCGATTAGACGTCTCAATCAAAAGTTATGGGCAAAAAACCAATTTCGACAAAAAATTCAAAGGGCTGTAACTTTTGATCTAGTAGTCCGATCTTGGAACTGTGTGCGCCATCTCCATGGCAATCGATACACTTTCTATCAATTATAGTTTTAGAAGTCTAGTCGCCACGTACGCAACTTCTTTGAAAAATTTAATTTGAATTTATGCGATAACAGCAACGTCGCACTTATTATTCTTTAAAAGGCACTTCAAAATGTACGGAGTCTTGCAAGATCCTGTAGGGCAATTGTAGTTTAAAGGCCCGGAAAAGGCAGTGTATAACCTTCCTTTTTTACCAAAAATCGACTACACCAAAATTTCGTACTTTTTCGATTAGACGTCTCAATCAAAAGTTATGGGCAAAAACCAATTTCGGCAAAAAATTCAAAGGGCTGTAACTTTTGATCTAGTAGTCCGATCTTGGAACTGTTTGAAATTATGGATTCTACAGGCCACATTCTATAAGAAAATATTTTTTTCCGGTCGATCTGAGACAATTTTTTTTTCTGGGCAAAAAAGGCACTTCCTTTTTTACCAAAAATCGACTGCACCAAAATTTCTCGGAAAAAAACTTTTTCTTATTAATTTGGGTGCGTAGAATCCAAAACGATTCGTACTTTTTCGATTAGACGTCTCAATCAAAAGTTATGGGCAAAAAACCAATTTCGACAAAAAATTCAAAGGGCTGTAACTTTTGATCTAGTAGTCCGATCTTGGAACTGTGTGCGCCATCTCCATGGCAATCGATACACTTTCTATCAATTATAGTTTTAGAAGTCTAGTTGAGATGTCGCCACGTACGCAACTTCTTTGTAAATTTCTTTTGAATTTATGCAATTAATAGCAACGTCGCACTTATTATTCCTTAAATGACCGTTCAAAATGTACGGAGTCTTGCAAGATCCTCTAGAGCAATTGTAGTTTAAAGGCCCGGTTTTTTGTATAGAAAACGAGACATACACCTCTTATATATGACAGATTTATTTTTATTTCTTATTGAACATGATAAAACCATAGTAACACACACACAACTAGGGATGGGCGATAACTGTTTCCACCTATCGATAAGTATCGGGTACTTACCTATCGATATATTTTACTTATCGATATGCCGATAATTATCGAAATATCGATGGTTATCGATATATCGATACCTATCGATACTTATCGATAACTATCGAAATATCGATAACTGTCGATGTATCGATAAGTATCAGTATATCGACAGTTATCGATATGTCGATAGTTATCGATATATCGATAGTTATCGATATATGAATACTATCGATACATTGATAGGTATCGATATATCGATAAGTATCGATATGTCGATAATAGTTATCGCTAGGGATGGGCGATAACTGTTTTCACCTTCAAAAAGATCTAATTTCTAAAGATTTTATTACTGCGTGGATTTGGCATGGATGATGATGTGACGTAGCGCTTCTTTTGAGAAAGGGAGCAAAGTTAAGTTTCCGAAACGTCGAGCAACTACAAATAGTAACTTTAAACGAGAGTAAACCCGAAAATGGATTTTATTAATAAAAATAGTAGCGCTCGTTGAAATCTCAACAATAACATAATCTTATCGTACCAATAGTTATCGACATATCGATATATCAATAGTTATCGACATATCGTTATATCAATAGTTATCGATATATCGATATATCAATAGTTATCGATATATCAATAGTTATCGACATATCGATATATCGATATATCGATTTTTTTAGCTCTACCTATTGTTATTCGATATATCGATAACTATCGATACCTATCGATATATCAAAAAAAATTCCCATGCCTACACACAAGACACAACCCACTACTAATTTCTATTTATATACAACAAATAACTACTAGTGCGCCATCTCCATGGCAATCGATACACTTTCTACAATTATAGTTTTAGAAGTCTAGTTGAGATGTCGCCAGAGCTGGGATGATTACTCAAAAAAAGTAATCGAATACTGATTACAATAATTACTTTGTCATAAAAGTATTTAATTACAGTAATTAATTACTTCAGAAAAGTTGTAATCGATTACTTTAGCATTGTAATTACAATTACTTTTATTTTTAAACTTATGTAGGTATATCTTACAGGTATCCACATTTTTTAACGTTCATTGATATTTTAAAGATATTTCGATAAAGTCAGATATTCCATAAGTAAGTTAAAGATCTCCTAACTGATGCACTTGGATTGGAAGTAGAAATTGGAATTTATGTACATGCTACACCTAATTTTTACTAAATAGGCATGTTAAAAATAGGCGAAATTACACAGTACTTCATCAATTAATAGAATCAAAACAAATAAGTACAACAGACATAGAGGTAGATAACTAAATTACTCTATTGTAATTAGGTTAGGTTAGGTACCTTAGTATTCCTGATTATGTTAGTAACCATGATTACAATATGATTACTAATTACGATTACTACTGAGAAAAGTAATTAAATTACAATACTGATTACAGTACTTTAAAGGTATTTAGTTACTGATTACTGATTACACAGAAAGTAATGAAATACTGTAATCAATTACAATTGTAATCGATTACTTCCCAGCTCTGCCTAAAGGGGAACAAGGCAGACTGATGAGAGATCCTTGTTCTGGTCTTGATAAGCTAGAGAAATAAAATAATGGACAGAGAGAATATACAATCGAGGGTGACTTAATAACTGAATATTACAAATTGGACACTGTTATATTTAGATGTGAAATGTTAATGTTTATATTTAAATTAATTTTTACCAAAAAGGGGAATCAACTCGTAGTGAGGGTCAATATCCAAATATGCTTCCGCAGAAAACAACTATCAATAGTAATTACAATTCGATTGTATCGAAAACCAATACCTATGTAATCAAACGTTACCTATATCAAGGAGCCATCGAAAATATAAGAAAATGCCTTTGAACTCAGGTTATGTAACGGCCTTTTGAGCTTAGAAGGGCACTTTCTGCCTTATTAACAGATAACAACACAAACCATTGTTGGGCTTAGTGAATAGAGCGACATACCTAACAATATTGCGGTAGCAAAGTCTAACGTCTGACACTAATCAGGTAAATCGAATACTAAAACGGTAATTTGAAAGCGATGAAGAAAATACACAAGGCACTCAGTAAAAAAATAATAGTCCGTAGAATTAAGTAATTGTAATTTAAAAAAATATAAAAGGCAATCAGTAATAAATAGACGTTGAGTTTAGACGCCGGATGACAACAGACCTGAAAAAAATTTAAACTAAATCCCATTTAACCATTAATCATAAAATGTTGATTTTAATGTTCGTAAAGAGAACGGTTTTTTGAATATGTTGCAACGAATTTTGCAACATTATCTCACTATGCCTCTAGTGCATATAAAGTAGCAGTAGGCACAATAACAGTTGGAAGACTTGAGAATGAAGAAAAAGATCACCGCTTCCTGCAGGCAGGCCTGAAAATGTCAAACCTGCTCCTCCCTTTGCTTCTTCTGTATCCACAGCGGAAGTACAATTAGGTTTTACAACAACTAACGAACTCACTGGCGTCACAAAGTTGTATTTCAACGCAAGGTCTAATGCCCGCTTTTTCAGTGCTTCCCTATCGGCATCGGAAGCGTCCTTCTTTTTCAGCAATTGGTTGATAGACATGTAAGCCCACAACCGCTCCATGTTGGAGACGGTGGTGGTGACGACGGGTTTAAGCGAAATGGGCCCATCTATTCCAATGCTTTCAACGGTTGAGAAGGGCATTCCTGTACCGCAAAAACCAGCTACCACAATTTCAGAACCACCAAAATGGATGGGAAAGTTCGTCTCGGTGAGGTTGGTGGTTGTAGATTCGTACTTGAAAGTGACATTGGAGAGTAAAGGCGATGAAATTTGCCGATAGAAATTTTGAAGCTGAAGGGAGGCGTCGGCCGCTTCATAGATGTGTCTGGAAAATCCCGAATTTCGAATTGCCAACTTTTTTAAGAATTCTTTGTCGGCACCATCGCCAAACGATAAAGCGAAAATGGCTGATTTCTTAGCTTCAGAATTGAATTCTGTAATTTTCGTAATAATTTCATCGGTTGTTAAGTCTGTAGGTTGCCCGTCCGTTAGAAATATGACTATGGGTTGACGTTTGATTGGCTCCCTTTCGGATGGTTGGGTACGTTCCAGTTCTACCAGGCGTAAAGCTACCTGTAACGCACCAAACATCGCGGTCGAGCCTTCAGATTTGAGAGCTGTAATTGCACCTTTAGCCTTTTTGATGTTGTCGGCATTTGCGGGGTAGGCGCGTGGAAATGTGGCGTTCTGAAACAGGCGAACTAGGAATGTGTTTAATATCAGCGTATACCTACTTCTAAGGTTACCACAGGCTGCTGATTGTCGGAACCTTGATTGTAATAGTAGAAAGTGTTCTTATGTGGGTACCAGACGCTCTGCCCTTGGTCGTGTATGTTCCAGACTTTTGTATTGCTGTTAAATTCCACCAGGTTTAATGTGTCATGTTCGTTTAACTGGTCCAAAATGTTCAACATAGCTTGCTTGAGTTGTTCTATCTTCTCCCCCCACATGCTACCGCTCGTATCTAGTACAAATACGACTTGCTTAGGCAATGGTTTTAGGTCTGTGGGCGCAAAGAAGTGTACGAAGTAACCGTCTTGGACCAACACCTCTCCTCCGCTCGGATCCCTTTCAACATCATACTGCACCACGCACTGTCCGGCAATGCCATTCTCCTCTTTGGTACCTAAAAAGTGAGCCAGTTGCTTTTGCCGCTCTAAGTTTGGACTAAACGCGACAATAGCAGTGGTATCATTGAAGACGATAATATCAGCTCGAGGATCCAATGCAGGTTCATATGTGCCGATTTCATTTCCAGAACGGAAAGGTAGAGCCCTTAAGCTAACAATTTTTCTACTTTCGGAAATTAAAACCTCAACACTTAGGTCTTTGACAGGTTGCCCGGGATGGATATTAATAACTTGCTCGTAATGGCCGTCTTGTCGCTTGAGAAGTTCTTCGTATGTCAAATAGAAGGCAGCTTTTGCTTCTGCTTCAATATTTACAGAGACGGTGAAACGGTTTGAGTCCCGAGCGCTTGCGGCAACGTGAGCTGCTCCTAATCCTATAGTTACTGCCTAAACAATAGTATTGAATGTAGTACTGTAGTATTAAATATGCCAAAGTTTACCTGGTCGTAGTCACGTTTGGCTTCTTCCTTCTCTTTAACGTAACCAGTATAATTTTTTCCACCTATCTCCATTATAAATCCAGAAATGAAACCAGATTTGGGTAACACAATGGAAAATACCGCTTCTTGTGCTTTCTCGGCAAAATTTCGCACCCGACTTGTCACAGTTGTATGCGTAAAACGATTGCGAATCATTGACTTCACGTGCAGTTGATAAATTTGGGGAACGCTTGGTGCATTTTCAAATGGTTTCTGCTAAAATGGTACAACACGGCTTTCTCAGACCTGATGTAGTAGGTACAATACCCTTACCTCCTTTTCAGATTCCTTTGCAGCAGGCGTCAAAGTGTTGCTAACAATTAACGACTGGTCTCTATCGGCCAGAAAAGACGCGACTGGCACAGTGAGAACGAATCCGAAAGTGAAGGCTATCTTCAGAAATTCGAAACCCATTCTCTATAATAACAAAAGGCACACACGAGGATTTGTTACAACCAATCAGTGAAAAATGAAGAAAAATGTCTAGTAGGACTTTAGAACCACTTTGTCACAAGGGTACATTTTTGTGTAGGAATATTTAGATTGAAGCATTAAATAGGCCTGTGCTTATTCAATGATTGAAGTTAAAATTTTGATGCGTCGTACTACTGCTCTCTACGCACTTATATAAACAACCCTCAGAAATATTATGTTAAACCAAAGAGTAGGTATGTTAAACTTAAGGGAAAGTATGCTGTAGGTATGCACTAAATTATTATGTACTTACATCCGTTGTATTGGACTCACGCACACGCTTACTACTACATCCCAAGAGGAAGGAATATTATTAAGTGGGTCAGAACCGCTTGGGGTTGTGTGAATCTTTTTCGTTAAAAACCGGTTACCTTTACCGGTGCGGTACTTAATATTTTGTGAGGCATGCACTATTAGCGTCAGCATAAAATTGCGAATACCTATTGTATAAAGAAAGCACCCCTTTACAACAGTTATTTGTTGTTACCCCAATGTTGACCGTCGGAATTTACCATACAGACTGAAGCCATGATAAAAAGGTACTTACAATGTTAAATTAGTAGTGACGGTGCCAATAAACGAAAGCTATAAATACTGAAAACCTTGAGAATGTTGACAAAGTTTGTTTCGAATTAGTAAACAGAGAGATGGTCATGATGTAGGTACCTATATACTTAGTTTTGAAGATAAAATACGTACAGATTACCTATACTCGGTCATCGGCCGGTATTTGAAATTTTAATTCTGTGCTTTTTCTTACCATTAGGTACTATCATGAGCAGAGGATTGACTAGCTCGCGGTTCAGTTTTTATTGCTGATCGTCTAGCCCAGTGGTCCTCAACAGTCAACCTTTTAAATACTGCGACCCCCATTTTCATATAGAGTGGTTTGCCGACCCACCTATGAAAATACATACTAATATAAATGTCTACAATATCGTAATATGTAACGCAAAGATTCCTTATAGGTAACTTTAGCGCGTTTTCCATGAATTGATAAGTACCTACTTCCCGAAAGATCATACAACGGACTATTTATGTGTACAAAAGAAAATAAGTTAAGGCATAAATATTCGTATAAATAAGAAACTTAGCATGTGCATACTTGGTGTTAAATTACGCGATATGTTTGCCTTTACTAGAAAAATCTTTAGTTAAAATTTCAAAAAAATATTCTGCCAAATTTGCATAATTGGGACGAGTTGGGTTAGTTTAGATTAGTTCTGCATGGAAGTTTCAGGAAAACGGACTGACAAAAGGTGACTCGCACGAAGATAGTAATAGCTGTAACTGGAGCATTTTATTGAATACATTTTTTTGCGATTTTTCCCGTCGAATTACGCTAGAGTTGAGTCAAAGAGTCACAGTTTTGAAATCATTCCCCCAAACAAATAATGGAATTACAGCAAAGAAAACTGCCATTAAATCAGTAAAATCAAGTAAATAAAAGTTCATTGTTGGTGTCGCTAACATAAAAGTCAAATTTTGTGCAACCGCTTACCTAAGAGATTTTTTCAATAAAAATTAACCAGTAATCAAGTTATGTGGATGTGGAGGTAGAGGTAGAGGTTTCATTAATCAGCAAATAAACCAGCATTGGAGGCAGGCCTGTAATATCCATTCAATCTTTATATTCCACCCAGAAAATTGTTGGAAAATTTCCATACCTGCGGAACAGTTTTTTAGAAACCATCTAATATCAACCCCAAATTGACAAGTAGCAATTAGCAGTAACAGTCCATCGCGTCCATGAACGAGAAGATTGTAAACGAAGGGTAGTTATATTTGTGATTTCGCCAAGTTACTTTTAAGATCCATTGTCAAGAGAAATATTAATCTGTACAATATTTAGAGGTAAAATTTTAAGTAACAGATTTAAAAATCCAAATAAGATTACAATTTTGCATTTTTAATGTAATTTGCGAGTCAAAGAACCCGATGAATTTGGTGTGGGTTCCAAGTTGCAGTTTCTCGGAATTAGAAAAAAGATATGGAATGAAACCAAATTCAATAGGTTATTTATTACCTATTTTATCATGTCAATAACAAATAATAATAATGGATTTTATTGATTAGGAAAAAAAATGGTTCCTACACCATAACCAATAGGTTCAGGGTCAGATAAACCAGTAGGTTACCTGTTCAGACCAGTAGGTTACCTGTTCAGACCAGTAGGTTACCTGTTCAATGAAGATTTGGTTTGGGTGTAAATGTACATACCTACTTGTGTTAGTCGAAATCAAATTTAAAAAAATTCGTTAATTCGTTATGGGAACGCAAAGAAATTGGGGCGAACTGTACTGTCTTTGATTTATATGGAACCCCCATACTTAATTAATTAATGGCTTCCGCAAATTGAATGTTAAAAAGTATCTCATTAAAGGTAAATTTTATAGAAATTCATTGCTTCAAATCATAGTCTTGCGAAGATTTGTACAGAACAGTATTCTACAATTTACACAGATATTAATCGCAGTCTAATGACATTTCGTAATAGTCAAACTAATTCGGAATTATTGGACATATTATATCTCCCTTCCACATGTGATCTAAACGCGTACAATAAAAATTTTTCAGTTCTGCCATGGTCACTGGTGGTATTATAGTCAATGTTTTGTCAGTCATGGCAAAAATATAGGAAAAACCTGCTATTATTTCCGCCAATTAAATTATCAAAGATTTAATTGCATTATAGGTTCTGCTATAAAATTTTACGTTATACACCACAATAAAAGGCAGTGAAAGTTTCATTCCCGAGTGGCGGTTAAAATACCTTTGATATAATAGATAACTATAAGTACCTATTATGTATTTTTTTGTTTTATAAACATTACGCCGTAGTTATAATGCCGTCGAAGAAAGCCTTCGCGTAAAAAAATACTAAGGGAATATGGTTAATTTCACGCCCAAGGGTAGGAAGGTTGGGAACTTTGTATACAACTCTGTTTTTAAATTATAGTACCTACAGCTACTTTTTTCAATAAACGGATATTATTATTATTATTATTACTTCGATGAAACTCCTCATCGAAAGATCCGACTTTAGAAAAGTCTCAATCCCTAACTCTTTGCACCATCGAGGTATCTTGGGGGATGGTTGCACGTTGGCTAACCTGTGGTTTTTTCAAGGAAACAATGGAAAAATGGAAAATTCCTGGAAAACCAGGACGGTCGTCTAAGATTAGGAAAAATTTACAAAGACTAATTAACTAATATCAAATAGTACCTAAGCAAGTAAATAAGTTGTTTATTTCTGACAGTACAAAAGTATCAAATCGGCATCAATTAGGACAGCAAACCCCTGCAAACCTAAAAGCAGATAATGCAATCGCAGTTCAATCATACACAAGAAATGCTCTTACTCGTTTTTTAATATGCAGAAGTGATCGAAGAACTTTGTTGACGTTTGTAGTTCAGCGTGTACCTGTGGGCACTCGTGCAGCAGTGTGCAGTGTCCTTCTTTGTCCATTGGTGTTTTTGGGCAAGGGATAATATCTGTTATTGTTTCATTTACCCCCAGTTTGAAGTTTCCTAAATCATGCAATAAATTTGCGTAAATATTGCAAGTTGTGCACAAACCTTTTGGAGTCTGGATAGATTCGTTCTCTAATATTGCATTTAACCATGGAAGAACATCTAGAAGGATCTCCAGAGGTGACCGTGGTGTTGATGATGCATAGATTGGAACGTTTGTAGTAAACGCAATTGTTTGAACTTTGTTTACGACCTGAAGATCTTCTGTTGAAAATAATAAATTTTGATAGTTAGTTTACATGTGTGCCAAAACCTCACCAAAAGCTGGGGCGATAGCGAGTGCTGAGAATCCCGTGCCGTAGCTACCAGCTCCTGGAAATCTGGATGCTTGCGTCGCTTCCTCTGTGTCAACGGCGCTCGTATCGTTAGGTTTCACAACTACTAATGAACTTACTGGCGTTACAAAGTTGTACTTCAACGCGAGATCTAAAGCTTGCTTCGTCAAATTTTGCTTATCTCCATCAGAAGCTTCCTTTTTCTCCAGCAACTGTTTAATCGTCATATACGCCCACAATCGTTCCATGTTGGAGATGTTTTCAAAGACGGCCGGTTTAAATGAAACTTCTCCAGCTACACCGGTTCCGTCGATCATTGGAATCGGTGTTTCGGTACCGCAAAACCCGGCCACCACAATTTCCGAACCACCGAAATAAATTGGAAATTTCGCTTTTGTGAGACTGGTCGTCGTGGGTGCGTACTTAAAAGTGACATCCGACAGTAAAGGTGATGTGATTTGGCGATAGAAACCCTCGAGTTGCAAAGAAGCGTCGGCATCGTCATAAATGTGTCTGGAAAATCCCGAGTTTCGAATTGCTAATTTTTGTAAGAACTGCTTATCGGCACCACCTCCGAATGATAAAGCGAAAATCGGCGATCTTTTTGCTTCCGAGTTTAATTCTGTAATTTGCGTGATGATTTCATCGGGTAATAAGTCTGTAGGTTGGCCGTCAGTTAAAAATATGACTATGGGTTGGCGTTTGATCGTGTCGCTTCCAGAAGGTTGAGTGCGTTCCAGCTCCACTAGGCGTAAGGCAACTTGAAGAGCACCAAACATTGAAGTGGAACCATCAGACTTGATTGCCGATATTGCATCTTTGGCCTTTTTGATATTGTCGGCATTTGCAGCGTAAGCGCGTGGAAATTTGGCGCCCTGAAATGTGAACCTCATGTATCAAATTAGAAGTTTTTGCAATACCCACCTCTAATATTTCAATAGTCTCCTTGGTATCGGGTTGTTCATTATAATAATAGAAAGAGTTTTTACGAGGGTACCAAACACTTTTTTCTGGGTCATCGATATTCCATACCTTTGTGTTGCTATTAAATTCCACCAAATTCAGTGTGTCATGTTCGTTTAACTGATCCAAAATGTTCAGCATGGCTCGTTTGAGTTGCTCTATCTTCTGCCCCCACATGCTACCGCTCGTATCTAGTACAAAGACGACTTGCTTAGGCAACGGTTTCAGGTCGGAGGGCGCAAAGAAGTGTACAAAGTAACCGTCTTGGACCAGCACCTCGCCTCCACTTGGATCCCTCTCAACATCGTACTGCACCACGAACTGTCCAGAAAGACCTTGCTCCTCTTTGGTACCCAATACGTGAGCCAATTCCTTTTGCCTCTCCAAATTTGGACTAAACGTGACGATCGCGGCCGTATCATTGTGGATGGTAATATCCGCTCGAGGGTCCAGTTCAGGTTTATCGGTTCCAATTTCATTACCGGAACGGAGGGGTGGGGCCTTCAAGTCTACGATTTTTCTACTTTCGGAAATTAAAACCTCAACGCTTAGATCTTTAACAGGTTGACCTGGGTGGATGTTAATGACCTGTTCGTAATGGCCGTCTTGCCTCTTCAGAAGTTGTTCGTACGTCAAATAAAATGCGGCCTTTGCTTGAGGCTCGACATTTGCAGAGACAGTAAAACGGTTGGAGTCACGTGCGCTAGCTGCTACATGCGCCGCGCCCAAACCACTAGCGACGGCCTGCAATTAAAAGTTGAGAAAATGCATTTCGATAAAGATCCCCACCTGGTCGTAATCGCGCTTGGCTTCTTCTTTCTCTTTAACGTAGGCGGTGTAATTTTTACCATTGATTTCCATTATAAAACCGGAAATGAAACCAGATTCGGGCAGCACGACAGAAAACACAGCTTCTTGGGCCTTATTTCCAAAATTTCGAACCCTGCTTGTTACGGTTGTAAGCGCATATCGATTGCCAATGTTCGACTTGACGTGCATTTGATAAATTTGAGGAACCTCAGGTACGGTTTCTATCGGTTTTCCCTAAAAGTGAAAATTTTGCAACGGACATAAAAGGAAAAGTGTACTTACTTCACCCTCTGACTCCTTTGGGTTTGAGGGTGCGGTGCTGCTAACCACCAAAGATTGGGCACCATCCTCAGTTGGGGCAGTCAAAACTGACGGGACTAGGAAAAATCCAAAGAGCAGTAAAATTTTAAAACGCATTCTGCGAAATCAAAGCGTACGGGATGCTAATTCACTGACTGAATATGAAACAATAACAAACATAGCAAAAATTAGGATTATTTAAGAGTTGTTATTTGGGGGGGATTGAAAATAGGGACGTCATTGACTTGAAGATTTTCGCAGAAACCGGTCCAGCTTCAGGAATTATTTTTAAACAAACGCGTTACCCAGCTTTACTACGAGTACCTACATCTTCAAGGTCGATGTATATTTGCCGTAAAGCAATTTCGCACCTTAGGTATAAGAGGTTATACCTATGACATAATTAATCAATCATAAATGTAAAATTAATCAACGGCTATAGAGTGTACACAATTATGTAACTAAATTTCTTGTGACGACAGTAACGTTATCACATTTTCGTATTTTCGATTTGTATGCTGATGAACTAATTAATATTCTGTACGTCATTGCGATTCTGATGTTAATAACGCTAAGTAGCTACCGATAGCAAACAGTTTGTTCGAAAAATATATTTATAGAAGAGAAATCTCTATTCCCAAAACTATTGATAAGGTTTCTTCAGAGTAGTGATGTAATGCTGTTTCATGTTCAAGGGTTATATGTACCTATAGATACCATCCAAGAAATACTTAGATAATTTGTTATTATTATTGTTACTTGTTCTAATTATATATCTTCGTTTTTTTAAATAAAACTCTTGGTAAATACACACGACGACATTCCTTCAATCTTCATCTCATTTCGAGACAATCCCAAGAATGGGCACTTATAATAAACATTTCATATTATTAATTTGACGCTAACGTTCCTAATCAGAAGCTGTTATAAATAGCGGCTAATGATAAACACTTTGTTTCCCAATGGTTCCGGATGGATCGTCAACCAGTAGGTGTACAAATTTTTCTTCTTTTGCATGTATGTAGAGATCTACCCTGAGTACCTAATACCTATAAGTCAGACAATCATCAGCGAAAGTACCTACCACCACCTGCACAATCACGTATAGGTATGCCTTTTACTATGCGATCAAAAAAGAGTTGCTGTCAGGTCACCTTTGGAAGTAACACACTTGAAACCTCCCCATCCACACCAAACCCGTACCAAACAGGAAAACCTAAAAGACGCTCGACGCGAATTTGGTTATAGAGCATCAGGGTCTTTTAATATTCCGAGTCTGCATCTCTGGTGTAAGGAATCTCAGGTCAACCCCAAAATGAAAAACTTAATCCCATGTCCCATAACAAACATTTTTATACAAGGGTGTGATTGGGGAAGTGGCAAGTGAATAGATTCTTATTACTTGCGATGCATAGTCCAATCCACCCTCATTCGACTTCTCCTGCCACTGATCGGAAAAATCACGCCAAAAACCTACAAAAAAATTGTATGAGGACAACAGACATTAACGTAAACATATGACTGTGACCCCGAAGCCATGGAACTTCAAAGGTCCCAAATCGAAACAAATTATTCGCGCCAAATTAAGAATTATACAACGGGCAAGTTTTGTAAAAGTGTTTTTCTGAAACTACTTTAGAAACAACTACTTTCGTCTCTAAAAAGGGCGAAGAAAGTGACTAGTGAGGAAAGTAAAAAACAATTGCTCCGTTAATCTTAATAATGACATTTAAAACTAAAACACACCTGTATCTAGATTGCTGTGTCCAACTTAATTATTGCATACGATAATTTTTCAATTTTGATTGTAGTTAAAAAAAAATTATGTGTAGAACTTGAGAAGAAAGTGTTTTTCAACTCTCGTTTAGTTGACACACTCGCTACGCTCATGTATCAAACTTTGAACTCGAGTTGAAAAACTCCACTTTCTTCTCTAGTTGTACAAATAACAATCCTGTAGCCTAAATAGGTACCTAACAGCTAATTTTTACAAAAATGTATTGAATACGAATAGGTACCTACCCACACGTAAGAAGGCTAGAAATCACGCATCTCCACTATTAATACGCCGCGGAGCACGTTGACTTATCCTGCAGACTCTAAATCAGATAGCCCGAGGTAGCCTTCTTATGTGTAACGTGTCGGTATCAGTACCGAGATCTTTTGTTTTGCGGGAATACCAAAATGAATACATTGCAGGAACTTCAAAACGTATACAGTGCTTATTAAGAAGTAGACATAGGGATTTATGTATATTGTTTTCCCTATGTCTACTTTTAAATGAAAAAATCCCATCGCCTAATTTTATGCAACCCAAATAACTTCATAAGATCTGGCTGTCACATTAATTAATTGGCCTGTACGTCATAATGGCCCGTTGGAAATTTATAAGTATGTGCTGTATTTAGTTTCTTGCAGTATTAATAAGTTATTAACACGTTTCTCTAATTGGGGTTGATGTTAGGTTGTTAAAAAATTAAAAAATTCTGTTTTAATTGAAGTGTTTTACAATGAATTTATCATTTTTTGTCGTAGCATGAAAGTGATGAAATACAATGATAGGCGACGCGCCTCGTTTGGATTGTATATTTTGTTACTTTTAATTATCAGCTGCAATTTAAAAAAAAACCTGTATTGTAATTGATTTCCGAAAAAGGAGTACTTTAAAATGAAGCAAAAAATGTTTTTGTGGTGCACCGCAGAGCTACCCCCCGCCACCTTCATTACTACACTAATACTTTAATGGCCCGTAACCTATGCAATTCCACCTGGCCCGCCCCTGACTAGAAACCAATTTCGAAAGAAAATTCAAAGGGCTGTAACTTTTGAACTAGTGGCCCAATCTTGGAACTGTTTGAAATTATGGATTCTACAGGCCACATTCTATAAGAAAAATTTTTTCCGGGTCGATCTGAGACAATTTTTTTTTTCGGGGCTCAAAAAAAGGCAGTGTACCTTCCTTTTTTACCAAAAATTGACTGCACCAAAATTTCTCGGGAAAACACTTTTTTTTATTAATTTTGGTGCGTAGAATCCAAAACAATTCGTACTTTTTCGATCAGACTTCTCAATCAAAAGTTATAGACTAGAAACCAATTTCGAAAGAAAATTCAAAGGGCTGTAACTTTTGAACTAGTAGCCCAATCTTGGAACTGTTTGAAATTATGGATTCTACAGGCCACATTCTATAAGAAAATTTTTTTCCGGGTCGATCTGAGACAATTTTTTTTTCGAGCCTCAAAAAAAGGCAGTGTATAACCTTCCTTTTTTACCAAAAATCGACTGCACCAAAATTTCTCGGGAAAACACTTTTTCTTATTAATTTTAGTGCGTAGAATCTAAAACAATTCGTACTTTTTCGATTGGACTTCTCAATCAAAAGTTATGAACTAGAAACCAATTTCGAAGGAAAATTCAAAGGGCTGTAACTTTTGAACTAGTAGCCCAATTTTGGAACTGTTTGAAATTATGGATTGTACAGGCCACATTCTATAAGAAAATTTTTTTTCCGGGTCGATCTGAGACAATTTTTTTTTCGGGTTCAAAAAAATAAGGCAAAATCGACTGCACCAAAATTTCTCGGGAAAACACTTTTTCTTATTAATTTTGGTGCGTAGAATCTAAAACAATTCGTACTTTTTCGATCGGACTTCTCAATCAAAAGTTATGGACTAGAAACCAATTTCGAAAGAAAATTCAAAGGGCTGTAACTTTTGAACTAGTAGCCCAATTTTGAAACTGTTTGAAATTATGGATTCTACAGGCCACATTCTATAAGAAAATTTTTTTTCCGGGTCGATCTGAGACAATTTTTTTTTCGGGTTCAAAAAAAGGCAAAATCGACTGCACCAAAATTTCTCGGGAAAACACTTTTTCTTATTAATTTTGGTGCGTAGAATCTAAAACAATTCGTACTTTTTCGATCGGAATTCTCAATCAAAAGTTATGGACTAGAAACCAATTTCGAAGGAAAATTCAAAGGGCTGTAACTTTTGAACTAGTAGCCCAATCTTGGAACTGTTTGAAATTATGGATTCTACAGGCCACATTCTATAAGAAAATTTTTTTCCGGGTCGATCTGAGACAATTTTTTTTTCGGGGCTCAAAAAAAGGCAGTGTATAACCTTCCTTTTTTACCAAAAATTGACTGCACCAAAATTTCTCGGGAAAACACTTTTTCTTATTAATTTTGGTGCGTACTAAAATGAAGCAAAAAAATGTTTTTGTGGTGCACCGCAGAGCAACCCCCCCCCGCCACCTTCATTACTAGACTAATACTCCAATGGCCCGTAACCTATGCAATTCCACCTGGCCCGTAAGTACCCAGTCCGCCCCTCCCCATATTTACACAGCAGAATTGAAAATTGTTTTTGTAAATCCAAATAATTTTACTCTTTCCCTTGATGATATGCAACTCATGGCACGTGGCCTACATATTTATTTACCTAACTGGAAGAAATTTATCAAAGAATAAACTTTTGCCCACAATGTTGTATGAATAGATACAGAGGTATTGAATGTAGTGCTTAGTAGATGGCATTAAATAGTTATTGGTGTCAGATGATTGGTATTTACTTAGCAAGACTGTAAATGAAGAAAACACCTCCCACTTTTACAGTAACATGACAAAACGAGCAAACAAACCTAAAAATTCAATCTATTTTATACATACTTATTATATCACAATTTACATTAATCACAATAAATAACAAGTTCTAATTAATTCTAATTCAATTAGAGTTCAGTATGCATCGTATGCATATGTTTAGCTGTAATATCAGGAGCATGCAAAAATACACCCTCGGCGGCCTGCCAATGCACAGCCCCACTTGAGCTATGTACACCGATTATTTCCATTTGACCGTTAATAGGACGTCCAAATGTACGTCCGGAGGTTGCCAAATAGTGACTGGTATCAACATGTTTCAACATAATGCTCTCGTCACGTGTCCAATAGTCGCCTGCAATGTACTTTTTAACAAAAACCCACATTTATTTTTGAACGAACAAACCTGAACATACGACAACCCAATGGTCGCCGGTATCACCCACACCGTCCTCTCCATAGCAACTAATCTCCTGATTTGAAGATAAGGGACTGGAAAAGTAATGGGAATGCAAATTCTTGCCCGTCGCCGAGTGTTCCAGCCGTATTACACTCCCGCACTTGATAAGCTCACCTCGCCCGCACTCCTTACCCATTTCGGGCTTGATCAGCCAGTGACTGTTGACATCTTCCTGTAGCTCAGTGCCGGTCACGGATTGTTGACCGCTACCCGTACCATATTTAACATCGTGCGAATGTAAACGCACCCGATAATCCGAGTTTAACAATTTCAATACGGACCCGCAAGTAACATATTTATGACGAGCACCTGAAAAGAAGGTAATTATTTGAAAAGACCACGACTTTTAAATGGACCAATCAGAATGCGCCACACGTTTTTGGTTAGACATTGAATGAAAATTCGAATTTCTTACTTAAAATTACTTACCGCACACGTTTTGCGATAAGTACAACACTTGAAGAATCCACAAGTAAATTATTCTCCTTAAGCAACTCATTTTTCCTATTGAATTCACGGAAATTATCACCCTTAAAACAGCGTTAAAGGTTTACGTGCACTCTACACTATTTCGCTTGGTGTTTTGATTTTTTAGGGAATTCGTCCTAGTAATTTTTACGTTGGTAAAATACCAGAGTAATATGACAAAAGAGACACTTTTATGGCCTTGATATACAGGATGTTGTCTTGACAAACGGACCATAGGAATTTCAAGAGTAATTTTCTAATTTCCGGCTTCTCTAATTATTTTAGAAATAAGTCTATTTAGGTTTTTTGTCGTGCATACTATTGTTTTCTATTTTGTACACAAATACACACAAAACTGTTTCAAAACCCACTCGTGGGTGCGAGCATTTATTTTACGTATCAATTATTTGTAAGAAAGATTTATTGGTTATGAGCCGAACGTTACTATCGATGGTCATCATCGCAATATTAATAACGATTTAATTGTGGTATTTGTGAAATTGTCCTACAAAACTTTAGTTTGGTTGCATTCGAGAACAAAATAGAAGAGATATCTTCGTGTGGTTCTCTTGAACGCACCCATAAATTAATGTATGGTTGTTTAGCCACGAGCGGAAATGACTGCTTAAACATTATTTGAGGTTAGAACGTTATCAAATTTGACATAAATATGTAATCTGTGGTTAAATAATGAATCACATACTTTTTTATTTGTTAAATATGTGATATCCGATAAATGTTGTGAAGTGTTATCATTTAGACACTTTTATACCATCTGTTGAACCTAATTTAATTAGTTTAATTAAGCCCAAAATTTCTAGTCAATTATTCCCTGCCGAGTCTATCTATATATTGCTAATTGTTCCAATTCTTTTTACATTACAATCGAAACCAAAATTTATCAAGATTACTTTATGCTAATTAAATGATAAGAACAATACTAAACTTATCCCAAGTGGGTAATGAGTTCTGGCGAGACTGTGCCTATTTTAGTTTCAGCAAACTTAGATGATAGGGTTTTAGTACACTGTGCTTTAAATCAATCTTTGGCTAGCGATAGTTCGGCTGAAGATATCAGTTTAGTACCGGATATAGCATTTGAACCAACCTTGGATTCCCCCGGCATCAACAGAGAGTCTCAACCTCTCCTAGGAGGGATTGATGTCTCTTATAACCAATTTCCAGGTGACTTGAAGTATGCGTTCGTTAACTGTCAGTCGACAATGTCGTGGTTTTGTTTTAGATGATCCTGGGTTTAGCGATTTGGTGTGGCAGGCCGAGGTCGCAATTGATAATGGCATTTTTCCGGAACGCATATCGCAAGGGTCCAGTGGTTCATATTTTGTTAAAAATCCCACCGGAGTAAGTTCCTTCACTTTAAGCTCTAAATCTTCTGGTCTTTTACTCGAGATTTGTGAAAGTACCGGAGATACGAGCGTAAAGCATTGTTCGCAGAGTTTCTGGGGACTCTTGTTTTAAACTGCTTAACTTGAGACTTGGTGAACTCTGTACACGCTTTCTCTGTGAATCGTTGAGGATTAATTGAGGTAATTTTAGAAAATCATCGGCGTATTTAAGCCGAAAGATGAAGAACCTTACGGTCGGCTAAATCCAAAGTGGACAAAGTGGATGCATAAGTTGTGCTGTCCCTGTTGTTTTGGTCGGTCGTGTTTAATTCCGAATCAGGGGTACTTGTCGGAAGCGGCCGCGTATCTAGTTGATGCAAAGCTAAGCCTTCGTGTCGTACCTAAAACCAAAGTAGTTAAGCTTGTATCGGAAACTTTCCATTATCCTCGCATTGATAGACAGAAAGCCAGAATGAAGCGGGCCATTATGGAACAATTTCCGAATGTTGGCCTGCGGTTTAACAGGATAGGGCTTCCACCAAAGGTACATAGACTTCAAACGGTCGGGATAGCAAATTTTTCCAGTAAAATTCATGAGAAAGTACAGGTTTTGCTTGTTTGGTAGTTTTAGATTTTTTGATATGGTGTTAGTTCCTATATAAGATTTAAAATAGTTTAGGCCTGGCACTATTGGTAAGTAACTTTTTTATTATGGACCTTTTTTTCTCAGAATTGCAATGCCAAATTATGAAAACAATTGAACATCAGGTTGTTGAGTTAATAACAAATTAACATTTTTGAATGAAACACCTTGTATGTTACATATTATCTTGACAAAAAATTAAATCCCGGTAAAAGGAGCCAACTTAATAGGGCTTGGGGTGCTCAAGCCGCTCGCCCCCCCCCCCTCACCCTCCACCACCCGGAGGAGGGAGCTGATCCCCCAATTTATGGTACTACTATCAAAATAAGATTTTTACTATTTTTTGATGGATTTTAAAACAAATCAAAAGTGAATCTGAACTCAGAGGCTCAATAGTGTAACATGTAAATAATAATAATAATAATAATAAGACTTCACTTGAGTAGTAATGCCCAAAGGGAGAAGTTTACGAATAAATTAAATTTTGCCATGTTAATTGTCTTTATAAAGCAAACGAGACATATCCATTATTTTAGGGTTTTGCTCACCCAGTATGTAACAATGTTCAAAAAATGTATACAGAGTGTTCCTGAATTCATGTCAAATTAAAATCAAGTGTACGCATGCGCAAACTGCATGCATATTTATATAATTCGAAAAACTTTTTAATTGGGCAACTTCAGTAAATTTTGAGAATTTTTAACACCATGTGACATGTCCAGCTACTGGCACTATATCCAAAAATCGAAACTATCTCTTGCTTGCATAGCAAACACTACCATTCTACTACCTTAATTAAATTCACGTTTGTAGACCGGTTCTCTTCAACTCTTCGTTGATGGTTACAAAGATGCGGACTACTGGCTGAGACGATTCGAAGTGGAACCTCTACCAACACGCATGTCTCAAAAATTCCAACATCAATTCGAACGTTTGGTCGTGTTAGATTACATTATTCGAAATACAGATCGGGGCAACGATAACTGGCTAGTAAAATACGATCAACCGGCCATTCTGGCGAACGGTTCGGTGCAAAACGAAACTCCGGACGCCGTGGATTGGAATTTGGTGCAACTGCCTGAAATTAATATTGCCGCAATCGATAACGGTCTAGCATTCCCCTACAAACATCCCGATAGCTGGCGAGCGTACCCGTACCATTGGGCCTGGTTGCCTCAAGCTAAAATTCCATTTAGTCACGAAACGAGAGAGCTTGTGTTACCATTACTAGGCGATATGAATTTTGTGCAAGTAAGCTTGACGCTTTCAGCGAAGTAATGTGCATTAAGCTGACCCGCTAAGAATACAAAAAAATTCTACATATTCAAAAAATCACGGCAAATTTTTGAATTGTAGGATTTTTTTCTGTTCGTGGGGAGTCGACTTAATGGACATCCTGAAATGTTTGTTAAAACTTTTCATTTTAGGATTTATGTGATGATTTGTATTTACTTTTTAAGCAGGACAAGGGTTTTGATAGGGGGTTATTTGAGAGACAAATGTCTGTGATGCGAGGGCAAATTTTGAATTTAACGCAAGCATTAAAAGACGGAAAATCGCCCGTCCAGCTTGTACAAATGCCCGCAGTTGTTGTGGAAAAACGAGTGGAAAAGTAAGTTAGTACCCTACGTTTCCTCATTTTTAATAATTCTTGTTACAGACATCAAGGTCAACATACGAATCGATTTCTTAGTTTTACACAGCGTTTTCAAGACAAGAGCCCATTCTTCTCCTGGTGTTAATGTTTTTTATTTTTATTGTACATATTTAATATTGCAAGATATATACAATAACCTTTATTTAAATATATCTATAATTCTAAACAATAAATGAGCTTTTTAACCATTTATTCCGGTACGTACACGGGCAGCTCTGGGGTCATCGTGTCTAATAACTGTGTAGTCCATTTTAAACTTTCGATTATCGCCATCTTTGGCCCAATAGTTAGCCAAACCGGCCCCCATTAGCACAGCACCTATGACAGCCATTACGCCACTGCCCATTACTTCTGGAATTTCGTGCCAACCCCTTTTAAATAATGCTACAAGGCCTCCTCCTTTAGCAGCTGTTGCCATTTCTATTTATTAGTTAAGGAGCGCTAACTAAATGATTGATATTGATAAATAAAAATGAGGTTAGGTTACAGTTACGTAAATTATTTTTACGGTGTTGCCAGATTAAATTTTAAAAACACCAACTCCAACCATACAGGATGACTCAGCAAAACTGATCGTCGAAGAGCCATTTTGATTCTCGTCCGCCATTTATGTGGCCTTTGAAAACGAATGCAAGTGCTTCACTGCATAGACACTTTTTTCCCTGTAGAAGTTTCAGATGAGGTCCCTGGACCAAGAAAATTGAATTTTTAAAAAATGTCTGTATGTACCTATGTGCGTGTGCGTGTAACGCTTCCATGTCACTACGATACAGGTCGCAATTTTGACATTAAAATTTGGTGGGTAGTTAGCCCTCATGGAGATATACGAAACCCTGTTGTTTTTGTTGAAAATCTAAAAACATGTTTCAAAGTTATCGCGATTTTCCGAGCTAACGTCATTGCATAGGACGCGACTTCAAATTATCAGGCACAAATTTCAGGGTGCTTGGGTATTGTTGATGGCAGGTGCCATAAAAGTTTACATCTCGAGGGTTTACAATTCCGTAGACCCCCTCGCAACCCAAAAAAACACACATATCTATGTAACGATATTATAATGAATAGATACGCAACAAACCTACAAACTACTACTTTGACTTAACTCTTGAAGGGTTTCCAAATCCTTCCTCAACATTTGAACAGTTTTACACACAAGACTGAAGTCCTCCTCGCTATTATTATCGCCCCCGTCCAAGGCATCCACTTGCGATTGCACCATTTCCAAACGCTCCTCAATCAAATTCTGCGAATGCGCTATATGATCTAGCAAATTCAACTTACAATCGACCGAGTTAATCGCGGCCTCAGGTTGCGGCGCAATCGGAGGCGGTAGCTCGAAGCTGTTTTCCATAAGGGAATTCAGGTCTAGCTTCGACAGTTCCTCTTTAATCTTTTGCTCGGATTTAGGCGATTTTAATAAAGAGAGAAAGGAGGAATCGTTCGGAGATTCGATTTTGGTCGCGAGCAAGTCCAGTTCGCTCTTGGTAAATGAAATGTCGTTCTCCTGCTGATGATCCGACTTTTCGGGTAGGGGAAGTTTGTCCCACGGTTTCGACCACAAGTACAGCTTCTGATGATTGCTCGTCCTAGAAGCAAATTGATAAGTATGGTAAACATTCGTACATAGTTTGCTGCAAAAGCCAAAGGCAATCATTAAAATCATTCCCTCTCTAAGAAGAGCTTCACATCTACTTTAGCTTCCAAGCAGTTTGAGCGACATTTCAAATTGTGATCATAGACTGCAATGTCAAAACTGTAACCGTCAGTATATTACAATTGGATCCGAAGTGCAGATTCCAATGATATCTACTTTCTTCTCGGTAGCCCTAAATTTCCGGAATCTCAGGCTGACACGAAGAATTATCTTTTGATACACAAGTAACTAATACAAGTAGTCCTCCTTTAACACATATTGAGGGCATGTAAGAAAGCTGATTATTAGGTTAACAACACCGATTCTGGTGCACTTTAACCTCAATATTTGCGTATATGCCACGTTCAAGGTCATTCGATTCGATTTTCTTTGTCAACAAAAACAGGTCTGTAATTAAAATCAGATCAACGCCTGTTTCCGTTGACAAACGGACCGCCAATCAAATGACCTTGAACTTGGCGCATGCGCAGATCGAGTTAAAGAGTAGAAAAAGATGAGTCAAACAAGGAGTTTTGTAACATCAAGTGAGTTCAACTCGTGTGACTGACTGCATCACCAAAATGTGATGGGCGATGGGGTCGTCACATCCCAACGCCTGTTCTATTACACTAATGACACTAGTCACTGTTACATACTTATCACATCTCTCCAATAGACAACACTTTTACAGGTGAAAAGTTACTTTTTGGTCTTTTTAAAGTTGTTTTAAGTAAGCAGAAGCTGTTTTCGGTCAATGGCTTTTTTTGAAGACGTTTGGGGTTTAGTACCCCATTAATTTAAAAAATGGCGAATAAGCACAGCCAACTAAAGCAAAGAAATCAAACAAAAAAAACTTACTGCGCAATCTTCAACTTCACTTTAACCGAATGCATATAATCGCGGAGCTCGACAAGCAGTCCGCTCAAGTCGAACGACTTCTTTAGCAACTCGAACCGCTTCTTATGCGCCTCTTCGTCCTTGCAATGGTAATTCCCCACCGGAAGTACGCCGTTTTTAAGCCAGTCCTGATCGTGGAAATACTTTCGAGAGGAGCGCTGACGCATCGGATTCTGACAGATGTAACAGATGTACTTCTCGGGCACCTGGTTTTCGCGTTCGATATTATTACAGTAAGCGTGCTGCCAGCATAGGCACAGTTCGCACTGTATCATCAGACCGTCCTCCTCCGTGATGCCGCACGTGCAATTTATAATCTCCTCGCGCTTCATTCGGACGATTTTTATAACTTCGCCGCCCTCGACGATGTAATTTGGATTGGCGACGGCTGGCGCGGGTTGTTCGGTAACGTTCGGTTGGGCTTCGGGTTCGGGCGCTTTCGGTGGCGGCGCGTCGGTGGTTTCGGACATAAAGCGCTTACGTTTCAAACTGTGCCTCAGGATAGGTTTTATGTTATTTTTGAGTAAATTATCTTCGGGGGTTTCCGATTTCTTAGCGTCGCCTGTTCTGATGACGGGTAAAATCGTTCTAATTCCAGTAGGCCTACTCGTACTGGCGCTCAGAGACTTTAAATTTAAGTCCTCGCCTTTGGGTATTCCTTCAGATTTGTTCAAAAGATCTTTTAGTTTAATCGGCGGATACATTCCCGACGGTAAGCCGGGCGGCAACTTGGTGGGCGGTTCTTCGTTTGGTTTACTGTTCAGCAACTTTAAAATTTCCGAATCTTTGGTTTTTTGCAATAAATTCGCTTGCGCATCGAAACACTCCTGCGAAATTTCGTGCGGTTCGTTAGGTTTTGGCGTTGTAACTTTCGGGGTGGGCGCTTTCTGCAAGGGCCTGCTGGGCGTTAACTTTCCCGATGATCTGTCTGGTGACTTATCCAAAGATTCGCCAACGGTACGCGCGTACGCCAAATCTGCGACATTAGGCGTGGAGTCCAGGAACTTTGTGAATTTCGGGTGATAGTGCTTCACGTGCATTTGGGCCAAATTCTCGCGGCGAAAACTTTTATTGCATCCCTCAATTGGACATTTATACACATCGTCGATTACCAGTATTTTCAAACTGTTGCTATTATCCTCCTTATTTTGACGTTTTGGAGGAGTTACCGATGTAGTTTCCTGCGGTGGTGTATCTGCCGTCTGCGTTGGACGGCGTCCTTTCGATCGCCTGTAGAGGCAAAAGCTGAACATGCTGGCATTGTAATTGAGTTGAGGGTTTTCATCCAAAAATGTATTGATTTCTAAACGCGTTCGAAATCTTCTTCCCTCTGGGCTGAAAATTGAAAAATGTGGACATGCAAAAAAATATGAGAGGCAAAAGAAGTGAATGTTATTTAAATCTACAGTTCTCCAATTCTAAAAGCTTCAAGAGCTTTCAAACGACATGGGAATGTGAGATGTGGAAATGGAGGCCGGCGCCATATTTGTAATGTCAATTTGGTTCCTTTAGATACCACTAATATGATTTTTGTTTTGATGATAACTGATAAGTTTTGCCATTTAAAAATATTGAATAGACACCCTGTATAGGCTGTAAGTACTTCGATAGACAAAAATAGGATTGGCCTTTCTGACAAAACATTTTTTCCAAAATAGTTATTCCAAGACCATACCTCTAAACGTAGTGTGAAAAAAATTCCTAATCCCAGCAAGGTTTGGTACCTGGACATTTTTGAACATGAAAGTACAAATCTAAACTTATAGTCCAATCAAGATGTACATCCGTGCTTGCAAAAGGTCCGGTCATTCTGAATTTTTTATATGTTGATAGTACCTAAACCAACAATAAAAAACCAGATTTGCAATTTCCAAAGTGCTGTGCGATCGGCGGTATATCCAAAAAACCATGCAATTTTCGGACTTCTTTCAGTTTTTACTCAAAATCTCGGTGAAGGAAGGGTCTGATCGGTATAGTCATTCTATAATATTTTAAAGTAGACTAAATTTGCTACAATTTGAGGCTAGAGCGAGGTCTATACAGCCATTGGTTCCCAAGATACAGTTGTTGGAAAATGGGATTTAAAAAAATGATTTTTTTCAAAATGGCCACTTTTTTTAGCGCATTTTTTAAGTATTAAAAATTAATTTTATCTATCATTGTATTCTAATTAAAGATCTCAGGAACCGTTTTCTACCAACTACTGCTCTCCTTTCTGTCCTCTTATCAAAGTACGGGGTGGAGGGGGAGGGGTGGGGGGGAAGTGGAACTAGTTTTATAGTTATATTTAGTTTTATCCCATTATAACGAGCAAGTCGACGTCTTCGCCCACTACGACGACCCGATCGGCTACTGCTCTTTTTGAAAGTGCCGTCATGACGATCTCTTGATCCGCATCTTCTTCGGCAGCAGCCACTTCTCCTCTCTCCTTCTGAAAGGCGTCACAAAGAAGAGTGATTAGGCGTCTCTTGTTGTTCTCATTGCCCAAAACATGCTCTTGAGCAATTTGAATTACTGTGGATTTCTCGAAAGTTAATTCGTAGCTAGAATGATCAGCGTAGCGCCGGAGTAGTTCAGCTGTATTGGTGTTTTTTTTTTGGTAGCATCTTCTGGATAGCCCTCATAAACAATGGAGACGTTATTCTCAAGTGGTTATGGACGTTGGTGATATAACGCGCCAAAAGTGCTCGAACCCGCTGCTCCACGACCTTGTGCAAGAGGTAGTCACCATCCAAAACGACGTGAGTGCTGGAATCTAAATGAAGGCGGAGTACAGAGTGGGATTCGTATTTTAGAATATATTTTGCAAAAAGTGGTCATTTTGAAAAAAAATCAATTTTAAAAAAATTCCTATTTTCGAAGAACTGAATCTTGGGAACCAATGGCTGTATAGACCGCTCTAGTCTCAAATTGTAGCAAATTTAGTCTACTTTAAAAGATTATAGAATGACTATACCGATCAGACCCTTCCTTCACCGAGATATGGAATAAAAACTGAAAAAAGTCCGTAAAATACCGCCGATCGCACAGCACTTTGGAAATTGCAAATCTGGTTTTTTATTGTTGCTTTAGGTCCTAACAACATATAAAAAATTCAGCACGACCGGACCTTTTGCAAGCACGTCCCCCTTTTCATGTTTAAATTTACAGGACTATTAGTTGATTTTGAAATTTTTCTTATAAATTGTTGAAAAAGTAGTGAGATAGGTATGTCATTATTTTTCTTTTTTTTTGTAAAAATCCAATATGGTGTCCATAACACATAAGAAAATAGTAGTTTGCTGATAATTCTAGATCTAGCGTGTTATGGAAATTCCAATAAACATATTCAGATTCTCCCAAAAAAGTAGGTACCCACACAAGGTGCTAACGGGAACCATCCATTTCTGATTATTTAAGGTAAGAAAAGGAACGAAATTTGACATTTTCAGTGATATCTGAATATTTGTCAAAAAATTTTTTCAAAAGTTTTTTTAGGCACAAACTTTGTCCCCATTTAACCTACGCTGTCTCACCGTTACGGAGATCCTAACAGTGAGTCCGAAAGTGAGGTTCGAATTTGAACCACCCTGTACATAGCATGTTTTGGGAAATTTAATTTATTTGTTAAGGCATTGATAAATATTTGCTGGACGTTGACACAAATTTGCTTTTGTGCGCAGAAATTGTTGTCAATGTGGACTATGCGCCGCACAAAAACGTACACAAATTTTGTGACGAATAACGCACTATGCTGTCGGTTTTCCAATGCACTTCAAAGAGATTTGCGCCGCATAATAGTTCTAATGTGGACTTGTGAATGTGAACGTGGATTCAACAAATACAACACAAGATAAATATTTAAGTAGTAAATACGTGACCATATTCAAATTTGTGGGACAAATATTTTTGCCAAAATTCAAAATTCAACACATAATGCAAATATTTATCATTGTAGACCTGCCTTTATGTTTGTGATGGAAAAACCCCAGATAGCATACTACATCTTTCGCCCCCCCTTAAAAACAAAACGGGAAAATCAAGATTGCGAAAAATTAACTATATTATAATTTTTTTTGTTTAATTAAATGCTTGGTAATTATAATCGAGTGTCTAATGGATTTTCAAGTCCCCAATAGTCCCAAAGAGTCCAAAAGCATTTGAGGATATCCAAAAGCGCTCTAGTACTACATCCTTTCCACGATTTCCACACACCCAAATCTAAATTCTTACTTCCAGCAGTTGTCCTAAAAACACATTAAAAATGGCTACTGAATGATCCAGGTCAGCTTTTTTTACGTGAAGTTCTAATGGACTGCTAATTAACTACTAAAACCTGTAAATGATTCCAAATATGCCTACATTTCATTAGTAATTGAAAATCTATGTCAAATAAAATTAATGTTTGCTAGATCAATGAAGTGATTTGTAGAACAAATTACCTTACAATCAGAGTATCCCATTTTCCAGCAGACGCCCCCGTAATTCTCTGCATTAAATGTTTCGACCAATTAGGGGGTAGCCGAGGATCAGGCACAATAATAGACTTCTTAAGTCCATCGTGTGTTTCGATGGCCGACTCCACGCCTACCGGCTTTCCATTCTCCCACCTACAAATAAATTCATCAGTTAACTGTCACGGCACGAACTTTACAGTACCTTGGCACCCATGCTTCCAGTTCATCCCCGCTGTTGACATCCATATTGACTGATGGCGGTGACAGGCACTCACTTGTTCCTGTTTTTAACCGCTTACGAAACAATTGCGCGACATTTATCTTGCGTTTTTTATTACGTCGATCTTGTTTACTGCCGCTAGCCGGGTCGAATAGTGGGGCCTCTCCGACTTTTCCGTGCGTCTTCATTATTCTGTGTCCTTTTAGTATCTTTACGAAACCGTCTACGAAAAGAACTTCGTAGGTATCTACAACACAACATAATGCGATCATCTAAAAAAAAATAGGAGAAACTGTACCGTGATCTAAAACTTTTCGGACCGTTGCCGGAAACTTCCTAGCGTCACTCCAAGACGCCAACACCTTTTCGCCTTCGACGAACACTTCCGGACTTAATACCTTTTTGTCAATTTCCAAGTGTTGAATTTGAAGAGGTCTCAAACGAGAACTGTTCATACTTATCCACTCGTCGTACTTGCTCGAGTATTTCTCGAAGTGAATCAGAACTTCGTTCTCTTCATAGTCAACTTCGACAATGTGGGCGGGAAACCACTGCTGATTAAAATCCAAAGCTTCCAATTGAGTATTTACGGAAAAGTTGAGTAGGCCTGAAGGGGTTTGGATAGATTTTCCCTTTTGTTCAATGGTCGTGGAAGATTTCTCCGGCTTCATTTCGGACTGGCCCGCGTCATCTTGTAAACATTCTTCTTTAATGTCTACTTCGGAAATTAACTCGGTTGGCTCCTCTTTTATTTCAGTTTTGATCACAGTGTCGGAATTACTTTCAGGGTCCGAGGATTCCTTTTTGACGGTCACAGTTAACTCAGTGGGCTCCCTTTTTAATTTACTCCAAGGGAAAACGCTAGGTAATACACCTTGACGTAGCATATATCTCTTACCCTTAAAATGACAAAAATCTACTTTGAGAAAATGCCTCGAACAAACATGGATCACTTTGCAACTGTGCTTATCCGGAGATACATGACACAGGGATAACCATTTTGGCCTAATGTCTGCATGCAATGGAATTTTATGAAAGGTGACACCTCTATCTTCTGATCTGCCTTCTTCAGATAGACAATCGGGAACGTAACATTTTCTTCCCATTCTAACGCTTGAGGTGTGGTAGAAGGTTTTCTACAAAAGGAAATCGCTTCCCCCCTTTTAGCTTTAAAAGGTTAATCAATTCGCAAGTAATTAATCAAAACACAAAAATGACATTAAATCAACATAACCAAACAAATTTCATACGCGTCGTTGCCAAATAACCTTAGTTACAAAGTTGCCAATACACTACAAAAATCAGACTGTGTTGAAATTTGAATATTATTTTATTACCGCAAAGATTTTCTTTTCCTTTGATTATATTCACTTATATAGTTTCGATAATCGATATTTATAAACCTACACGTACTATTGACCTTACACAAATTATTCATAACACGAGTAAAAATGTAAATCTATAATGGATCGCAATAAAAAACACCAAATCTCCACCAATAACCAACCAGTGCCCTTTGAGTTGAACGTAAGTTGCAAGGTATCTCCGAAGAGAAACGAAGTATGAATAAATAAATTTGCTCGCCCTGGTTAATCACACCTTTGACAAAGTCAAATTTGTCCGCAAAAGTACAATAATTACTAAGCAAGGATTCAAATTTAAGGTGATACCATTGATTGTCAATATCTATCAGTGAAACTTGAAAGTGTATTCGACGGGATAGCACTCCTTAACAAATCCAAAGAACAGCTTAAAAAATTCTTCCATTATGAGCTGGCACCCTATCCTCTCACGCCTGTTCGAACCAGTAGGAATGAGGAAGACACCCAAGTCAGTGTTAAATGACTTCTTTACACCACTGTATGAGGTAATAACTTGGAAGGATCGGCTTTAGTCATCAATGGTGGATTTTATCTCCACCGTGTTGTGTGAAAGAATGGTGAAATATTCCAATTAACCATCACCAAATACGTGGACTACCTAAAAAGGGATTACAACCAAAGTACGACCTGTCCACCGTGAGCGTCAAATCTGCTGAGCGCCTCCGCTGAAGCAAAAGGCACACTGCTCCAGAGGTCATTTTTATGAAATTAATGGTGGTGACCATGATCCAGGAAATACTTTAGATAACTTGAGATTTTGGCCTGTCTTCCAAATCCAAATTCAACTTGCCATCCCTACCACCAACATCCCAAGCAGCCCGCAAACATTGCTTGAGAATTTACCTACAAATACAAATATGGTTAGCATCAAAGGATGGCAGGCTTTAAAGTTTGCTCTTAACCCTGTTTCTACCTACTACTACCCACTATACATTTAGAAATATCCATGCCCCAACCCAGATTCGAACCAGGGACCTTTAGTACCGCAGTCGAGCTTCCATACAGGCGTTAACAATAAAAAAAAAAGTGAACCGACAAAAAGTCAGGCGGTTTTTTGCGGCAGCAAGTTTTTCATAAAGTCCTAAAATTGTCAAGTGAAGAAACTGGAACGCTCGCGGCAGTAATCTAAAACAAACAAACACCAAAAAACTTTATTGTAATTTACTGTGCAAATTATCCATTCACTACTGCTCCCATCTACTAGAAGAAAAAATCCTGTTCAAATAATAAACTGGATCTGAAAAAAATTCAGGAACTCCAGAAGGTCATATTACAAAAGAAAACATCGCCAAATTGTTTTATTTTATAGTTGTGACAGTATATAAATTATAATGGATGTTTAAATATAAGCACGGTAATTTAAACAATTTCAACAGACTTTCTTTGCAAGTAGATACTATTATGTTAATGAAGGTACAAGGAGGTACCAATATTTTGGTAAAATAATACCCGATCTTGATAACAATTATAATTCGTAAACAATTATACAAATACACGTATTTTTAAAAAAAATTAATTATTTATAGCAACAATTTTACAAATTGTGTGTTAAAATGCTTGCGTGTACAAATTATGACTTAAACTCAATCATATATCACAACTTTTTTTTACTGATAAAGAGCACAAGTTTATTACAATTTGTATTTACAATAATAGGTAATTATGTTAAAGACAAACTTTACTAACTATTCAAGGATGTAACACACTGCAAAAGCACGAGCAGTGTTGTAATTTCAACCAACAATTTAATGCACTGTTTCAATGGTTTTTTTATCGTAACATCACTAGGCTAAAACTTGTATCTACAATGAAAGGAATCGAAGTATAAAACCCTGCGTCACAGGCAGAAAGCTTCGGTTTTTGTGTTAATTGATTAATAAAAAATTTTTGGCAATTTTAAACACTGCTTATGCGAGTGAGGCGTCTCTCTCTATTATAATAGGCTGTAAAGGGACCTTGCAGAATGAAACATAAGCAAAAATGCAATTCGGTCAATATAAAAATTCGAAATGCGTCACATTTTTTATATACATACATATCACATGTCCCCTCCTCAAATAAATAGACAAATATACAAAATTTGCTCATGTACTGATTACTTTGTTAGGCACAGAGCCGACAACTATCTTCACTGACGACTATTTCTAGCAATCTAAACTATAAAAAGAATGTGACCGATGACTGAAAACGGATGTTATTAAGTGTTAGAGATGTTTTCGCAGCTTTGAGTGACGTCCGGCATTTCCGTGGGCGCCTCTTGACCAGGCGAAGTTTCCGTCACCTCCTCCTGAGACTCCTGCTCTTCGCTTACGTCGTCCTCGTCCCTGTCCTGCTCCGGCATGAGCTCGATCGCCCTCTCCAGAGTCTTTCGCGCGCTGTTAGACCTTTCGAGGAAGTATCCGTTGGAGCTGTCGTTGCTCTGAGCGGGCGGAGACCACGTGTTATAAGTACTCGCCGGATATCGTCGCTCCAGCTCGTCTTGTAACCACGCGATCGCCTGACCCCAGTGCCTGCGTATGTCCGCGTGCAGGTGTAGCATCATCAGTGCCGGTTTGCACTTGTTAAATAGGGCGACTAGGCATTTTATGCACTGGTAGGCTCTCTTCTGGTAATGATTTTTGGAACGCGCGATCGTCTCGAGCAGACCTTCCCTCTCATCGGGCACGCCTTTAATTGCGTTATGTATGCGATGAGATTGCCACGAATCCTCTAACAGCAAAACTGACAGTAGTAGCTCCATATGGTGCCTTAGTTCTTGACAGTAGGCGAATGCTATCTGCCACAAAAGCTCAGAGAGGACTGTTCTTGAAAAGTGTGGATTTTCCCACGAACAGAATTGCAGTAACTTTATAGAATCTTCCGTTAAATTTGTGTCTTCTATAACTTTCTTTATATAACTATAAGGAATTAGACACTATTAGTAGTTATATTTTCCTTATCTTTAAGCATTTGCGAATTGAAGCATTCATTCTGTATGAAGAAACAGAATTCTTTACTACTATGGAGGGACGGGATGATTTCTACTTGGGACATTTTGGCTGTTTTTGAAATGGTTCATTTGCTTCAGAAAAAATTAGTAACAGTGATAAATGGCAAACAGTAACTCATACATTTACCATTTATAATGATAGTCTCACAATTTAAATTCTACCCAAAACAAATAAAACACATTTTTAATTTTCCTGCTTGCAGTTGTTTTCTTGGCCATTGATGGTGGGTGATTGCCAAATTGAATCAATTACTGCCGATTTTTTCTTTTCTTGTTTTTTTAATATTAACATAAATGGTGCATTAATACCAAACCAACTCAAACCAAGATCCTTGAGCTGTAAGGCAGCCCTAGTCTAGTTTCACTAGGAGTATCAAACAGCAACCTTACAAGACACAATAAAATTAAATCTACAGATATTGTTATTGTGGATATCAAAAGCTGTAGATGAAAGAGGTCACTACTCTTTTGAGCATGCCCTGACCTTCAATTTCTATTACACAATTGCAGCATAACGGGTGTGCATACCCTCAAGCTTCAACTCACCTAGTTCGTCCGAAAAGTACTTCAAAAGCCTGAGGTGAAAGTGGCATAATGGGTTCCACACAGCTAGTATCACGAAATTGATTAGGCATCACTGTTCCACCCGTACTAGATTGACATTTACTACTGACATCGCAACATCGAACTAGACACGAGACAAGCTGATGCAACTTTCCCAATTCCGTGTATTGATATTTAATGGCGGGCCCTGGTCCCTCGTCCATTGCGACCATCATAAAGGTCGCGGGTACGTTCATCTTTAACAACTGCGTTTTTTCTTGAATTCCTTAAATTGCCAAGGTTAATAAGATAAATCGAACGGGTGTAAAACTAACCTTGACTAGCATACATATGAAATACGTTACAATAGTGAGGTAAATGTCTTCCGTGTTCGCTAACCTCTCGTTGTAAAAGTCCTAAGAGAGCTAATAGAATGTGATCACTAAGGGTTGCGTTCGGATCTGGATTATTTATACACGCGGGCGCCGGACTTGGACCGTCATTTAAAGAAAAGTGGGCTAATAATACTATGATCTTCATAAATGCAGTTCGTACCTCGTTACTGGGGCAACTAAGTAAATATTCACAAAACCTATGGGGATGGTTGAACAGCATGTGATGCGCAAACCATGATCGGATCGAAGGTGCCGTTCTCAGATGCATACATAAGACGTCACACCTTCAGAAAAGACAACGGTACTTGACCTTTCGATTCACATTAGAAACATTATTTCATTGGCCCCTCCCATCTCATACGTAAAAAGTTCAAAGCTAGTTGGGCGAGGCCAGCGAAATATTCCATTATAACGCTTATAAAACGTACCAATCTACTGCAGCTCCTCGTAAATTTTTTTTCGTATGCCAACCAGTGTGAAATAAAAATTTGCTCGCCAACTGTGTACTTAGCATCGATAACTGTTCCATCTCATTACTGATTGTATGATTCGAACGTGCAGTAGTAGTGCAAGTGATCAGTTTACGAATAAAATTGAAGTACTCCACCGAGAACTGACTGCGATGATGAAGGAACTTTATATTTTGTTTTCTAATACTATTTTCGATCGCCGTCGGCATTACCACGTGCGCTTCCTTTTTTTCCGCTAAGAACAAACGCAATTGAGATAAAGACGGTTTGGGAAAGGCTGTGTAATCTTACATATCGTCAATTGTTCAAAGGATTTCAGAATCGCAGTCTCCTCGACGTCCTGCCTCGTGTAAAAAAGCATGTACGCGTTCCACCATCGCTTTTGCCGCCGGTACGTTGTTCGCTTTAACATCGGATCGAAAACCTCGCCCATATAATCGCCGCCGAAACATTGCACTTTCATCTCCTCGTCTTCGCCCATTCGACATTCAGACACTTCGCCGTCGTCGAATTTATACCATCTTACTTCGACAGTGGGGTCACGATGTCTAATATAGGAGTAATAGTGACCACCTAAAAGCAAATTACGCCATTATTTCAGTGCACAAAATTCCGCAAATCGAATTAGCGCTCTAAAGCCCACTTCACACTCGCTTCACAAAAAGGCGCGAACTTTGTGGATGTGCTGTTGTGGAAGTCTCGTTTCTTTAGCGGACGATGAGAGCGAGACACTCTGTAGTTGAAAATTTACGTGCTGTAAACGTAATTTAGGTTTAGCATTAGAAGTTTCAGGCGGGACATCCTGTAGTGTTTTAGTTTATTTGTTTAGCACCTGAAGGAAACTCTGTCAAATGGACACAGAGTTTGAGGACTTTATTTAATGGTCATTCTAACGTTAGTTTTTTGTATTATAAATTTAGGATTGGTGTAGGCCATTTAAGGGTTTTTATTGTATTTAATGAGTGTCAGAAATTCAGGGTACGCATACTCTTCCTTTTTTACTGTGTCTATCTAGCATAGTATTATCATTTACTGTGTTATATATATTGCTGTGATATTTCGTCTGGCAGGACGAAATTTTGGGATTCTTAACTAGAATGGACAAGGGCGGTTTCCTATTTCCATGTAATTAATTTTCTTAATCTAAATTTTTGTTTGTTTCGTTCGTTAAGTACTTCAACAGAAATTATTGTTACGAAAAAGAGATCAAGGTTTGTGTTGTTTACATTTTAATCTCATCTTTGATTTTATTTAACGTAGATTTCTGAGAATTTTATATCGCTTTTATTCTGTTATCATTGTCGCTTAATTTAATTGACAGGTGGATGTTATTTATCGCCTTTTCATTGTATTTAAAAGGTAGAAAATTCTATTTTTCCTAGTATTTTGATTTAGTGTTATCTCTTAATGTCGCTTAAAAATTGATTACAAAAATAAATTCTACCTCTAGTTTAACTTACGTTAGTGGGGAAATTTTCTGTTGTCAACTGCTTATCATTGGCTGTTTTAATTTGTAATTTTGGAAGAAGGGTTTCCACCTTAAATAGAACGGACTGAGAAGAGGAAGGGCTTTTTGCCAAGTTCAGAGCGGAACTACGTTTGTTTGAGATTGAAACATTTTGTTGAAGTTTGAAGTTTTGTTTTGGGAGTTTTGACGTTTTTACCGTCAGTTTGTTGCCAGTCAGGGCAGTTTTTGAGTTGAGTGAAGATTGTTTATTTTTCGCGTCGGCGAGTTACCGCAGTAGTTTGGATTGTGTAGAGGCCAGCAGCATTGGAAGTTGGTGGAGTTTCCGTTTTACGGAGTGGCAAGCCGAGTTTGCGGCAGGTTTGAGTTGCGGCAGATTTGGAAGTTTGGACCTTCAGTAAAGTGCGTTACTAAGGTGAGGTCGGCGCCGACTTGAGTGTTTTTTTTTGTGTAATTTTGAATTTTGTTGTTTTTTTGTGTACCGTATTTGAGATTAGCAGTTTTGGACATGTACCGAATGTAAGTAAGATTAAGTTTTAATTTTAGTTTTTTTCTTTGTAATAATTGTTTGTTTTCCTTGTTGTTTTTTTTTATCGTGTAACCATTAAAGCTGAAATTTGTAATTCTCACATTAATTTCTGTGTTTGTCTTTCGAACGATTTCATTTCCTTTAATTTACTGTTTTCTTTGAATACTTGCCCAAGGTCCATTTTATTTAATCAAAATTCTTAAGATCGATTTGGAATTTAAGGTATTTGGTCTAACCCACTATCTGGTAGAAGTTAATGGATTAACTGAGAAAAGAGTCGAATTCATCCTCTGTGCACAGGAGAAGTTTTGTTCCGAGCAAGATAAAGGTTTCAGCTAGCTAGGTTTGTTTAGGTGTTTTGTGTACGGTCTTTTTGGCCTACGGACCGGTGCACACAGCATTTTTTTATTTGGCGCCCAACGTGGGGCCACACAGCATTTTTATTTGGCGCCCAACGTGGGGCCACAGCAATATATACTGGAGTGTTTCGAGCTCGGTTTCGAGGCAACACTGTCAGACAACATTTGACTGCACGTCATATGAAATTGTCTTTTACAACAAATTTTAAAGGGCTGTCTAAAATGACATATGACATGTGAGTTGCTTTTCACACCAGGGAAACTTTCGTGCCATTCATGGAGCGAATGTAAAGCAGGCTGACTGAAATGTAGAAGGACCTATTTTGCCCCTAAAAACTACAAAAAAAGGAAATGGATTGCAGGAGTCACTAACAACTAAAAAGCAAACCAACTACTTACCGGAAGCTTGCCCCGAATGCACAACAATTCCAGACAAACGATATTTAGTACAAATTTCATTACTACTGGCATCTAAATCACAGTCAATAACTTCTCCCTCAAGCTTTGCCAACCCACTAACAGTGTAAGGTTCCATATCCAAGTCGCGCGGAAATTCGAAATAATCGTTAAATTTAATGGCACACACCCGCTCGAAGTCGTATTCGAATCGCTTCAACTGTATTCCCAAAATCGGCGGTAGCTTCTTCACGCACAGCCGCTTGACCGTCACGACTTTTTTCGCGCACTTCTCGCAATAGTACGCGTCGGCGCCCTCCAGCAGCTCGCCTGCGTGAAAAACGTTAGCTTGGTTGCGACAAAAAGTGGAAATACCTTTGACGTATTGCTCCATTGAATCCTGCAAGCTGCTGTGATTTCGTATATCAACGCTAATAACGCTAAAGGGTTCTTCCTTCGAATACCTATGTGGACAGCCTTTGCAAATTTTTTGGTCCGAATACGAACCGCCTAAGATTTTGGACATGATCTGATCGTGCCCTAAGGTTTTTAATGCTTCGTCTAAACTTTCCACGAGGGACATAAAAAATTCGACAGCGTCTTGTTGCTCTCTCAAATTTACTGGCTCGCCTAAAATTCAATTAAAACCTGTTACGTCCTTTACCGTTTTTTTTTTCCAGAGTGGCCTGGAGTTTACGGCGGCAAAAAATAGCTCATTTTTCATTTTTTAAGTCAAAATCAAAAAGTAAAAATTAATGCAAATATTTATGCGACAATGAATAAACAATGACGGATTTTAAAATGTCTTTTTTTGAAAATTGTTTACTAGGGGGGCCAAATTTTAGATGGTACACCCTGTATAAGTAAATTGCTCTCAAATTTACTGGCTCGCCTAAAATTCAATTAAAACCTGTTACATCCTTAACCGTTCATTTTTACAGAGTGGTCTGGAGTTTACGGCGGCAAAAAATAGCTCATTTGTCATTTTTTAAGTCAAAATCAAAAAATAAAAATCAATGCAAATATTTATGCGACAATAAATAAACAATGACCGATTTTAAAATGTCTTTTTTTGAAAATTGTTTACTATAGTGCGTCCAAACCTCCAAATTCAGTATGGAGCTTATGGGAAAACAGTACATGGTTGCCAAACATATGTTACTGATGTAGTGCCTGTAGTTTTATATTACCGTAGATGATTTTTACGGTATAACAACCACACTTCCTAACCTCAATCTCAAAATACAAATTATGCATGCTTACTCCATATCTCTCTCTGATAAAGATTAAAGAAAACAAAATTTTACGAAAATTTAATGGTTTATATCACAATTTAACATTGCCAATACAATTTATATTAGCAATATAAATGTGACAGGTGACAGACGACTGATGAAATTACAATTTACAATTGACAACGTTGCCTTGTAGGACAAAGATAGTGTTATTTGGGAATCGCTAAAGATAGTAAAGGAGGTGTATACTCCATAAGAGCCCATACTGAATTTGGAGGTTTGGACGCGCTATAGAGGGGCCAGGGGTACACCCTGTATAAGTAAATTGCTCATTATGATTAGACCCTCAGACCCAGAGAATAACAACAATTTTTCTGTAAATGAGGTAGGGTAAAAGAGATAGATACCTTGCAACTTAAAATGTCGCCACAACCCCCGTGGTATATAATATTGTAGGCGGGAGCAAGCCAAATGACCAAAAATCGCCTGAACTTGTTTTAAAATGCCCACATTATAATCCTTCCTATTATCGTCCAAACTATTACGATCATCACAGCAATCTGTCTCCAGATCCAAACGATCCTCGCCTGAGAAATCTTCGTTCGGATCTGTAGCGGCGCCCTCGCACGCCAATAGGCCATCTCGTATACTTTCAACCATGTACAACTGTTGCAGAACAGAGTTCATGTAGCATGTCGCGCCCGCGTTTTTCAATCCTACAAAACCCTGCAGCGGACGAGGTCCGACTGTCGGTAAGTAATCCCATTCTATTAACGCAGTCTCTTGGTCTGTAAAGTTAGTATAAGTTATCAGTTGAGATAAGCCTAATGGGTGACCTGAATAAAACATGTCGTTGAGCATTGTTACAAGTTGTCTGCAGTTAGGTACACAATTGATGCACAAACTTATGAGCAGCTCGAATGCGGCGGCTTGTGTTTGTGGTGTATCACATATAGGTGTCGCCGGATCTTCGCCTAACTGCCCGGTACGATTAAGATGTAACATAAGTTTACTTGCCGGAAATAAAAAATCTTCTAAAAGTTCTTTAATTAAGTTACCGTTCACTGAACTACCCAATTCGCACTTCTGCTCGATACTCAAAAAACACAACAACTCGCGAGCTAAAGATAAGTGTCCCTCTAGTAAAACCTCGTGCTGCCCCCTTGCTTTACGCAACCATATAACCTCCCTCGTCAATAACGCCTCCACGTTCGAAAAAGGAAAACCAACCAAACACATGCAATTAGTTAAACGACATAACAACTGAAAGAATTCGTGCGAAGTCTGGGCATTTTCCAGCACTAATGTGTCCAATAACGAAATTAACAACGGCGTGATTATTTGCAACGCCAACTGACTCGCGCTACCGCAAGTGCAAATAATTATAAACTGTTCCGCGGCGGCCACACGAACGGCGCGACTCGGATTTAACAAAACTAAATCAGTCAGAAACATAGAAAACTGTTTATCGTGACAGAGCACTTCGAAACTACTTGGATTTAACACTAGCGCGATGCTCAGCAATTCCAACGCCTCCCTGCAGAGAAGTACGTCGTCCTGATGTAACTCCAGGGGCGCGTTGCGTTTCGTCGGATCGCACAGGGAGTGAAGCGTTTCCGGGGAAGCGTTTAGCGCGTGCAGGTTGGCACTACTGGCCGCCCATATCAGATGGACCAAGGCGAACACCGTCAGGCAGTCTGGTAGTTCCCAATTGAGAGCTTGACTGAATAGCGCCTGCGCTTGTCCAACGCTCGTCTCAGCTAACATTAGTTCTGCTAAACCTTGAGCCAACTTCATGGACACCTGACGAAGTGCCTGGAACAAAAATTGATTTGTTAAACAGATGTTAACATCTCTAAATGCTGTGACCTTATTAATAGAACACCCTGTACCGGGTGACCCAATAAGACTTCCTCTCCTCGGCCATATCTCGGGAACCGTGAATGAAGAATTGCTGGAAAATATTTTTAAGTTCTAAAAATGACCACCAGAGGGCGTAACTGCCATCTTAAACTTTTAAAATGTCATTTTCTTTAAATTTTGTACAATAAACTAAAATTTTTTTTCACATTTTAAAAGAGAACCAGAGTATCTATCATTTTAGTAAAAAAACTCAGTTATTTCAAAAACAAAGATCGTGTGGGGCATTCAATTGTTTTTGCAATAACCTGTTTTAACTTCTTAACGGTTAGGTATCGTCGAAAAGAGCATTCCTTGGGCAATAAGAATCAACCAATCAATATAGTTAATTTAGTTGAATTCTTCTCCGCCCGGGGGATAGTATTGACACCATGACCCAAAATCCTAAAGAAATCAAAACAATCAAATGAAATGGAATTTATGAAAAAGTAGCCAAATAACATCCAAAGAGGCCAGTGAAAACCGTTTTTCAAAATCTCGTTCCTAACCTCAAATATTGGGTAATGAGATTAATGGATCTTTGAAAGCCAAGGATCGCGCGGTAAATTTCGTAACTTTCTCCAGATGCCAGAACATTAATAACATTTTGTTTATTATTTTGCCTATTTCTCCGATTCATGGCAGGTCTATGGATGCTACCCGTTGTAAACAGGCGCTGGGCCAAACGCACAAATAGAAGATGCGGGCAGCGATGGTCGCATTTTGAAAGCACTCAAAATATATCGCCAGCATATTAAATCTGGTTAGAAATCGGCCTATTAGAAAAGATTACAAATTCAAAAAACTGCACTTTCTGAATGTAAACACAGCACAATAATTTACAAAATACGGCTGTGGTTATTTTATAATGCATCTTGTTTCATTTGTTTAATTTTCCAAGGCCTACCTAAAAGTGTAGGGTGCTTTTCCAAACAAACTTTCGCGCCATTGACAAATATCGGAAATACGTCAAAAGTAAATTTAAGATACAATTTAAGCAAATTAATTAATCTCATTTTCTCACTATTTAAGTTTAAAAAATTTTTAGTTTATTATGCGAAATTTAAAAAAAATGCAATTTTAAAATGTAAGATGGCAGTTACGCCCTCTGGTGGTCATTTTTAGAAGTTGAAAATATTTTCCAGTGATTCTGCATGACCGAGTTACCTAATAATTTTTTTACTCCTAAGTCATACGACGAACGGTTCCAGAGATATGGCCGAGGAACAGTCTTATAGGGGCCCCCAATACACATTCAAAACGAAATGCAACTTTCAAGAAGTAGTGAATAAAAAATCATTGGAAAGTAAATCCATTTGCTCCAACTTTATTCATAGCCTTGAAACATTTTACTACATTTAAGTAGAGCAACAAGTAGTCAGAGAATGGCATACAACAGTGAAAAATGAAGGGAAAGGGAAAGTTCCAATTATAACACTTACCTACAGTACGAGTTAACACTTACCGAATCTGCATGTCCAGGAATACTTCTTAACGCTTGCTTCAGAAACACGCCCGGTGAAGCATTATCACTATTCGATTCCAATTCTGGAGGAGTGTGATCTTCGCTTAGCCGGACAAGTACCTGTGCCACAGATGTCAAAATTAATTTACAGATCTTTATAACAACAAGGTACGCCGAACGCCTAGTGACCATATCGGCATTACACATGAAATTGTTTTTAGTAAACATCTCCAGAAACCTGTGGGCATCGCCGGAAATCATAAAATTATATTGAAACTCGTAGGATTTCTCGGATAGCAGTTCAGTCGCTGGCATCAGCAGCACGTATAGAACTTCCAAGTTGTACAAAACCTGCAACAGTCGTGTTTGAAATGTTTCGAACAGTAGCAGTGACTTACTTCTGCCGGGGTGGCACTAAAAAATAATGTGTCTACGTTAATTTCGGGTTCGTGTGAACCATTAAAAGCTAATAACAAATGATCAACTGTCGTGGTATCGCAAGGCATTAATTGTAAAAGGGCATTTGTACTATCTCTAAGAGGAGGAAATTCTTGACTGCCAATGTTATACAGCTGACAAAAAAAATGAGTGTAGACTGGTTGCGTCGACATTAACACGCCGGGTAGTAAATTTTCCGCCTCCAGATTTGGACTATCGTACGGATGTTGTGGCGATGACGTAGAGCTATCTGAGCTACTGTCTTGGGACGACGCCATATTGGAATTGACCTGAGTAATTTTGGCCGAAATAATCTAAAACTAAAAAATTACCAAACTGAATGGTAAGTAAGATCCATACCATTCGGTCACGAAGAGGGATTTGACCGAGAAGTTTCCTATCGTCGGCGGTATCCAAAAGCTCTCCGTTTATAAAAAGTTCTAACTTACAATGTACTACTGGCTTTATCCGTCTTAAAATATATCGCCGGACCGATGCTATTGTATCGTTCGTATGCGTGGTAACTTCTAAATCCTCTACCGGACGATTGGGGCTGGAGAACCGAATAATTAATCCCATATGTTTCCCTTTACATGCTCGATGTAATGGTAGGATCTTTCGTTCGCCCAAAAAAGCATTATCACATTCGCTAAGATATTCGTGTAGTACTCGCAATATGCGACACATTTTAACCGCCTCCGATGTAATACTATTCTGCAATTGGTTCAGATCAAATTCCTTATCCGTTTCCGTTTTGGTCTTCTGATAAACCGTCGATATATCGTAATGAGTTCTTAAACGATCGTAACACTCGGTTATGTAGGTCTCGTGAAAAACTAACTGAGATGCCAACAGCCTAGGTCCTAAATTGGTACTAACTTCGCGAAGTAAATCGATCGCCCGCGATGCAATGTCGTCCGAGCACAAGGTAACAAGTTTCCATAAATAATCTAAGCCTATTAAGTCGGGATCGTCCGTAATAATCGAACGCCGTTTCGGTTTCAGCTTGCCCTCCTTCGTGTTGACGGCCTTGAAGAAACGTTCGAAACATTTTATGCCGCTCTCGGTGAGTAGCGTCGGTTCTAATTGTAAAATGTTGTTTTCGAAGAAGTCCTTGTTTATGCCGGGATCCAGGTCCGGCTCCTCGCCCATTAACTTCGAGAACCATCGAAAGCACGCCTCACGATCCGATGCGAATACGGCATTTTCGGCTAGGCACTGCCAAATTTGTTTCGCCTGCTCCGCGCACAGCCATAATTGACCATCTTTTAATAAAAACCTGAAAATTTTCAATTAATTACAAATGACGGAAAGAGTAAAGGTGATATTGAGGCTAAGACATGTACACAATTGCATAACTTATAGAACACTGGGCCAATGCTAAATAGCTGCTGGTGCTCTGGAAACAGGTTATGCCCCTTCAGTGAGTGTACAGTACTCCAGTCGCTTCCTAATACTCACACACAGTTTTCTGTATTCTATGTGCCAAGAGAATGTATACAAGAACAACTAGATCTATGGTTTATGCACCAGAATCGAATCAGACAAACTAGCAGAAGCCGATCAAGAACATCAATACACAATAGACTCCTAAAGGCTCAATACAGGAAGATAAAGAGGCAAAAAAAGGCAACAAGGTAGAAGCACTGATTAAGGGTTTATTTTAAAACGGACTAAAGGTCTAAATTTAAGGTCTAAACTTATTAAACCCCTGCCCTAAAGTCACTAAATATAGAAAGTACCTCAATCTATTGGGCTTGTGTGTTAGAGAGAGAGCGCATGATTTTTGCCCAAAAATGGCGGAAGTTACCAGATTCTAGTATCTTTAATGTTAGGGATTGTTCCACCTGTTTGGAGATATTTTTCATTGAACTGTATACTAACGTAACTGGAAGGGCCTCGTCCGTATATCTTATACCGGCAGGTGTGTGTCGTCAAGCGCAAAGAGAGATATCGTTATACTAAAGGATATCCATCTCTTTTCAACTCGCACAGGTAGATTGTAAATTTCTACCGGCATCAAAAGTATACCCAAATTTGGGGGTTAGGACGCTTTTTTATTTTATTCTGAGTAGCACAGAGTTTTGTTTGCTGTGTTAGCTGTGTATAGAGACAATTAGAACAGAGTTCATCTTGTTAAATTATTAATATTTTGTGTAGTGCCTGTTTTCGAAAATGGTGCATCATTGTGTGGCTGTTAAGTGCAGTAATGAACATAGCAAAGAAAAGCAAATTCCGTTCCATCTGTAAGTATTTGCATAAATTATTATGTGATTTATATGTAGTAGTTAAACTATAGCCTAATTAAACAATATAGAATAATGTTTTTCTTTTAAAAAAATACTAAATGTCTAAGGCCTATATGCACCATCAACATTAAGCCATGTTTAAAGTTAAGTGAAGCTATAAATAAACCACCATGAAGCGAAGCTTAAAGTCCATACCAATTATTGTCTCAACAATCGGTACCAACGCTTTTAAGCTCCACTTAACTTTAAGCGTGACTTAATTTTGACGGTGCATATAAGCACAATAGGTACATTTAGTTAAATTATATTAATGTATGTATTAATTAACGACATATATGTTATTTTTTAGTTTCCCATTGAAACGCCCAGCAATCTTAGAACTTTGGAAAAACGCAGTTCGGAGAGAAAATTGGTATCCCTCTAAAACCAGTAAGCTTTGTGGGGCGCACTTTCTTCCTTCCGACTACCAAGATAAGCCAGGATGTACATTGAAACTACTTAAAGCAGATGCTGTTCCATCAGTATTTTCATTTCCTCAGCATTTACTGAAACCAAGTAAATCAAGAAGAACCATTGTAAAAAAACAGGTAGATATTTTATGCGATTGTTTTGGAAGGCGATTTTTAAAAAATAATTATTTTGTTTTAGCCTAACATAACTGCCAGTAAAGCAGAACATATGGATATAGATTGTCCACCATCTACATCGACAGCATATGTAGCCACTTCTAAAGACTGTGGAACTCAGACATTGGCAAGTAGTTCAGTTACTGCATTAAGACGGCAAATCAAAACCCTGAAGCAAAAGGTTAGAAGAAGGGACTTAAAATTATCCTCTATGAAAGAAGTAATTAATGAAATTTCAAAGAGTGGACACAGCAATACTAATTTAGATGCTGTATTAAAAAACTATTTTGAAGGTGAGATTCTTTACTTAAAATTATTTTCAGTTATAGTTCTAAAAACGTCAATTTTTATAGGTCTACCCTTAGAATGTTCTTTTACAAAAAAACAGTAAGGAAGTAAATCCAACACAACGCAGATATTCGTCAGTCATGAAACAATTTGCTCATACTCTATATTTTTATTCCCCGAAGGCCTACAATTTTTTAAAACAATATTTTATTTTACCAAATGGACGCACTATTCGGAAATGGCTAAGTACTGTAAATTGTGAGCCAGGAATATTACAGGAGGTGTTGGATTATTTGAAGGAAGAAGTGCACAACAAACCCTTCTTGAAAAATTGTGGACTAATCTTAGATGGAATGTCAATTAGGAAGCAAGTGATTTGGGACCATAGTAATGGGAAATTTACTGGAAATGTAAATTATGGGGGTATTGTTGAAGTGGATTTTGAGATGCCAGCTACTGAAGCTTTATTTGTGCAAATTGTTAGTTATAAGAACAATTTTAAATGCCCTGTTGCCTATTTTCTCATAACTAAATCGGACGCCTTTCTACAAACTCAGATAATAACATCTTGTTTAAGAAGTTTATATGAAAGTGGTATTGTAGTCAGATCCATAACAGCAGATGGCACTCAGACAAACATTAGAACATTTAATGAGTTAGGTTGTAATGTTTTAGCCGATAATTTAATTCCTTATTTTTTACATCCTTGCACAAATAATGTAAAAGTGTATTGCTTATTAGATATTTGTCATATGTTAAAGTTGGCTAGAAATGCATTAGCTGAGATTAATTTAAATTCAAATGCAGGAGAAGTTAAATGGGAATATATTAAGGCACTTGACAATATGCAATTTTCGGAGAACTTAACATTAGCTAATGCATTAACAGCAACCCATATTAATTATAAAAATAAAATAATGAATGTGCGTCTAGCAGCTCAAACTTTAAGCAGCGGAGTAGCAGATGCTATTGAATATTTAGAACAATGTGAAGTTCCTGATTTCCAAAAAAGTGCTGCTACTGTAGAATTTATTAGATTTATAGACAGGGCATTTGATATGCTAAATTCGAGAAATCCATATGGAAGGGGTTTTAAGGCACCTATCAGACCTCAGTCATTAAAATATTATGAAGAAATATTTAACAAAACTAAAGACTATTTAAAATCATTAAAAGTGAATAATATTTCTTTACTTCATCATCAACGTAAAACATTTGCAGTTGGATTCATTTTAACGATGGAAGGTATAGTTGGTTTAGCTAAAGATTTATTTAACTTAAATAAAGAGCCCTTTTCATATTTTTTAACATACAAATGTTCACAAGACCATCTAGAGCTCTTCTTTTCATGCATTCGAAGTAGGGGAGGTTGGAACAACAATCCCAATAGTCAGCAGTTGAAGTGGGCTCTTAGACAACTAATATTTCGAAATTCGATAACTCCAAGTGTTAGTGCTAATTGTAGCGATTTTGCGACATACTCTACTCCATCTTTTGAGTTCAGGTCAGAGGAGAGGCACAGAAAAGAAATAGCACAAGATTCTGGTGAGGAACTTTCTCAGATTCAAAACTTTATAAAGGATTTGGCAAATGTGAAATTGACAGATTTTCAAGAAAATGTAATTTTCTACATTTCCGGATACATAGTAAAAAATCTAGTTAAAAAAGCAACATGTAACCATTGTATAGAAATATTAGTCTATAAAAATAATGACTTACTAGACCATAGTTATTCTGCTTCAGATGAAATATATAAAAAATTTGTGAACCATGTTACTAGAGGAGGCTTAATTTACTCTTCTAAAGTAGTCTATGAGATTGTGAACTTTGTTGAAAAACAGTTTCGCCTTCTAATCGAACAAGGAGGTGTTTTAAAAAATACCTACAATCTGAAACTTTTATTAACAAACCCGGCAATTCACAATTTTTCAGCAAAGATTCACATCTTTAAGCCAACGCATCCAGTAACAGAAGAGTTTCTTGCTGAAGATTCCCATGAAATTCAGATCATACGGAAAATAGTGGATGTCTTCTTGAAATGCAGAATGCACCACCATTCCAAATTAAAAAATTTAGAATTTCATGGAAAATCTGCAACAGTTCGGCAAAAAATGAATAAATTAATTTTATTTAATAATTGTTAAATGTATAAACTATAGGTATTATGTAAATGTGTGTATTTAAAATAAGTGCATTTTAAAAAATTCATCTTTTTTGTAAATTATAAATCATACACCTACAAAGTAGGACAATTTCAACAAAAATACTGATAAAAGAGAAAATTTTAGACATTATAAACCCATACTTTTATATGCATCAAAAAAACAACTTTAAACTTAATTTTAAATGGTCTAAATGTTTGCGAACATACAAAAGTATTCAATAGACTAGTTTATTTATGAATTATCAATTTAAAATACAAAAAGATTTTACAATTAAGCATATTCACTCAGGATAAAGATAAATATCGTTTAAAGTAATAAGATAAAAAGAGACAGATACCCTTTACTACTGCGGGTTGCCTACAAATTTATTTGCCTCATTTATTTGTTATAGCGCAACCGTTCCAGTTACGTTAGTATACAGTTCAATGATATTTTTATAAAATATGACAGTGCTATGAAATTAGGTTATAAAAAATTACAGCTATTCAGATTTTATTTGTCAATTTTTTTAAGTTGGCAGCAAATTTGCCCAAAAATGGTGGACGATTGCGGTACTTTCTATATCTATTGACTTTACCCTGCTCATTGCGTTCTCGTTAATTTTTAGAGTTCTGTTAATTTAAAGGTACTGTTGCAGCCAAAATTTGATCACAATTTGATTGAGATTAATATGTTATTTAGAGTGCTATGAAAAACAATTCCAAGTCAGTCAGCCACTATTTGTTGTAGGGATGTTTCATTTATTTTTTAATTATTTATCTGATAATTCTATGGTCACACCATGAAAAGTTATTGCCGATACACTGTATTGTGATCAACTTTTGGCCGCTACTGTTCTAAAAATTAAAGTGCAATACATTGGTCAGCCAAGCATATGGCAAGCTTTTTCTAATTTTTGTACATTCTGATGTGCAATCAAAAAACGAAGAACATTGAAGAATATCGAAAAACCATAAAATACATAGAGAAATCCAAGGAACAAATACTGAAAAATTGTTATGCCTTACAGGACTAGTCAAAAATATATAATCAAAACCCTTCTAGTTTTCGGTGTAGGGGGGTCAAAAATATTTGGTTTAATATTTTAGAGAAAAGTAGACAGGTTCAAAATTGTGATCCTTAGGGCGACTACAAATATTGCTTAATTAGTTTTCTTACCTTAAAAAATTAAGTCGTTCTTGCACTTGAAGAACATGACTATAGCGACCGTCTGGCAAATAGGTGTCGCTAGTAAGTTCTGGGTGTTCCTTAACGAGAACACGAAGCCTATCCATATAAGACGTAAGAGTATTTGTAACTAAAATAACTAAAGAATGTTGGTTTTGCAAACGTTCAATCACTTCCTGCCTATAAAACATATGATGAGACCTTTGGGCGTGCATTCCGTTTGTCGATGGTTCATAAAGACAGCAGATCTCTCTGATCTGCTTTAAAGCGGGCAACGCCCATTTGTCACCGGATTTAAGCTCGTCGACGCACTTATCTAGCCACACGGTTTTTTGAGCATCTCTCTCTTGCGAGCAACTGTAATCCAAAATTTTAACGTGGGCCGCTAGGGCTTGGTCCATAATTTCAATTGTAACATCCTCTGAATGGGCCAGATTCCAAAACAAGGTTAAGACTTTATGCGCCATAACTCCATCTTTGTCGTCCTCGGCGAGCCGTCGAATTAATTCCAGCAGCCGTTCCTGTTGTCGTTTCGAGGCCGACGTCCAGCTGCTTTGGAAACATTCGAATAAATGGTCTAACTGCTCGGGACTAAAATCCCACGCTAACTTCGCCAGCAGGTCGTGAACGTTTTTCACAATTGCCTCGTGTTTACCAACCTGCGCGCACCAAATCGCGTCCAAATCTGACAAACTCAACGCGCGCTCCTTTATGACGAACCTCAAGATCTTCTCCAGCTTTTCCACGTACTGGGGCTGATGCAACGAATCCCGTAATACTATTTCCAATACTCTATTCTCGTTCAACCACTTCGCCATACGCTCGGGAGTCAAAAACTCCTCCTCCTCGACGCCGTGATGACGATTCGGGTAGTACGCGACGCTCGATATCACTTTGTTAATTTCGTTTAAGGCATTCATCTTCCCGTTGAAGCTAGAGATTTGCAACTGTCGCAGGATCATTTTTAATCGAAAATTTTCCAACGTTCGTATTAATTCCTCCTGATTTGAGACACGCAGCGCTAAATTTTTCGACGATTTTATAATGGCGGATACAATGTCGCTTTTCGTTTCGTTTTTCGCTTCGCGTTTCAACTCTTCGTCCGTTAACTTATCGAGAATACCGGGAACCATTTCCTAAAAATTGATGACTTGGGTAAATTCATATACTGCACGATTAAAAATAACAAATAAAAAGATGATTTTTTTTCTCATATTAGACAAGCTACTAAAACAAAAGAAAAGAAATAAGTACCTACACATCTTGAAAACTATAGGATTAAAATTTGTGGTGCTAAAAGACAGGAAAACCAAACAAACGATAGAAAGTTCTTAAAACAATGCGTTTTTGGGGCTGCCTTTTTCGTTTTCTTTGTGTGAATTTAACCAACTTAAATTATCTATTAATACATTACATTCAAAATTTTATTTAGACTTTTATAATTCAATATTTACTTATACCTAAATGTTTATTACTCACAAATGGTTGAAGATAAACCTATGCCCTCACAGACCTTTTGGTAGGAAATTTAGTCATCTAGCTTATCTTTATACATTCCTTTGTACCTAGTTCGGTTTGCCCTGCGTTTTGAAATAAATGCGTGCGATCATGATTTTGGTAAGAAAACTCCACTAGTGGTAGTTTCTCTTACATCCCAAACGGGGATCGCTTTGCGCTTATACTAAAGATAGGGAGTTCATCACCTCTTACCATTTTACACGATGGTTTTATCTAAGAAGTTCGCAAGAGTATTTTTTAGGTTTTCGTAAGGGTTATTTCACTGCAGTAGCACATGTACAAATTCTAGACAGTACACACGCAGGACCTGGTAGTACACTAGCAGGACCAGGCAGTACCAGGTAGTACATATACAGCACCTGGTAGTATACTGGCAGAACTGAGCAGTACCATACATCCGGTTGTATCCGTGTTTAGTGTGACTGTGGGAGTGTCAATATTATAAAATATGAAGCGTCCGTCAAGTGCCCATGATTTATCATTTTTGAATCTCGTTTTGAGGTTTTGGGATCCCGACTTTTGATAAAATAAAAAAAAAATAATTGTTGAAGAAAAGTGCCATTTCAGCCATAATACGGCAAACAATTATTAAGAAAAGAATATGAAATTATGTGCATATGCATAATTTTACAAATATCAGATCACTTTGATTAAATCAATAGGTATATAATTTGTAGTCTTGCATAGCAACCACAGAAACAAGTATTTTGTGTAAATAGAACAAATGAATTACCATTACTTGTCATTAAGATTAAACTGACATCTAAAACAATCTGTTTTACACAAAATACTTGATTCTGTAACATCGAAATCTCAATGTCCAAATCTGTTTTCCTTTTTTTTCCGTAAGGTTGTTTCACTATTCTATTCCTTACACTATGCTATTGCTTATTTGAGCCCACCTAGTGCAATAGCAATCGTTAGTGGGATTGACAGCCACAGCCAGACTGGCTAGTGCATTACCTAATTACTCAAAAATGGTTGAAGACCCCTTGTGGAACTTTTTGTAGGAAATTTAGTCCTCTACAATTTATCTTTATACATTCTTTTGTACGTATTTCGGTTTGCGTTTTGAAATAAATGAGCGCAATCGCAATTTACGTAATAAAACTCCATAAGTAGAACACCATAAAATGGCTTCACTTTGCGCTTATACTAAAAATACAGAATTCATACACCTCTTACTATTTTACACCATGGTTTTATCCCCAGGAGTATTTTTTAGGTTTTTGATTGATGTTTTTATGAGGAAACCATGATTTCTAATTCTTTGTAAAGATATTAGTTTTTAGAGATATTTCTCTGTTGATATCCTTCCTTATATTCCTACATTTCGCAACTTTATAGTACTGACTGAAATCCTTAGCTTAACTAAATCTTGTCATTGCATTATCGCGTAATTTCAATAAAAGTTAATCAAAGTGCTAACCGTTCTCATTGGCTTTGCGTGTCTTTTCGAGGCATGAACATTAAATAGATTAACTAAATGCAACTTACTAAAATTGGCAGTAAGTATTTATTCACAGTATGCGGGGTTAAGTGCTCGTGCGCTAATCCGAAAGGTCTCAGTAGTGCGAACACTACGGAAATGTTCAGGTTCTTCCCAGACTGAAATCGTTCCAAAAGCAACTGAAAACCGCCCAACTCTCCGAACTTATTCAACAGATCGACTAGCCAACCGCGTGGATTTCGTAGATCGTTAACGGGCCTCGCAAACAACTCTTCCTCCGATAAATTCAGTGTGGCGTTAACGGTTTCGCTCTGTCTACTAGAATTAAATGCGTGAAATTTGCTATTCGGATTAAAAACCATCGCTAATAGATCTAATAACGGGAACCAGTCTTGTGTAAGCTTTAGAACGCATAGCTCGACTAATCGTACGCAATTTTGATTAATGCACAGGTGTATGTTCGATTTCCAACTGGAGACTGCGTCATCTGTTAGTATCTTCGTAAACGATATTGTTAGTCCCTCTCGAAAAAATCTCTGGCACGCTTCCGAACGGGTATCTAACCCCTTTCTGGCCAGCTCGATTGACGCATTTAACAAACATTCCAATTCCTGATCCGGTAAGACGGGCACGACCCAACGTAAACTGGATATCTTTTCATCTAAGGAAGCCAATTTATCTAAGGGAAAGTCAGGTTCGATGTTATCATCCTGATGTTCATCCCGATGATCAGAAGGGCCGGGTACCAAACTCTACAAACAACGAGTTATAAAAAGGTGTCACTAATCTATCGGTTTGAATTACTTGGGTTTCAGGAGGTTCTCCTGATAATCCCTGACCTCTTGTTGCAATTGTCATATTGGCTTAGTGTACTGGCATGATCAAACCTGGAACCAAATGCATCTCACTCACAGTTAAAGCTTAACGAAGAAAAAAAGGGTTTTGGTGGTTTATAAAGTTGACAAGTGTCAATTTGAAATAAAAATACAAAGGGAGTGACAGTAATGACAGATAATTTTGAAGTTGAAAAGAAAAACTTTGGCTTACCTATCAAGGAAAGAATTGTAATTTACTAACGCACTAGATTATAAAGTAATAAACGGCGTGGAATTAATTTACGTAAAACAATTCAAATTTTGATTAAATGTACGTAAATTACACCGGCCACATACAAAATGGCGCCCAAAGTAATGATTAAAAATTCTATAAATAGGTTGTTTTAACAAAGAAATTACATGTCAACAGAAAGGGTTTCATTTAAAAATGATATTCGTTTTTAAGTACTAAAAAAACACGACTTTAACATTTGATTGTTGACGTACGGTATTATTTTTGTAGGCACGTCGTGATTAGAGTATTTGCAAATAACTGCTGCCAATTTTCCATTTAGCGATTGATTGATTATTTAGTAATTTTTTTTCTTTTGTTGGATCACTGTGTGGATGTGTCTAATGATGAGTACCGATTCTGGAATCCTGAATTAATTATATTGTATATTATATATACAGTGAACAGTGATAATATTCTTTAAAAGAAAACTCTTGAAATGACTATCCTTCGCCCTCATCAGATATTTGTTACTACTAGACCGCGCATACAGTGACACCCAGCGTATTAAAAGTGTTTCCACAATGCTTAGGCAACATATCATACACATAAAGACATAAAGTTCGTAAAGGGATTTCAAAAAATCCCCAAACATTCGAAAGTCCACAGGAAGAAGTAACTGGAAGATACGAAAGAATTCGACGAGTTCGAAGAATTATAAGGATCTGAAAAAGTTTAATCATGTAAAAAAATCGAAGGAATCTAAAGAATAATTGCAGACTTAGAAGAATCGACAGAATTATAAGAGTCTGGTTTTTCCTTCAAAAATTAAGAGAATGATAGATTCCAATGTTTTCCATTGTTCGTGACGGTCAGCAATTACATCAAATCAAAGTAATTTCTCTATTCTTCCTGTTCAACTGAATAAAGTTCGGCCTTAATTCTCGGCATATTTAAAGCACCATTTTTTATTTACAATTTACGAATCACCCTGTAAGAGTTAAACTTACATAACCTCAAAAAAGATCAAACTAAATGAGGGAATACACCAGTTTTATTTGAATTTAATTTACCATGAGTGAAATTGAAAATTCCGGTTTGTTGATTTTTCGTCAGGAATAATATTCTACCCTCTTATGATTTCAGACCCTTGCGGAATATGTGGCGAGGCCCATCGATATTCTCAATGCGAATGTGTACCCTTCACAAAACATGTAATTCTAAACTTTCCCTGTCCACCGAATTCACAAGACCTCTCTTGTAGATACCTGACAAAGTAGCTCTGACTAGAGCTCGTGCAACCTTACCGGAAGTTGTTAACATTCGAACAATGGCAGACGGCACCTACGCGATTTGCGCTAATACGTTCATCGGGAAAGGCACCCAATTAGGACCGCTGGAAGCGCGAACATTATTAACTTTGAATCCCATTATAACATTTCCTTTAAAATTGTTTAGCACTAACGAAGAGGATCTCTCAGGGTATTACTTAGATACTGCTGACGAATACTGCTGTAACTGGATAATATTTATATCACCTGCGCAACATGCGGAAGAACAAAATGTGATTTGTTTTCAGGTAGAGTTGTGAAAAAATAGGTTTTGCCATGCACTTTTACGTATTTTAGCATAAATCCGAGATTATCTACATGTGCCTTAAGGACGTCCATCCTGGAGATTATTTAAAGGTTTGGTACTCCGATTACTATGGAAAGAAAATGGGAAAGAAACCACTAATGCCTTATAGCCTTTCTATTCCGACCAAAAACACTGATATGCCAAAGGAGCCTGTTGGTAAAGTTTACAATTATTTTGAGCAGTTCAATACGCCGTCGTTACAGATATGAATAAGTTGCTGAAGGAGCAACAGAAATTAGTGGACCGAGAAAATTGGACGTGTAAGTTTTGCGGTAAATTAGAGAACGACATTGCACGTTTTTCCAATCACATCATTGACCATTACACCCGAAAAAAAGTAAATGTAAATTGCGATGAGTGTGAAGGAACTTTTTCGACAAAAAAGGTACATCTTTGATTCTCACTTGCGTCATTCATTTTGGTACAAATTGAGGCAACAGTGTTGTTCGTTTTCCAAACAAAATTGGTGCCTAATAGCTCAGAGACGATTTGTTCAATACATTTCGTACATGCTTCTACACATTTTGAGGCAATTTTTAAACACAGACGTAACATTAAGTGGGGGGCTCTGATCATAACTTGAAATTTTGACGTGGGCCAATAAGTATGATCTTTATTGAAAGATATGACAACAGAATATGTTTCAGAATTTAAGGGTACACATGCGAAAAGTACACAACAAATCAATTGCAAAGGAAGAGCACAAAAGTTCCGAGACTGACAATGTGAAACCAAAAGAATCCATAGTGGGAGGACCGTTATTAAACTCTTTATTAGCAGATAGTTTGGATAATACCAATCTAATGTTGTCAAATATGGATTTAAATTTAAACGTTTTGGAGAATGACGCCCTTAGTCTAGCTGTTGATAATCTGTTGACTGAAAACGTGAAGGAGTTAGATCATTTCAATTTCGATATAACTGAGACTCAAGAACAGTTTGTTTGTGACATTTGCTTGAAGGTGTTTACCAAGTTACGATATTTAATCCAACATTTAAGGACGCACACCGGCCGGTTTACTTGCACTTATTGCTTGAAGGTAATTTTCTCAATGGCTGAAGTTTTCTAATCTTTCGTTGCAGATATTTTGTCGCAAAGAAAATTTGATCATGCACAGTTGTGAGAGAGATACAAGTCTTATACACGCGTGCACAATTTGTGGTAAAACTTTTTCCTCGGAAAAATACTTAGATCGACATACGAATCTTGTGCACAAAGGAGTGTATTTATGTGAAAAGTGCAATAAGAAAAATCACTCCCAAAAAGATTATAAGAATCACAATTGTACTGCTCTCTCCAATAGTGCAAAGCAGGTTTTCCCATGCAGTACCTGTGGTAAGAAATTCTTTCACATTCGCTATTTACGAAAACATGCGAAGAGGCACAAGCAAAAAGAAAAGGTGGCACCATTGAATGAAAATTTTACATGTGAGGTTTGTGGTGCTAACCATAAGACTCGCGCCGGCTTGTTCCTACATAAAAAAACGCACAGTAACCCATCATTCCAATGCCCACTGTGTGAAAAGAAGTTCCACAAAAGTGACACGCTTCGTGAACACAAGCTGTACCGACACTCAGATCAAAAGGTAACTTTCTAGCTGGAAACTTCCTATCAATTATTAAGTTGAGAGTAATTTCAAATTCTTTATAGGTCACATGCACCATTTGCAAAAAGGAACTTAAAAATGAGCGTATCTTGAAAGTTCATATGAAACTTCACACAAATTTAAACACATACAAATGCGATAAATGTCCCTGCAGTTACGCTCAAGCTTCCAGTTTAAAGGCGCACAAATTTACCGTTCATTTAAACCGCTGCAAAGTATGTCATAAGGAATTTCCATCCGCCGATCTCCTAGCGATCCATCAGAAATCGCACGTCCTCAAAGAATTCTACGTCTGTCCGATTTGCAGCAAGTGCATGAAGCTGAGAACCTCGCTCGTTCGACATATCAAAAAGTTCCATCCGGACCAAGATCATGTCGCCCTCGTAGCCAAAATGCAGGCGACTCCCGCCGATCTGGTTCTACCATCTGAAGAACAGAGCGATAAGGAGAACGTAATCGCGGAACAGTCGACCCTATCCCAACTCGTTTCCACCCATGAATCGGACGACTCCAATTTTGATAGCATCGTCGATAACTTCGAGAACATCATGAACAGTTACAATGTAAATAGTAACGATAATTTGTCATTGACCGCCTATACTGATCCGAAAACAAGCGACGACCGGGAGATGTTAGATTTCACCGATTTGCAGATGGATATTGAGAGTAGTTTTGATGTTGGTTCTATCGGTATTAGTAACCAAGACATCTGTTTGTCTATGCCCGATTTAACAGAAGCTGATCAGGAGATTATGTTGGGTACGTGCTTGCGAAAATTTCTTTGTGTAATTTGTCTTTTAGGTGATAATGCATTTATTATGGAGAATGGGACTATTGTTGAACCAAAGGATCAAGGGAACGTACTTGTATATGTTTTGGATAAAAATCTTTAGTTTTTTCATTTTTTGTTCATTATTCTCGTATTGAAGAGTTAATTTTTCGTTTGGGATTATATTTTATTTTCGTATTCATTTATTTTAGTCTATGAAATCACCTTGTATGTGCCCTATTTTTTTATTAAATGGAGTTTTTCAAGTAAGCGATTATTGATTCCATTAGTAATAGACTTTTTAACTAAACGATTATTTGATTATTGAAACAATTAGTTTACTGTTAAATATCAAACGAAGGAAATTATATTGAAAACAAGATGATAGCAGTGGCGTAACTCCACCCTAGCGAAGTGGAGGAGTCAGCTGCAGAAAAAGGGATCTGATAAAGTTAAATTTTACCTAATTTAAAAGTATTTAATTGAGTTGATTACACAGAAAGTAATTCAATACTGTAATGGAATCGATTACTTCGCAGCTCTGTTTGGGAAGTACTAATTGCATGGAACATGCGCTGAAGTTACTATCGCCTTAGGGCGAAAACCTTTTTACTTGTTCCACCTATGCTAGATGAGATATGAAGTATTTTTTATATCCTACCTAAATGTACTATGTGGGAAATAAATTCTATTATAGATTCCTAGAGTAGGAACTTTTTCCGTCATCTTGTCTAAGCGACCGACGCGCGCAGGCTGCTACTAAGCACTTTACGTAGGAGAGGCGCTACTGGATAGCGAATTTTGTTATAGTTTTGTGTAGTCACTAAACAAGGGTGAAGTTGTCTTGAATCAACCACGACATCAAAAGTGATTAAAAAACTTCTAAAATTTAAATTGAAGTTTGGGGGAGCAGAACACATTTTAGAACGACTGGGAAACGAACTTTTGTGAATAGACTCTACTTTAGCCTGTAGAGTCCTTTGATTCAGCAATTCATTTAAAAGAGGAATCAAGATGAAGAATTGGATATGATTTTCAGTAGGGGAATTTTTGCCACTCAGCTCGCAGGCGGAAACCAGGACAGAGCTGGGCAAAATACTTTCAAAAAGTATTTGAATAGGTACTAAATACTTTAGACAAATCAAAAGTATTTCAATACTAAATACTTTTACGTCCAGCACAAGCAAATACTAAATACAGATAGGTACTTTGAAAAGTATTCAAATACTTTCAAAAATAAGTATTCAAATAATACTCTAAAATGTAGGTATTCGAAAACTTTCAAAGTATTCGAATACAGTAAAAAGGATTCAAATACCTTAAAAATTTAAAATAGTAGGTACACTAGATAAAAGTACTTAAAAAATGTCATTATACTTTGTATGGGGGCTACATGGAAGAACGTTTTGTGCGCTGAATGTAGTCCTTTTCCCTGAGGTTAGCTTTTTTTATATTTCTATTGTTATATACAAATTTAAGGGGAATAAAAGCGTATTATTTATATATAGGAGATACCAGGACCTTTCTTATATGTTATATCCTTAAGAATACGTGCGTGTACTAGTTTTCAAAGCGATCGTACGTCGTGCACATGACACGTACACCTTTCTGAAATTAATCCTCGATTTTGAAACCGATCCTTTTTGTCCGTCCATCTGTCCGTGTGCATGATAACTTGTGTAGAAACGTGCGATCGCTTTGAAAATTGGTACACATGGTCTTAAGGATATATTAGGGTCAAAAAGTTTTACTCCAGGATCGTTCAGTGATCAGTTGTATCGGATTATTATACTTGATTTTGTGATAATGGAAACTTCCAGGGGCGGACTGTCCCGGGGGGGCGGGTGGCGGTTGCCACCTGGCCTGTAGATCATAATGGCCCGTTAGAAATTTATAAGTATGTGCTGTAATTAGTTTCTTGCACTATTAATAAATTATTAACACGTTTCTCTAATTGGGGTTGATGTTAGGCTGTTAAAAAATTCTGTTTTAATTGAAGTGTTTTACAATGAATTTATCATTTTTTGTCGTAGCATGAAAGTGCTGAAATACAATGATAGGCGACGCACCTCGTGTGGATTGTATATTTTGTAACTTTTAATTATCAGCTGCAATTTTTAAAAAAACTGTATGGTAATTTTCTATAAGAAAATTTTTTTTCCGGGTCGATCTGAGACAATTTTTTTTTCGGGGCTCACAAAAAGGCAGTGTATAACCTTCCTTTTTTACCAAAAATCGACTACACCAAAATTTCTCGGGAAAACACTTTTTCTTATTAATTTGGGTGCGTAGAGTCCAAATCAATTCGTACTTTTTCGATCAGACTTCTCAATCAAAAGTTATAGACTAGAAACCATCAATTTCGAAAAAAAATTCAAAGGGCTGTAACTTTTGAACTAGTAGCCCAATCTTGGAACTGTTTGAAATTAGGGATTCTACAGGCTCACATTCTATAAGAAATTTTTTTTTCCGGGTCGATCTGAGACAATTTTTTTTCGGGGCTCACAAAAAGGCAGTGTATAACCATCCTTTTTTACCAAAAATCGACTACACCAAAATTTCTCGGGAAAACACTTTTTCTTATTAATTTGGGTGCGTAGAGTCCAAATCAATTCGTACTTTTTCGATCAGACTTCTCAATCAAAAGTTATAGACTAGAAACCAATTTCGAAAGAAAATTCAAAGGGCTGTAACTTTTGAACTAGTAGCCCAATCTTGGAACTGTTTGAAATTATGGATTCTACAGGCCACATTCTATAAGAAATTTTTTTTTCCGGGTCGATCTGAGACAATTTTTTTTCGGGGCTCAAAATTATTAACACGTTTCTCTAATTGGGGTTAATGTTAGGTTGTTAAATAAATGAAGTGTTTTACAATGAATTTATCATTTTTTGTCGTAGCATGAAAGTGCTGAAATACAATTATAGGCGACGCACCTCGTGTGGATTGTATATTTTGTTTTAATTATCAGCTGCAATTTTTAAAAAAACTGTATGGGAATTGATTTTCGAGAAAGGAGTACTGTTTTTGTGGTGCACCTCAGCGCTTAAATCCCCCCCCCCCCCGCCACCTTCATTACTACACTAATACTTTAATGGCCCGTAACCTATGCATTTCCACCTGGCCCTTAAGTACCCAGTCCGCCCCTGGAAACTTCCCCTAAACATTTCAAAATAGTTCTCAAATATTTGAATAACTGAAAAGTATTCAAATACCTTGCGAAGTATTCGAATACTTTACGAATACTAAATATTTACGAAAGTATTTGAGTTACAAATACAAATACTGCTTCCATAAAAGTATTTGAATACTTTAAAGTACCTACTTGAGTACTAAAATGTATTTACAAAATCGAATACTGCCCAGCTCTGACCCAGGGTGCGGGTTTTGCATGAGCCCGGGAGGGCCTCAAAGGTTATGTTTAAAATTTCTCCAGATCTCGTAGTAAAGAGACAATTTCATGAAGGTATAGGAAAAAGGAGCTGAAACGATATAGGGAAGAATTTGGTTATTATTGTACTTATTCTGTGCAGCACTGGACTTACAGTGACCCAGTAACGTTAGAAAAAAGATAGCAAGTTTGGGGTAGGTATACTACAGGGAGGTGACTTGCGTAACCCATCATAAGGATTTCCATGTAAAATTCATAACATGCGATTATTGGCTCCCCAAATTATTTTAGAGTAAAAATGTAGGTATTAAGGTTTTTTGTAGAAAATTTTTTTTTACCAAAATCAACCGTATGAGTGTTCAATTCTTTTCATAATAAAGACAGAAAATTGGAAAAATAAAACCCCCATGAGCTTTTTCAATAATCTGTGTTGCCATGGAATTTTATAGTACAAAAACTACGCCAATATCCGTCATGCCATGGAATGTCTGCTATAAAACAAATCAAATTCTATCAAAAAGTATTATATTTAGAACAGCGAATTCAACATAAAGAAAAACCAAATTACTAAAAACGGTTTCCTAATATAACAATTTACAATAAATGTTCGAATAAATCACCATTAACTGCAATATAGTACAGTAACCAAGTCGATCATAAAATCCATTTCGAACTGCTGCTAATTGATAACTGGATATCTTTTTGTTTTAGAAAATTCCATAGCATCGCAGATTATTGAAAAAGATGCGGGTTATATTTTTCCAATTTTTCATCTTTATATGAAAAAAATTGAAAACTAATAGGGTTGAATGGCGTAAAAAAGGGAAACCTTTAATTCGTTGTGGAAAAAAACGGGAAATACAATGAAAAGTGTTTAATTGTGTTATACCTATGTGCATCGGTTGTTGCGTTTTTAGTCTCGTTTTTAGTAGGTATTAGCTTAGTGTAAAGAATAGAATTACACTATGGTATTAGTTTTTAAATTTCAAGAAACAGGGTCAGTGGTGAACCCAAGACCATGAATACTGGATGAAGCTGTTCAGATTGGAGTTTTAGGTTGTTTAGTGCTTCATATTTACTTCTTTATATATTTATTACTTTATACCTACTTCATATCTAATATGAATCGAAAATATGTTTTGTTTGAGTTTGATATTATATTTATATTCTATTCAAAATAAATTCTTTGATAATACCATTGAATTTATAATAATACTTATGAAAATAATCGTTTGTTTAACATTCATTCACAAACTGGAGATATTCTTTCGTTCTAAACTAAGTTCCTATGCATATCCCTCCTTCCAGATTAGTTTAGAACCTGAAATCGTAAGTAGGTATACTTACAAATCAAGCAAATTACCAGAAGCACTAAAATTTAATTTTCAAGGATGATTCAAATAACGTGATCGGCGCGAATATCCTAACCCCTCCCCTACCCCCTCGACGACATTCTGGATACGCTAATGTCCAACATCATCCTATTCGAAAACCATCAGCGACTACTCCAGAACTTTCGAGAGGAACGGTATACGACGGACAAATGCTAGCTCTTATAAGGTGCAAATTGTTCAACAACGAAACGAACCGAAGAGGACTACCGTCAAAAACCCCAGTACTGTGAGATGATGACCGCGAGAATATTCAAAACCATCCCTGGTTGGCTACTGATAACGGTTTGCTATAGGTAATTAATAGAATGGACATTCTTTTCAACGGAAACGTAAACGAACATGTCATTATTGGAAGGAGGAAAATCCTTTTTGTCCCCAAAAATTAATCTCTGGGCAGGTATCTTCACATGATAAAATTATGGGTCCTCTTTCTTTGTGGTCAATATTAAAGTCGGTTGTATGTACCTACCTATACAAAACAGAACCTGCTTCAATAAATTTAATGATCTTCGAATAATCATGGAGTATAAATAAGTACCGTTCCCTTTCCAGGAAATTGTTTACAAATGTTAGAGATAAATTTGAAAACCGTTTATTGTATTTAGCGCACAAAGATGATCATTGAGTTTATATTTCTGTTAAATAAATTATGAAGGGTCATCCCAAATGTGCCTATATCAGTAGTGTATGGTAAGTATGTGGGTTTGGGCTAGGAAAATACGCTAAAACTGTATTTAATGTATCCCCTGCCATAGATGAAATCGTTGAGTAAAAAATTACTTTGTTATTCAATGCATGTTTTAGACTAACAATACAATGGTACCATAACAGCTGAAAATCCACCATATACACTTGTGTATATACCTTGAACCATAAAATCACGTAATAGGTATAAGCAAGTTCAATACTTTATACAGTTCTTGACATATTTACATTTGCAATGTATAAATAGCAACAATAATTTATTTATATTAGTGCGGCACGCCTAGAAATTACATAATGTAAAATTTATCGAGAAAGCGGCGGAAGAATTTCAAAAATCTCAGTTAAAATCTGTATGCTAGCCAACTAATGAACTTGTGCCTAATTTCCTTTTTTTTCCAAATTTAAATTAACACATTATGCGAGGAAATCGAGATAAAATCAATGAGTGATGTTAGAGCGAAAATGTCTAAGGGTGCATGTTATGTAGTCACCTAATCGCGCTGTGTGCAACGTGACTTTTATTATGGTGCTATTTCGAGCCAATCGGAACTTCGGAAAATGAGAAGTCACGTTGCAAAGGATATGGTTTGAGAATTTTCTAAATTCATTTCATTAATTGGCTGCATTTGAACGACGAGCGTCCAACAGGTGTGCGTACGGAGGTGTAATTTCGTGCGTGCACTTTACATACAAACGAGGTACTTAAAAAATGGCGTGCGATAGATGAGTGCGATTAGTGGATGTATGGGCCCCGCGCTGTCCAAGGGGCCCGAAGTACACACAGTGCATTGGTTTCGCAAGGGACTAAGATTTCACGACAATCCAGCTTTACGGGAGAGTTTGAAGGGAGCGAAAACGTTTCGCTGTGTTTTTGTCTTAGATCCGTGGTTCGCGGGATCATCAAATGTTGGAATCAACAAATGGAGGTGAATATACTACGTTTTTTTTATTGTGCATTAATACAACCATACCGTCTTTCCTTAATCCTTATTATAAGAGATGAATATAACGATCGCGGTGAAGGGTCGAATAATTTCCCTCTTCGTTGCAGATTTCTTTTGACATGTCTAGAGGATTTAGATCGAAGCTTGCAGAAAATGAATTCGAGGCTGTTCGTTGTCAGGGGACAGCCGGCGGATGTTCTTCCCAAACTGTTTAAGGAATGGGGCACTACTTTGTTAACTTTTGAAGAAGACCCCGAGCCGTTTGGGCGCGTCCGCGACCAGAATATCATAACTATCTGCAAAGAAATGGGAATTGCGGTGAGCTGTAAAGTTTCCCACACTCTTTACCACCTTGAGGACATCATTGACCGAAACGGAGGAAGAGCGCCGTTAACATATCATCAATTTCAAACAATAATAGCTTCTATGGACCCTCCTTCATTTGCCGAACCTCCCGTGAGCGCCAAAGACGTCGCGAACATCGCAACGCCAATTGAGGACGATCACGTAGAAAAATACGGCGTACCGAGCTTAGAGGAACTCGGTTTCGACACCGAAGGTCTACTGCCACCCGTATGGCTGGGAGGAGAAAGTGAAGCTTTGGCGCGATTAGAAAGACACCTTGAGCGAAAAGCGTGGGTTGCGTCATTCGGACGTCCAAAAATGACACCTCAGTCTCTTCTACCTTCACAAACTGGCCTATCCCCATACTTACGTTTCGGGTGCCTTTCAACGCGTCTGTTTTATTATCAACTAACCGATCTATACAAAAAGATTAAGAAGACGGTCCCGCCGCTGTCTTTACACGGACAATTGCTCTGGAGAGAGTTTTTCTACTGCGCCGCGACACGAAACACAAACTTCGATAAAATGTTAGGTAACCCCATTTGCGTGCAGATTCCCTGGGACAAAAACGCCGAGGCGCTTGCGAAATGGGCCAACGTAAGTATATAAAGTCAAGGGAGGGCTTCTGACTTTAATTTGTATTCAGGGACAAACTGGTTTTCCTTGGATTGATGCGATAATGACCCAGTTGCGCGAAGAAGGGTGGATTCACCATCTAGCTCGCCACGCTGTTGCCTGTTTCCTGACACGCGGAGACCTTTGGTTATCGTGGGAGGAAGGCATGCGGGTAATAACTGAGGGCGTTCTCCTTCTGTGATAACCACCCGTTGTTTCAGGTGTTTGAAGAGCTTCTACTCGACGCGGATTGGTCTGTCAATGCCGGAATGTGGATGTGGCTCTCCTGTTCGAGTTTCTTCCAACAGTTTTTCCACTACTACTGCCCGGTAAAATTTGGACGAAAGGCAGATCCAAACGGCGACTACATCAAGTATGTTCAATCTCTCCCATTTGTGTAGTATCAGTACTGTAATCGATTTTTAGAAAATATCTCCCTGTTTTGAAGAATATTCCCACTCAGTACATTCACGAGCCCTGGATGGCCCCCGATGTTATACAGAGAACGTCAAAATGTATCATTGGAAAGGACTATCCTCTGCCTATCGTTAATCACGCATCAGCCAGCCGCATTAATATACAACGCATGAAGCAGGTGTATCAAAAGCTTGCGAATTATCGAAATATCGATACGTGGAATGTGCCCCAAAAGCAAAACTATATTCGTTTTGAGAATAACGCAGTCAATGGCAATGTGATTTAGAGACAAGACTATAAATTGAATACAGTCATTTTGTATATAGGTATGCATTGTAGTATCAAACATTTGAAATAAACCGCGGATTTTTTAGATTATCAATTGGCGTTGTTATTTGCTAATAGTTCGACAAATTGGTTAGCTAAGAGGTTGTCCTAGGCACCTGCGTACTCTCAAATGAATCCAAAAGAGAAACAACGAATTTCTCACAAATATTGATCTAAGTGCAACGTGTTAGTGAACGAAGCCAGAAAAAGAGTTGTGGTCAATTTTCCCCAACCAGTTGCTTTCGACTAAATGCGAACGAAGATTTCATTTGATAAAATCTCAAATTAAAGTACTTATTACGTACGATTCAAGAAACGTGAACTGCCACGTAACTACCACGTGGCCGTTTGCAAAATAGGGAACACTTTTGTGGTGGCAGTCACGTTCCAACCACGTGTCAACCTTATACAACTAAAGTTACACATTTTATACCGGGAACCATCAATCGTACCAAATTCTAATTTGACTAATCGCAATAAGTACGTTAATACCTACTCAAAATTCAAAAACCCAAACATTCAATATTAAATCCAACTAACTTAAAAAACAACTCTAAAGGTTTGGTTTGTTAGTAAGTTCGATAGCGAAAAGTCGGCGAAATTCCGGTCGAAGTTTTATGGTTTTCGGCGCGGACATGAATGTACCCAATGGTTGTGAATAAATTTTTACGCCGCCTAATTTCGCCGACTTTTCGCTAGCGAACTGTCCTAACAAACCATAATTTCAGAAGCAATTTCAATTCAGGACAAAATCCAAATTTTAATCCAACCAGTCTCCAGCACATAGCATCGAAAGCAACCAATTTCCAACCACCATTTAATAACAATAGTATACCTAGATCTTAAAAGAAAAGTAATATCGCGGTCGCGGTGGTGGTGGATCTAAAAGATCGAGACGATTGAGAATCGTGACTGACTATTTAATAAGCACATGCAGCCTGAAGATATAGGTAGATATCAAATACACTAGGTACATTTAGTAAAAGAGAGATTTAGAAACCAGGTAATTAACAGCAAAAGCGACCCAGGTGCGGACAATGCTACCTGACCACAATTTAATTGTGATGAATAGCAGGTTTAAGTTTAAAAAGTTGGCCACACCTAAGAAAGAAGGTAGGGTAGATTTAGAAAAGTTTAAAGTGCCAGAATTGCCAGATAGGTTTAAGGTCGAAAGAAACAAGATGATATAGGTAATGGCAGAGAAACGAACAATGTGGAAGAGGTTTGGTCGGAGAATAGATGAGGACTGAGGAAGGTAGCTGGAGATCTTTTATAAGAGTAGAAACAAGGATAGCCTGAAAAGAATGGGTCACAGGAGAAATTCTAGAACTAATGGACGAAAGGGGAAAATAGGTATAAAAACGCTTCAAGTCAGCATGGTAGGGATAGATATAAAGAATTAAAAAACAAGATAGATAGGGAATGTTAGATAGCAAAAGAACAGTGGCTCGAGGGGAAATGCGAAGCAATAGAGGCTGAGTTCAGTAAAGGTAGGAGGGACGTAGGATTTAGTAACGTAAGGCCAAAGTTAAACGTTCTGCAAGGTGCAGATAGAGAAGAACTCATAGAACTTAGGAACAGAGCAAAAATTTTAACAACAGAGGTAGTAAATCAAGTATAAAATAGGGGTTTAAAAAAGACATTCATTCTACACTACCTATACCCAATTTATAATATCCTCTATCCATCTTAAAAATCCTTCAATTTTACCACTTACGATTGAAATTCAACATTTTCGCAATGAATTTTTTGACTGTAGGTATGAGACAAACCTAATCGCACCCTAAACATAATTTTATTGAAAAAGTAAATTAAACCCACGACCCTGCATCCGAAGAAAAATTAATTAAAACAACGGTTGCGAAAATTATTAAAATGCATATAAAAGAACAATAGATCAAGATGAAATGACATCCACCCAGATTCAAATAAATCAATTAATAATAAAAAATCTAAACAAATTTCAGCATATTAAAAAATGCGGATTTTTAAACTTTAAAATTTTTTTAATAACTAATAATAATGATTTCAGATTGAAATTGCGGACGGAATAACACGTCATACACATTACAAAATCAGTTCTAACCTTCACAAACATCAAAATTTGGAAATTAGTAGTTCGTATAAGTACCTTTTAGGAAAGCTTTAATTGACAACATGTAGTAAAATTGGATACGGTTTTATCTGGTTTATCGTCGGGATCATTTGAATTTCATTAATCCCAAAAGCAGAAGCTGCTATTAATAGTTTAATAATCTGCCCAATAAAATATCTGGGTAACCACAAAAAAAATGAAATTACACTTATTAATGTATGTTGATTTTTTGAAACTTTTAATTGGTTTAGCTGGGCAACCAGGGGCGAGACGCATTGCGTCGCTAATATTGAGGCAAAATGCACGAATGCAATAGAAGAGAAACCAAAAAAATTGTATAAAAAAACTAGCCATCCTGCCGATGAAAAGAGGATCAACTCGTCAGAGTTTATAAAAAATAAATGTGTAGTTATAAATACACCCCAAAATACTCACATTCTAACCACAATCAATTCACCGACTGCGGAGGGCGTAGAATTACACTGTTCCCTGGTACAATAAAGTTCGCTCTCAAATAAACCAAACAACTATAAAATCAATAAAAGTCAAATTCAAGAAATATTAAACAGAAACACGTCACGCAGTCGGTAAAGTTGGAAAAAATGAGAGTATTAGTAGTCTATAGGTATACATCGGCGCTAAAAACTCATATAAGAATTGCATTATCCTATGTTCCCTGTATACTGTAAATTCAAAGCGAGACGGACTATAAAAGCGGAGGGATGCCTTTGATTAGCGGACTCTTACCGCATGCAGTGAACTTCTGCAGTGGAAATATTCTTTCCCCGTTCCCACACAGGGTATTGGACAACTCGAACTAACTAAATTAACAATTTCGGAAAAATCTAAACCCCTTCCCGCAGTTACTTCCAATCTAACCACTTCTTCCCTAAACCATGACCTACCTGTGTAGGTACCAAATTTTATTTTATATCTTTATATCTCATAGCGTTTTCGAGTTATCGTGCGAACGCCCAGGTAGCTCCAAAACAAATCGGTTATACAGGGTGACACTTTTAAAACTTTCAATGGGCGATATCGTTTTTTATATTAGAGGTATCACAAAATGGCCAAAACCGTTTCGGTAGAATCGAGGGGGAAGCAAAATGGTCGTATAAAGAAGGAACCAACTTCAACCTCGTACCCCCCGCCACCCCCATGCCTAAATTTTGAATTGTGACGTATCACTTGTGATACATCATTGGAAAGCTCTTAAAAAATGCTTTTCAGAAATACCAACACTGGTGCATTTAAACTGCCCATTCACAATTTATGTAATAAAAATGAGTAATTTGAGTATTTGATGAATTTGTCAGTGTTTGAAATAAAAAAAAATTTCTTAGATCTAGTGATGCTTTGGAAAAACAATGAAAGCAATTTTTAGTAAATAATAATTTTCTATTGCTTTATTTGTTGATCGTTTATTATTATTTTAGTCTCGTTTTTAGTATTCCTTGGCAAGAAAATTACAAATTTTGAATTTAACTAAAGATTTCATAATGGTGTACACGTTAGCCGAAAGAGTTGAAATTATTTTCATCTATGGTTCTGAAGCGTGATCTGCATTTAGAACAGCAGCTGTTTTTAATGCCCGACACCCAGAACGACGTGTCAGTCACACTTATGTTGCAATGTTAGTGACTAAATTTGAAGAAACTGGGTCAGTGGAAAATAAGAAAAGAGACGGACCAAGAATAATGGATGAAGCTACTCAGATTGAAGTTTTAGGTCATTTTGGTGCAAACCCAACATCATCTATTCGAAAAGCAGCGACTATGACCGGACTTTCGCGAGAAACTGTACGACGAACTCTTAAGGTGCACAAATTCTACCCTTATAAGATGCAGATTGTACAGGAACTAACCGAAGACGACTCCGATCGAAGAATCCAATTTTGTGAAATAATGACCGAGAATATTCAAAATAATCCGGAACTGGTGAAAAACATTTGTTTTAGTGATGAATGTACATTCTTTTTAAATGGAAATGTGAACAAACATAACTGCCGGTATTGGGACGATAAAAATCCTCATCTTTTTCGCGAGGGGCATACTCAACGGCCCCAAAAAATTAACGTCTGGGCAGGTATCTTAGGTGATAGCATTATTGGTCCTCTGTTTATCGAAGGAAATTTAACTGGAGATACTTACCTAAACATGCTACAAAATACCGTCGAGCCTCTCATCACTCATGAAATAGAGAATCAAATAAATCCAATTGACGGAAACATGAATTTGATTGAAGATTTCATACATTTTCAACAAGATGGGGCTCCTCCTCATTACTCTATGGCTGAAGTTCGTGAAGTTTTAGATGAGAAATTTCCGGGACAGTGGATAGGACGAAGAGGTCCTATAGAATGGCCAGCACGATCTCCAGATCTGACACCATTGGATTTCTTTCTTTGGGGTCATTTAAAATCGGTTGTGAGAAAACTGAACCAGCTTCCATAAATGATCTTCGCTACCGGATAGTCGGGGAGTGCCGTTCACTTTCCAGGGAAGTGTTTAAAAATGTTAGAAATGAATTTGAAAACCGTTTGTGGTATTGTTTAGAACAGAACGGTGAACATTTTGAACATTTTATTAAATAAAAGTTGTTTATTTGCGGAGTTCAAATTTTAGTGTAATAAATTGTGAATGGGCAGTTTAAATGTACCAGTGTATGGTATTTCTGAAAAGCATTTTTTAAGAGCTTTCCAATGATGTATCACAAGTGATACGTCACAATTCAAAATTTAGGCATGGGGGTGGCGGGGGGTACGAGGTTGAAGTTGGTTCCTTCTTTATACGACCATTTTGCTTCCCCCTCGATTCTACCGAAACGGTTTTGGCCATTTTGTGATACCTCTAATATAAAAAACGATATCGCCCATTGAAAGTTTTAAAAGTGTCACCCTGTATAACGGGCTATGTTTGTGCATAAAGAAAAATAAGTTATGGCATAAATATAGATAAGATTTTTCTTGGTTGAGGTCCCAGAGTTATAAGCTACCGAATGCAAAAAAAAACGAGCTAAATATCTTGAAAACTGTAGGAGTAGTTAGACCTGGGACGAACGGAGAAAGTAGGCATATTAGCGCCTTGCCGCCTTCCAACATAAGTCGGAAAATGCGCTCAAAATGTAATCAACATACACTTCAACTTCGAGAAATGTTGTTGATGTTGTTGATATATCCTAACATACGGAAAAACGATGTGTACCTACTGGCCTAACATGGTATAGTTTTCTGAAGATCCACCTTACTTTTTTTACGGAGATGGAGGAGATAGAGTTGGTGTTCAAAATGGTTGATTTGATGTGGAAAAAGAAAAGACTAACAGACAATTACGCAAGAATACCTACATATTGCGGTAAAACTACCGTTCTTATTATAATCGTTATAAATGCAATTGATTTTCAAATGAGCATTTTTTGTCACAGATCAAAGACGTTACAGTTTACATAAAGGGGGTCGATTTAAATCAAGAGGGAGCTTTAACTCCATCCCGGCCGAAGATTGTCTGCACGCGCAAAGTTCCTACCGAGGCCGCACAATGAGCGTAAGGGAGACAAACAAAGTAATGAAAAAGTTTTACCCCCAACGAGGAAATGGAAAGAAGCTTTCTTGTGTGTACATGGTGAGTGAACACGAAAACAGGTGCACGCAGTCAATTGCTTCTTCATTTCTACGGTAACTGCGGTACAATAAAGAGTCGTCGGAGGAAACTGTAAATAATAGTGATGTGATCCTCCTTGTGATTAATTTTTTTCAATAAGTGCGCTCATAAACCGTACCAATTAATAAAAAAGTGTATAGTTATGGTAATTAATAATGTGCTCCAATTGTCAACAAGGCACAGAACCATGGTAGGCTATTTCCGTATTACAAAACATTTAAGCATTTTTAAAGCGGATGTAAAAATTTTAATTGATAGATAAAAATCTCTGTACGCTTACATAACAAAATGCTAGTAGCAGGAAAAAAAGGTGGATAATTAGAGTAGAAGTACAAGCAACTGTTTGGTGTCATACTACATTTGCGCTTAAAATTTATTATGTTACGTTGTTCTGGGTATGTACTAATTAAATTTAAAACTTTTACACTTTGCGCCAACGGGATTTATCCAATTTTCGTCTTTTCTCACCTTAAATAATTACTTCTATAGTCTAAACATTGAATAGAACATGCATTTAGGGGTTGTACAGGTGAAAAGAATGACTAACACCGATCGAATTTGGTCACTCATTTCGTGCGCGGTAAATTTTAAGGGAAATCGTTGCTGTTATGGTTGGATGCACATTATAATTTTGGAAAATTCGGGTTAGAAGATTGGTAAGTGGACAGCTTGGCCAATGTGCATCGCACACAAACTGCAATAAAAATTAGAAACCGCTTGTAGAAACTCGAAACTGATTAATTGGGGTGTATATTTTTTAATTTTAAAAGATCTCATTGCTTAGTAACCATGAAATTAAGTTTTTCTTCATTCATGAGTGCAGTTTTGATCACTGTAAAATTCAAAATAAGTAATTGGTAAAGTACCTATTATTGCTTGACAACTTTTTTTAAATTACAAACGTTATACTACTTGTAAAATGCAGATTACGCATGTAAGAAGAAGATGTGCTGAACGGAAACTGAAGACCCAAAACTGTCAGTTAGTATCGCTATCGTATATAGAGTAATCATTTTACACTATGCTACTACTACCTATCACCAAATAATCTTCATTTAACTTGCATGGAAAAAGAATTAACGAACATTTTAAAAGATTAGGCAGATTTAAAAAGCAGATCCGAAAGAACATTAGGTACTTCAATTTCGGAAGAAAACCGGCAATTGTACTCGAAAAAAAAATACTCGCAAACAAAGAAAGATCAAATTAAAATAAAAAATAACGATTAAAGTCATGCACAAATACAAACAAAGTCACACAAACTTAGTTTAATACGAAAAACAAAAATGCTTTGTAGCAGTACCAAATTAAATTGTAACAGCGACGGAAGAATACAAAAGTTACCAATTAAACAAAACCGGAACTAATGAAATACCAGTCCAGTAGGTACACTTGGTAGAGAACTTGAAAATGGAAAGTTGGAGACTTTCATAATTAGTGGTAAACAAACATGTTGTTATATAAGCAAGCGGCTCTTTCTTGACTTTTTGCCGGGATCAATAATTTAGACAAAAGCTGCCGAATCCTGGTTAATTTTATCAAATTTCACTCAATATTGTCCTGTTGGGATCATGTATTTTATATTATGGTACCTAAACTCATAACAAAACCGATAACGGTCTTCCCTATGTTGCTAATGAAAATACTTTCAAATATCGGAACTTGTGTTGTATGTGACACAAGGTAAACTAAGTTCACAAGTTCACAATTAATAACGATTTACACACATTTTTTGAAAAGTAACTAAATTTTGTACCCACCCCAAAGACAGACACCACATTGTCTTCATCAGTACATCTTTCGATACTTCTTCTCAGAAACATTTTGGGCATCTTCGTCCCGGAGCAGCACTAAACCTTCAAATGCGGACCTTTGCAGGTAATTCTAAGGGTTTAACGTTTAAAGGAACTAAGTGCCAATGCCAAATAGAAATTAAGTTATCTATTTGGATATCGTAAAAAAATTTCCTTCTGGCCGGGAAGGCGAACGAACTAAGCGGTCCTATAATAACATTTTTTATTTTTAACAATTCCTTAAGATCAAGCTGGAATTCCATCAAGACCAACTTCTGTCCTGAAGAAAACTAAAGTGCCTCAGATCGCTTATTATATAGCCGCAGTACTTGAGAATAAGAACGTCTATGCAGATATTTCGTGCCGTGTGGCTCAAAATGTTCAAAAACTTCCCAAGTGCCATTCATAGTGCCAATATTATTTCAAGCACTTTTTCTATATTTTTTTTCCAGCTCATGTTGGAAGGCGCTATTATGGCCACTTTCTCCGTCCGTCCGTCCAAGGCCTTAACTACCCCTGAATATATTTAGCAAATTTCCATGAATGTTCCATGAAAAATAAAAATAAACCTTCATAGTTGGACCACAAGGAATTCTGTCTTATTATAAAGCGAAATGAGACCACTACTCTATTGATTTTATTTTATTCCACAAATCTATTAATTCAAGATTTAGTTCCCAGATAGTTGGTCATGGACCTCATTTCTATCATTACGACACCAAAATAATAGAATTGGTTATTATAAGACTTCTCCTGTGTAAGCAAGCCGGGTCGATGGTATAAAATTATTGAAATAACATTTAAATAACATCTAGAAATTGTCACTTATAATTGCACAAGAGGTTTGTATTTTACCGAGTAAATTTGGGTTGTTTAGGTAATGAAAATTTGTTGCCTAGCAATTAGACGAGAAAAACTGTCAACTAATAAAAATGCGACACCGCAGGTGGAGCATTTTTAGGTTGACAGTTTTTCGAGTCCAATTGCTAAAAGGAAACAAATTTGAATTGCCACAACCCAAATTTACTCGGTTTAAATACAAACCTCGAGTGTAATTCGGCAGGACAATTTAACGAACAAGAAATTCACCAAATTAATCAATTATTGACAGACGTCAAACTAGTCATATGGGAAAGGATAATGCGATTATTGGTTCGAAAATGAATAAGTGAAAAAACCTCGGAAAAAACCACTAGTGCATTTGTCGCTGGAAAAGTTGCAGGTAACTTTTGCCGCTGTCAAAGTGACAATTGCACTGCGGCTTATGCGATTTTTTATACATGAGTTGAATTGTCAACATAATATTACAAATCAGTAAGTTAGCATAGGTGAATTTTATTTTATTTTTATTTTAATTTTATTTTATTTTTATTTTTATTATTATCTTTTCTGTTAACTGTAATTTGGTATGCAGAACAGTTATTGGGCATTGCCTGTTGTTCTGCAAAGTTTTTTCAATAAATAAATAAGAAATTAGTTAAAAACATTGAAAACTGTAGGGATCTCCAAGTAAACCTGAACTTAATACATACGCTTAAAAATGGTCTTAAGTTTTCTTGCAACAATCTACAAAATTAAACAACGTCCCAGTGTTATTTGTCAACTTTATAATAAGCCATTAGTAGCTAATGTTACTACAAGCGATCAAGGAAGAAGATGATCTGCCCGTTTAGAATGACTGCATCAAATTGGGCCTTCTGATTTTTCTTTCTGGGTGAAAATCACGTCTGAAGGAAAGTAATACACTGTATAGTTTGCGTTTAAAAATGAAAGGCAACAGGGTTCCCAACTAAAATATTATTATGCTAATAACACAAATCATTTAATATTCACGCTGTAACATTAGGCGCACATAATCAAGGGTGGGCCTAGATGGGTACAGTGTGTCCAAGATAAGAATGAACACTGCAATTTAAGAATGGTCTTACCAACAGATTATTCTGATACAGTGTTAATTAGTGTTTAGCTTAGCTTTGGTTTTTTGGTGCAGACATTCCCCTCTAAACAAAAGTGTTCTCTGCACTATTCGAGAAAAAATAAAGCTAATTAAAACAAAACAAGAAATAAGCAAAGAAGGGCAAATTATGGAAGACTATTTTCCCACCCCATTCATTGTTTTCAGGTTTGAATATAGAGGGTTTTACGCTTGACGACTTCGAAGCGGTTATTACAGATAGGAATGTTGTACAAACTCTTAATAATAATTAATTGCTCCATTTGTACATAATGTATAATCTTCAGAGTTACTAATCTTGTTAATTTTCATTTTCAGATGGAATATGATTTTGAAGCATGATGGATTGGTGGCGTTCAGCCTTACTCATAATCCATACAATTCTTAGCTCACTTCCCGTTTTGAATCCTCAAAGTAAGTAAACTTTCACTTCTTTGCGAATTTTACTCGTGATACTACGTGGACTTTATTTTCCAACGAGATTCGTATACAGATTAACATCTCGAGGCAGACCTTGAATTTAGTTCCGAAGAAGAAGTACAAGTCAAAAGAATTCAACCGGAAGGGTGCTCAAACAGCGTGGTTCCTTGGCAACTTCCTTTAGATGCCTTTGTATGAATAAAGTATCATAAATAGAAAGAATTTTGCAATTCGAGAGTTAATTTCAGCGCACGCGACATATACGTAAATCTTAATTGCGCGAGCCATTTTAGGAAGACGGCTTCATGGTCGGAACATCTTTGTACGATCTTGGCTTAGTTAGATCTACTCCAATTACGGTTAACAGTTTAATTTTGAGCTAGTAAATATTTATAACAATAAATTGTATCTGTTACTGTAGACTTTTAATCGCGATTTTTTGAGAAACCACTAATCATTATAATAGACAGCGCGTTCCCGTTACGATTGTTGGTTTAAATGTAATTTAGAACGCACACCGACATTTAGTTGGTATTTATAAGTGAAACAATGCAAAATAATTTCTATTCTCTATTTTTACTGACACTAATCATGTAACATTGCATAAATTGAACGAATGATAGGTTGCAGTTCCACGATCGCCTGCACTTATTTCAATATTTGCCAATCACTTTTAATCGGTAGATATACGTACAATCATTGAATAAAAATAGTGTTTTTATTCAATGGTACAATGTACATACCTACTAAACAAAAATTATATGTTAAGTTACGTTATTATTTTTCTATGAGTTACTATTGGATATTGCATAAAATCGGATGTACGGATTTGCATATTTTGTCTGCAAGGGCTGTAGTGCTTGCCCAAACATAAAGTTAAGGGGGTTGAGCCAACCCCACCTTGATACATAGATAGCTGTAGCTTCTACAGTTTTTTCCGAATTTAATGCAACAAAAACTATATTTAATCACTGCTAAAATACTACGAAACGACCATAATTTTAAATGTTTCAAATTATTATTATCGGGAGCTATTAATAGTAGGTGGAAGTAGTATTTAAATGGCATGATAATTTTTTCTTAATTGAATTGCATACGATTTGTCCCCCTAAATTCAAAAAGAAGTAGAACTAAGGTTATATTCAGGGTGGCAATTTGAAAACTTACTACCCCCCATGTCTTAGTACATAAACGAGATATTTTAAAAAATCAAAATCCTTTTCGTTAATTCGGAGGGGGAATCACAATGACATAGTTGACGACGCATCCCCTTCAACCCCCTTCGCCCCAGCCACCACATCTTTTAAATCTTAAATAGTGCCCCCCATGTGTGATACGTCGTTGGAAAGCTCTGAAAAAATGCTTTCCAACCATACCAATTAACTAAGACAGAGAATAATTCAAGAATGTAGAAATATTGCAAAACCAACATTTGAAAAGGTTCGACAAGAGTTTGAGAATAAATTATACTACTCTCTTACCAATAACCAATTTTGAACATTTATTGAAATAAAAGCCAACTTTAGAAAATGTATCATAGTAGTTTATTTTTTTATTTGCACCATAATTACTAAACTAAATGTAATGTTATTTGGTATGGCTGGAAAGCATTTTTTCAGAGCTTTCCAACGACGTATCACACATGGGGGGCACTATTTAAGATTTAAAAGTTGGGGTGGCTGGGGCGCAGGGGGTTGCGTCGGAGGGGGTGCGTCGCCAACTATGTCATTGTGATTCCCCCTCCGAATTACCGAAACGGATTTTGATTTTTTTAAATATCTCGTTTAATTTACTAAGACATGGGGGGTAGTAAGTTTTCAAATTGCCACCCTGTATAACATTTTTGCAATATTACTGTTTCCTCAGGATTTCTGTTCCACTCGATGCGTATTGAGGATTGTTTCCATGGCATGATGCTACAAAATTGTGAAAAATTAGCTTCTTTAACTTTGTGTGTGAGAAATGACAATCAAAAGTAACTTTAGTATTAATCATTGAATTTAGAGGGATAAATTCTATCGAATTCAAACATGATCATACCATTTAAAATATTTAAGTCAACTATTAGTAGCGCCCGAAAAGAATAATTTAATACATTTTAATTATGGCCGTTTTGTAGTATTTTTGCAGTCATGAAGCATCGAGCATGCAATTAGAAACTCAAGAGTTTAAGAATTTGCGAGATACATTCAGAAAACCCACGATTTCTGATTCCGAAATGTATTAAAATTCCTATTGTTTTAGGCTTACCGGACAACCGATGTTATCTAGAAAATGGGGCATCTTCGGAAAATTTCTTTGTATCGGAAGATTCGCCGATAGGATCGATAATTGGACAGGTCCGTATACATGGAGATCCAAGGCCTGGAGGCACCATAGCCCTGCGTCTGCGAGAACCCGACAGTCCGATCGCCATTATTTCGAGTTCACGAAACTTAACACTACGACGAGCACTGGACAAGGAAGGCATCAGCGGGCCGTCGTCCGTCTTTATTAATCTCATATGTGAACGTCTGCACACCGTCGATCCCGGATTTGTGATTCCGATTAACATTCGCGTGACCGACGCCAATGATAACGCGCCAAAATTTATAAACGCGCCCTATGCTTTGAATATATCTGAAGTGACTGTGGTTGGCACGCGTGTGTTGCAAGGTGTTCATGCGGTCGATGATGACCAACAGGGACCGTTTTCAAGTGTGCGTTACTCGGTCCTTCCAGGAATGTACGCGAATTACTTCGATTTCGAGAACGAACTGGAGGGCACTCTGGTGCTGAGGAAGCCGTTGGACTATGAAAGTTTACGGACTTTTGATGTGGGGATTCGCGCCCAGGATCACGGTGATCCTCCAAAATCATCGGACACGACCTTAACCGTGTATGTCGTGGATGCAGACGATCAAAACCCCAGGTTTTTGGATGATCGATACAGTGCCACACTTCTAGAACCTCCACTAAAGTCGACTCCTTTAGATATAAAACCACGTGACATTAAGGCATTCGATCAAGACATTGGGATCAACGCCGCCGTTTTCTACACTTTCAACGGTGTAGGCACTGACTATTCTTACTTTAAAATTAACAGACACACCGCTAAGGTGGCCCTAGCAAAAGACCTGGCGCAGCACGACTTGCAACATCCTGCCACTTTAGTCATACGGTAGGTACCCAAGACGACGTCCTAAACGTTTATCCTATTTTAACATAGGGCCACCCAGCAGGACAACCCTGATCGTTACGCTCTAGCGACACTAACTGTGACCAGAAATGGGGGTAACTCCATACGCTTCTTGAGGCCAGTGTACAATATAAAAGCGCCCGAATCTCTTCCAGTAGGTACAACTTTGACGATATTGGCTAGCAACAGGCATGAACCTTTAAAATATTTCGTCTCCGACAAGGACGTTTTGGACGTCTTCGCCATAAACCCCAAAGGGGAACTGGCACTGAGACAACAGTTAGATTACGAGAAACGCGCCGAGTACACTTTCAGAGTGTTTGCTACTGATGGGGTTACTGTAAGTAAGTCATTCTTTTAAATGAACTAATCAGCATATTGCATTCCAGAATGATTCCAGTGTTGTCAACGTAAGCGTGGAGGATGTTAACGAATGGGAGCCACAATTTCGTTACTCGCATTATGAGTTTTTTGTCTCGGGTCGTCCGGAAGAATTAATAGGGCGCATCGAAGTAGGCGATGGGGATCTTAATGACGAAATAACTTTGACGTTAGCTGGAGCTAACGCGTCCCAGTTTTCAATCGCTCCAAATGGCGAACTGAAAATCAACGATTTGAGCGAACGATTCGGAATTGCGAAGTTAATGGTGATTGCCAGCGATAACGGAAATCCCCCACGAAAAGCCACAGTTCCGGTAATCGTGCATTTTAATCGAAAAGGAAGCATAGCCGATGAGTTGCTGGCTGGTTCCAGCATACCTAATGGAATGCTTCTTTTGGGGGGGTTCGGGGCTATCCTATTACTGCTCGCGATCGTGATCGCCATTTTGATCGTCTATATTTGCAAAGCGTGAGTTTTAGGAAAACACTGTTAGTGTGGATAAATTTGGTGTTCGTTGCAGCAAACGATCCGGGAATGATGGGCAACTTCAAGATGGTTCGGAAAAGCAAGGTCCGGATAAGGTCAGTAATCCAGTATTTGGCGACGTTTTGCGATCTCCCACAGCTTCGGCTCTTGGTGGTGTTCCAAATAGCGCTAATAGTAAATCTAAGCCAAGTCCAAAGGTACATCCGGCACCTCAACCGCCGCTTTGGCCACATTCTGCCATGTCCAACAGGGTTAAGAAATTGAGTTGGGGAGATGATAAGGTAAACACTTGTGACCTATATACTATAACGGGCGATCAAAAATGAGTTGCTGTCGAGTCGCCTTTGGAAGTTCAAGTTAAGTGCGATTTCCCTTGCAAACAAAAATTCCAAAGGTGACTCGACAGCAAGTCATTTTTGATCGCATTGTACCTAGCCTTAGCTCTTTGTGTTGATTATTTTTGAACCAATCCTCATTTAAAGAAATGTTTAGTGGATGGTGCTGTTGAATCACAGGCCGACGAACAGTTTATGTGTTACGCGTAATTTATTTAATACACATCACAGGTTACGACGGTATATTAAATACCTACATAATTAAACGGTCAAGTTTTTAACAAGCAAATACTCTTCCGTTTCTCTGCGCCGAAATATGTATACGAAACATCTGATAATTTTTTTTTTGTTTATTTATTTCTCTCTAATTGCCTGTATTTTCGCACGTCCGAGAATGTGAACAGAATAACTCGGGAAGGAAGAGACATTTTTAATTCTGTTTTGGGAATCGATATAAAATTTGATTGATCAATTTCAAAATCGTTGTTTATAATATGCATAAAAAGAAACCAAAATCCTTTATCTAGATACCTATAATGTTCATTTGTTATATTATATGACGTGAAGTTTAACTTTCTATTGAGAATGCGTCCCAATAAATAATTAAAAATCGCCCATTTTAATCATGTTTGAGTTACTTCTTTTGGTTTTAAAAACTTTCAATAGATAAGAAAATTGGCGAAAATCTGGTATGTTTCGCGATTATGATCTCTTAGAACAAAATTGGAAAGAAATCTAATTGGAGATGCAACTTTTTGAACTCTTTTTAGGTTTATTTGCGAGAAGCCGAGAAGTGTTTGACTTGAGCCTTTCTTTCATCTAATAAAGTCACACCTCGTTTCGCGTATGCCAGGGCGATTTAGCTTAATAAAAGTTAATTTTTCATGATTTTACAAGAAACCTACAGTTGAATTCACGAAAGACGAGGCCTGCGTTTGTGGACCAATTTCAAACGATTCTCTATCAGATGTCAATACATGAGCGAGAAAGAGATGGTAACAATTTGAAATATAGTTGAAAATTGGTTCACCAGGTCTTAGTAGTGACGTGGGGCTCACCTATACTGTAATAAAAATAGGTAGTACCTAGTGACGACAATTTTCAAAGAAATTGGAATATGATACACTTATTTTCTTCATGGCCGTTAAATTGCTTTTTCCGAAAAGTGCTGTTATTCGGCACTAAATTTGACATGTTGCCCCATTTCAGACAATATTGTAGCCCTTAAGATAACCGAGATCATGTGAGAAACATGAAATAGACATCCTGTATATAATAACATATGAAATTGAGCTCTAAAGGTACCTTTACACTATATCTCACATGATTTTTTATATGATATGTTATATGGTATTTACTACCAACATATTTTTCGTATGAGTCTTAATGTTTTACTTTACACTTAACAGGTTTTTCATATGACTTTAATACAAGAAGTTACGAAACCTATATATATATATTCTCTAAATTAAAATGTTCCAGGTTCCAAGATTGGGCTACTAGTTCATAAGTTACCAGCCCTTTGCATTTTCTTTCGAAATTGGTTTCTAGTCTATAACTTTTGATTGAGAAGTCTGATCGAAAAAGTACGAATTGTTTTGGATTCTACGCATCAAAATTAATAAGAAAAAGTGTTTTCCCGAGAAATTTTGGTGGAGTCGATTTTTGGAAAAAAGGAAGGTTATACACTGCCTTTTTTTGCCCCGAAAAAAAAAATTGTCTCAGATGGATCCGGAAAAAAATTTTTCTTATAGAACGTGGCCTGTAGAATCCATAATTTCAAACAGTTCCAAGATTGGGCTACTAGTTCAAAAGTTACAGCCCTTTGAATTTTCTTTCGAAATTGGTTTCTAGTCTATAACTTTTGATTGAGAAGTCTGATCGAAAAAGTACGAATTGTTTTGGATTCTACGCACCAAAATTAATAAGAAAAAGTGTTTTCCCGAGAAACTTTGGTGCAGTCGATTTTTGGAAAAAAAGAAGGTTATACACTGCCTTTTTTTGCCCCGAATAAAAAAATTCTCTCAGATCGTCCTGTGAAAAAATTTTTCTTATAGAACGTGGTCTGTAGAATCCATAATTTCAAACAGTTCCAAGATTGGGCTACTAATTCAATAGTTACAGCCCTTTGAATTTTCTTTCGAAATTGGTTTCTAGTCTATAACTTTTGATCGAGAAGTCTGATCGAAAAACTACGAATTGTTTTGGATTCTACGCACCAAAATTAATAAGAAAAAGTGTTTTCCCGAGAAATTTTGGTGCAGTCGATTTTTGGTAAAAAAGGAAGGTTATACACTGCCTTTTTTTTGCCCCGAAAAAAAAATTGTCTCAGATCGACCCGGAAAAAAATTTTTCTTATAGAACGTGGCCTGTAGAATCCATAATTTCAAACAGTTCCAAGATTGGGCTACTAGTTCAAAAGTTACAGCTAGGGAATGCAATCCCGCAGCAAAATCTCAATCCCGGTATTTGCGAGATCGTTAGATGTTAATCCCGCGGGAACCCGGTATTTGCGGGATCGTTAGAGGGGATCCCGCAAAAGTTTAAATAAATTGGCAAATAAGTAATTTTGTGCGGTTAACTTCTGTATTAAAATAAATCGCTAATTATCACAATAAGTATTCAACAAAAAAGTACCTTCAGGCTAACTTAGAACTCAAAAAAATCACCTGCAAAGCACAAATAGGTGAACTTCTAAAGTGCCTCAAAAATCATAGTACATTTTTAACGAGAAAAGTTTAACAATCATTTTAAAAATAATTTCTCCGTTATGCGTTGCATTAACAAAGCAAACAGAGTCGTCCCCTTGGTCGACATTAAGGATGAGTGTACCCTTATTTGAAAGATTACCCCAAACATTTGAAGGGTTAATTACCAATCAAGACACTATTTGACAATGTGTGTCTGAAAACACCACTACAACCAGACAACCAAATACCAATATACTCAAGTATTATATCCCAAGTGCACGCCAAATACCTGAATATTTCGCGAGTGAAATATCTCAGATCTGGTATTTGGCGTGCACGAGGGATATACGGGATGACTATTGCCCGACAAAAATTTTGCAAGATAAGAAGAACATAATGTTTGTTTCCATCCTTTCAAAGACATGGTTTTTCATAAAGCATCATGAAACCGAAAATAAGCATGGGTTCAGTTACAAATTGCCATTTTACAAATTGTAATTTTCGTTAATACAATTTGGAATTATTTATGTAAGTTTCATTTTAGGTATTTACACATAAGCAATACCCGCGGGTATTGCACAAGTGCATGAATACTCGAAGATATTTGTCTGTTGCTAGGTGATTTCTGTAATATGCATTAATATGATTGGTTGAAATTTTCTGAGGGCAATAGTCGTAAATATTTATTGCTCGATTTATTGTTTATGTAATTTATTCTTTCATTAGTAACTAATATACCTATAATCATTGATTATACACACCTATAGTCAATGATATAATCAAAAGTTTACTGGTTTACTCAAGTATTCAGCTTTTTCAGATAATTACAACAGCAAAATGCGAAAAGTAACCATAAAAGGGCAGGATCACTTGGATATTTAAAATAAGTCATGTCATTTGTCATGCAGAAATAGAAACATCCCTATTCCACGATTTACGTATTATTTCCATATTATTTCCTTATGATTTGTCTTATGACAGCCATAATACCAAAAATAGTATAGTGTTAACACAAATCAAAAATGCTTGTTACTTAACATATGACAAATCACATGAGAAGTATGATAGTGTAAAGGTACCTTAAATACAAGGGATATCGAACACTTTTATAACTGACTCTATTTTACCAAATGTAATCGCATTGGAAGAAAAAGGATCTAGTTTTTGATTCTTCTTCTTGCATCGACTGGAAATGTGCCATCTTATAATTTGCCACGGTTTTGGATCTAGTGATCTCGAATGAACTCTTGCTATTCAAAAAAGAATGCAGCGAGAAAAATGCAAATATAAAATTTGTTCTCGTGAGTAAAAAAATGTTTTTTAATTTCCAGATCGACGGCGAAATTAACACGGAAAACACCTTCGAAGCGCCACAAAGATTAAATGATAACACGAATCTAACGGTATACTTTTAACAAGAGTTGTAATTACATATAACAATTGTACAGTGCTTTAACTAGGTAGGTTGCTATATAAAGAATTATTTATGTACGTATTTGTTATTAAATAAACAAAAATCTAATTCACTAAGCTTTTCTTGTAAGTCAACATACTAATTAACAAAAAATGTGCGCGACGCGATCAAATGGGAAAAGGGGTACAGGAAGAAGAGACGCGTGGGAACTCCCAGTGGCGTAGAAAGGAAAAGTAGGTCAGGATGTCATCAAACTCCTTAACGGAACAAGCGTGTTAATGTAAAACTAATGCTTTTGGTGAAACAACAAAAGAACAAAAATAAGAGACTTATCAGTGAGGCATCATCCGAAATATCGCTCTTTTACAATTAAGAAATTCCCACACAAAAGAAAAACGCGATTTGAATATTAAGACCACTAAAAGAGAGAGTTGCCGATTATGACTAATTAACAGTCGATCCACTTAAGAAGACCGTTTAGTTTAAACAAAACAGCGGGCGGAATCGGTACAATGCATTTAAAACTGCTGATAATCACCCTCATAGCGTACAACTCCAATTGCGTTTACCTAAACTCATCAAAACCAACAGAAAATAATCCAGCGAAATGGACTGAAAGTGAAATATGGGGTCCAATTTTCGAGGATTGGATTTTAACAAAAAATCGCCGGTAAGTGGTCATTAACAGGCAAGTACTTATAGGCAGTAAATTGCGATTGTAGATCTAGTCGTGTTACTCATTTGATTCCCATTCAAAGCGTTTACGAAAATGATACAAGTATCATTGATAGATCAGACGAAGAAAAGGAAAGTAAAATTGCGTCAAACTTGAAGATTGTCAATTCTAATCCCGTACGTAATAAACCCCCACAGAGGCAGGTCACCGAAACTGAAATGTACCTGCTGAACGCAATCGAGAAGATGGTTTACAAAGTCGATTTTATGGAAAAACGGTTGAGGCGCGTAGAGCAAATGCTTTACTTTGTAATGGCTGGGAACAAAGTGGATCAAGGTATAGGTTTGCCGCTGGGTTACCCATAATAACATGTTTGGTGTTGCAGAACCCTGCGCTGACAATTTTAATAGAGCAGGACAGAATTGCTACCTGTTCGCTGGAACAGCAGGACGGGAATTAGACTGGAAGGCTGCCAGTAAACAATGCAACAAGTATGGGGCGGCGCTAGCCGAAATGGAAACCATCGAGGAAAATCAGGATGTCATCAGTTACATTCAAAGTCAGGACCATTTGCGAGGTCGAGAGTATTGGACGGGAGGTTTGAATCCGGGATTGCTGTGGATTTGGAGTAACAGTGCCAGACCAATTAAAACCCCAACCGCTCCCAATAAACAGGACGCGGATCCAGGAAGTCACATTCCTGGCAATGGCCGATGCCTTAGGCTAGCCTATAATCCTAGCTTACGCAGTTATGGGTACAAGGGTACAGATTGTTCCACTAGATACAGTTATATATGCGAAATTGCGGAAAACTCCGCAACTAACGAATTGCGAAGATTGGGACGTAGTCGAAAAATTATTGATGAAATGTGATATATATGTTATTAATTATTATTTAATTGATTATTGTATTTATATAGGATAAGTTGGGAATATCATGTTACCTTAATTTTAGTAAGTACCTAATGTTTTAATTGTCTTGATGAATTTCGCCATGTTTTATCCATGTTCTTAGCATGTCCTGAATGGCAAAATTTAGACCGCACCCTGTAGACGCATAGCTACCCCAAAATCAACAATTTTGCAAATAACTGTAAACTAGAAGAAAACCGACCAAAATTTACCACCCATCTCCTTATTTATAAGCATTGCTTCCATTTGGGAATGGCGAATTTTAAGTGATGGTTTCTTATGCTCGAATTTTTAGACATGAAGCTAAAGTTTTATTGCAGGTCATAATAATGGTAACGGTAAGATGGCAATAGCGGTGTTCGTGATGGTATGCTTTTCACAATAATCGTTTTTGCAGACGTTAGGTGTGAGGTTCCATAGACAAGAAAATTTATATGTTCCATCCAACCTCAACATCTTACGTTACTATTGCTACATTAACATTAGCATGATTGCGATAGACGTTTTACACCAACAAACATTAGGTTTTTTTAATTTAATGAAAATTTGAAAAATCGACATTGGTTTTTCTTCATTAACCCCCAAACTTTATTTTCTGAACTCTCCACTCTCTTCGAGTCGACTTCTTTTGACTATCCAAAAATAAGGATTTCGCTAAACTGTTTGCGTGCACCACAATATTGCTTCAATATGACCCAACTGTAATTACCTTGTTTAAGGATGGTGGATATCTATAATTCAATGCTACCTATTCTAAATTGAAATAGTTCAACCAGTTGGGAACTCCCTCATACAGTGGCGTATTTACGGGGGGGATGAAGGGGATATATCCCCTCCCCCCCAAGAAGAATTGAGTTATCATCATAGCTATTAGGTATTTAGGTAATACTCCGCTCCGCCCACTTTAAAATAAAGGCAATAATATACAGGTATATATAGAGAGCAATTTTGGTTTTGGTTAAAGTCTAAAGTCACTAAAATCTAAATATTCTGTAGTATTCCGTATTCACTATTCAGTGACTGATTAGTGTTGACAGTCAACGATTTGGCTATTCGGCATCGATTCGCTACATTGATGCCCAAAATAACAAATAGGTATCAGGTACTTAGTACTGCTACTGCGGTGAGGTACCTGCGTCCTGCCTTTCACGAAATGACGAAAATAAGAATTTTAAATTTTAAAAACAGGAATTTTTTTGCCCATAACTTTTGATGGAGACGTCTAATCGAAAAAGTACCAATCGTTTTGGATTCTACGCACCCAAATTAATAAGAAAAGGTTATTTCCCGAGAAATTTTGGTGCAGTCGATTTTTGGTAAAAAAGGGAGGTAATAACTGCCTTTTTTTGCCCAGAAAAAAAAATTGTCTCAGATCGACCGGAAAAACATATTTTCTTATAGAATGTGGCCTGTAGAATCCATAATTTTAAACAGTTCCAAGATCGGACTACTAGATCAAAAGTTACAGCCCTTTGAATTTTTTGTCGAAATTGGTTTTTTGCCCATAAATGTACGTATTATTCAAAGTTTTCGTTGACTAATTAAAGCAAAAGCAATAAAGGGGCCTGTCAGCAGTAAGAAATAAAATACCGTTCTAATTTAATCTTTTTCGCCTGTACAATAATAAATAGATAAATGACTACCAGCATCAGCAACCTGCAACCCAATTTCTATTTCTTATCCCCCCCCTTCTAGTACGCACTGGGTGACTGTATGTGCCACGAACTTGTTTAATCCCCCCCCAGAATAAATTTCTACGTACGCCACTGCCCTCATACTACTGAGTTTACTTTAATAATTAATAACTCTTATTTATGTAGAGTATTTAGTAGAAATGCGGGGGTAGATATGGGGGTAGGTATATCGTATATGTATGTATGTCGGTAGGTAAATGTCTGAAGCCAAACCTTTGAATAAAATGCTCCAAACCTTATGAATTTTCTGTACCGAATTGACCTCTGAACAATTTTTTACTAGTTACTTATAAGTCTGCTAAAACTCTTTGAAATCGTTTTGTTCGCCTTATATATATTTAAAGCAAAAGTTTCTTAAAAAGTTAGATTGCGACTATTTCATTGTATAGCTATAGGACACCAAAAGGTTTTTTCAGTCCTTTATAAAGGGAGATGTCCGGAAATGTAATAAAGGGACGGACAGCGATATAGTGCTAGTATGGTATTACAAATTAATTTAGGATTCAGAAACAATTTAATTTGGAAATTTTACCCATATTTTCCCAAATAAAATCGCCCATACTTTATACAGACATTTACGCAATTTCTTCCTAATATTTCAATGGTATAGGCAATAGTGACATTCGTATACCTACATGCATATTAATGCTAATAAAAAAAATAGAGTACCTAATACCTATTGTTCTTCCCATGGAATAAACTTGTATAATATACCTAAGCTCTTTGATATAAGCAAAATCAACAAATCACAATACAGTGAGACTATTAAAACCGCAGAATACAGAGTAGGTACCTATATAATATATTCCATGCTGAAACGCATATATTGGAAAATATGGGACTCCCAATGTGTTACAATAATCAAAAACTTTTGGAAAACAAAACATGTAGGTAATCAGAAAACCGAATTTTTCCACGAATAAGTATGCAATGACGTCAAGCGGGGCTTTATTGCAGTATCCGCAAATTTAAAAATAGTTGTCTTTAAAATTCTAAAGCAATTTTTTTATTTTGAGTTTTTTTCAGTTAAAATAATAGTGCTAGTATAAAATTGTTGTTGTAAGATTTGCCATTCCAGTTTTATATTAAAAGACTGGGCAATTTTTGTAATTGAGGTACCGCCTCTCAAATACATTTTTTTTTATTTAAATAAAAGTTCATGTACCTACCTACAATTGTGTAGGAAGGAAAATTGTTTTTCAGGTATTTTATTACAGCTTGAAGTTACCTCTTGCCGCTCTAGTGCGTCTGTTTCACAACAACCAACGAATTTTTGCCTTTTCAAAAAAAATTCCAATTTCATACCTGTTCCTTTGTAGTATTTAGTATATGACGAAAAATCGTGTCCATTGTACAATTAACACCAACCATAATTAAGTTTTATGCACTGCAGTTAATTAAAATCGCGAAAATTAGTCAAATGAAACGCTACGATATCGGTACAATACACCCCGAAAGACGATCTCTACACAACTGATGACCAACAAATTCAAAATTACGTGTTATCACCTGACACTCGTTTTCTATAAGTATATTCAATAATCGTTTATTACTCACCTTTTCGGTATTAATAGGCAGACATGTGCTTCAAATAAGAAGAAAACAAATCCTTGAACGAAAAGAAATTTGATCTACTACAATAAATTGTTCACGCAGTGCATGTCGACAGTTTCCAAATTTCAAAAAAGTTTTTCGGGAATGGGAAAACGCTGCGGGTTCGCATTTTGGCGAATTACAAAAAAAAGGTGTTTGGACATTACGATTTACCTACGGACTCAAAGTGATCTCGGCAGATGCCTTTTTATAATTTCAATGATAATAAAAATTGCATAATAAGAACACAAGATTATTTTGATTTTTAATTTTGAACACAATTAGTCTTTTCAGAATACGAACGGTATCCAAATTGCTTATGAACAGTTTGTGTCTGTTAATTAAAAAAAATACATTTCAATCCACTTTGGAGTAACCCAAAGAAATAGGTTTCTGGTTTGAAGGCTATTTTGTGTGAACTCAAAAAGTTCTGCTTCTGAAGAGAAAGATATAGATATACTTTAAAGGTTATCTTTGTAAAACTTTCATATGACCCTAGCCCTACAGTACTATCGTGTTTGCATTGACTATATTTTCTACCCAATCAAATTGATCACCCTTTTTTACAAACGCCAAGCTTTCCAGTTTGCACAATTATCGAAGTTTGAGTCTACACCAGATAATGTGAAGAAGACATATTCAGCTTTCGAAGCAGAACTTCGAATTTTCACCCTGAAACGTTCGCTCTAAAATGTTTATAAAAAAACATTGCGTGTATGTACTTTGTGTGTGTGTGTGTGTCCCTAAAATTTCTCAACCCTGTCATAATCCCCTTTCAATCCTACCATATACTCATATTTTTTCTGTTACCATTCTTGCTGCCAACTCCATTCTCGCCTTGTCAATCTCTTTTTGCCTCTCAATCCATTCGCAATTTCAGTGTACCGCATACTCTTCACTCTCACATCGTCAGTTGCATTCTTTAACCTTTTTATTTACTCCCTAAGTAACTTTCCTCCATTCCTAATCTATTACATTTTTGAAATTTTGTTGATCATATTCATTTTGCGTAGTAATAGTGTGAACAAATGCTGTATTTCTTTCTCTAAAAAAAACGTATTTAGACTTTTGCTCTAAAGTAATTAGGGGAGCTTGACTATAAAGAAATTACATTGAAATCCCTATGCTGCGTCGCGCTAGGCACCACCCTGTATAGTTATCGATATTTTTATAACACGGCAACATCGCAGCGCCCCATAAAGAAATTTCTAGAAATTGACACATAACAGCTGATCAATTGTTTTTTATCTAAACGTCAAAATTGTGATGTGATGCAATAAATCAGACGCAATAAAGCACCAAGTTGCATAAATAAAAGGTGGCAGCTGAGAGCTCCAAAATATTCTACAATGGACTTCTACAACTCGGTAAAAAAGTTTCTGGGACTTCCCGTTCAGAAAGCTCCCGAATCTTCCATAGAGAAAAGGTAAAGTTTTTAAAACAGGAAATATGATCTAACGCCGCTTTTAGGAACGATGCACCTTGTTGTACACCACACAATGAGGACTACGAGAAATTTGGGTTCAACATATTTTCAAATCCCGTGGAGATGCATCAGTATTTCGAACGTCAAATGAACGAAATTATGAAGAGCTTCGGTATGTTCAGCGGTGACGGGCCGTTCTCTGGTAACGCTGATGATGAATTTTTTGGTGGATTTAAAGATCCATCTTTCAAGGGTCCTTTTAGTTTCGGTAAGTGTATTTCGTACTTTCTTGATTTTAAAAACGTTCATTTTTAGGGTTCTCGGAGTTTCCCAACGAGAAAGAATTGCAGCATCATGATGAACCACAGGAAGGTAATTTGCGAGATAGATTTTTGAAACGTGGATATCAGACTCCTAGAAGAAACCCACAGGAGAACACGGATTCTGATCTTGATAAAGAGTGAGATTATATCATTTTTATTGTGGTGTTTAAAACATGTTTTAGATTTAAAGCGGATGACTTAGATCGAATGCTTGTGCCCAAAGTGCCCCAGCAACCACAACGTAATTTCTTTTTTGGCCGAAGCATGAGTAGCAGAACAATTCGTAATTCGGATGGAGTATGTACTTTACTTCCATTGGAACCTACTCTAACTGTATTTTTTAGACTTACGAAACTCACAAAACGGTCACCGATCAAGATGGTAATCAGGAAGTTACAATTACACGTAAACAAGGAGACAAGGAGTACACCATAGTTACCAAGACTGATAAAAATGGAGTTGCAGAAGTTACAGAGAATTTTGTAAATTTAGATGAATCCCAAAAGGATAGTTTCCTGAAGAATGACGCACCGAAACCAATTCTTGATACGGATGTTGACGATTCGCTTTTTTCCAAGTTTTTTTAAACGAGACTAAATTCTTACAATGTAACTTTATAGTATTACAAAGATAGCAAATAGATTAAAATTATTCAAATGCAAAATTTGTTAATTTGTACCGTTATAATATATTTATTTTCTTATCTATTTAATTAAATATATCCGAGAGCGAGTTAAGGTTTGCTCAAAAAAGAAAACCCAATTTCTGGAGGTTTTCAACCGGTTTAAAGGTAAGAAGATAGTATTTGTGAGGATAAGACAATTCATTCAAGAAAAGAGAAAGATTTCATAAACAAGTAAATTACAAAACGATGATTGCCATTCATGAATGAGGGGTTATCGCGACTGATATCCACTTTGTTTAAAAATTGATTTTAACTGATAGATCTGTAAAGTGGGAGTAGGTACAGATGAAAGGTAAAAATTTAAAACGAAGACAGATTTTAGCTTAGTACAAGAGGACCAGATCTTTCGAAGATGACAAAATGTGTCATTTTGTACAATTAGAATATATTTATTTTCTCAGTATCTACTTAATTACTATAAAACTTAAATAATCCACATTAGTGTTTCGGTTCATAAACAAATCTCAACCCACAATATCCACATGCATGATTCCCAGGTTGATCCTAGAAAAACAAACTAGACGGCGAAATATTAATGGGTAAGTTACCAAATTGATGTAGACTTTGGGATGGCCCATAGGCCCGCCACCTCCATTGCACCAAACGACACGTTCGTGACTAGGAGTCGGTGGAACTTCATCTATTAACTTGACGGCGAAATTTGGATTAACCTGCTTCGATTTATTTACAAATCTAGACAGCCTGTAGTCATCGGATTTCCATTGCTGTAAAGACAAGCTTAACCGAGTTGCAGCATGTTGCGTTACGTACCTGGCCGGTGTGCGTAACTTGGTCTTCATTAATTGCTGCTGATACACATCTAATAGGATTTATATTCCCTTTCGAATTTGCATTATTAAGCAGCGATTTTCTGCACAAATTAATTAAATTTAATCTAGACATCTTTGGTGTTGTTTTACATAATAATTGTCAAAATTTTAAAATTTAGCGCCACCTACTGGTATAAATTAATTGAAACGTATACATGTGTCCCAAAAATTGTGATAACTTGAGCAAACGAGATATTTATTACATATTTATAATAACAGAGTTGTTATAATACCATTTTTTATTCATTTATAAACAAATAGGATCTTAACTGAAACAATGAATATTGATTTCAAATTCATTCAGCTACCGCCACCTATTATGTTTTATTTAGCGCAATGTACACATAACCTAAGATAAACAATTCCGACTAATTTCAATTTTAAATTGTAATTTCTCACATGGCCTTTATTTTAAGATTAATTTTAAGTGCGTTGATATTTGCGAAAATATTCTGTCATGAAATAGACCCCTTAGGTTATATTGTATACTGCCCCTGCATGGGTGAGTTTTCACAATTTAGTTACAAAGTTTAAATGGTGATATGTTCAGGTCGTTTTGGCAACCAAGCTGATCACTTCCTTGGCGTACTTGGCTTCGCTCGTGCTTTGAATCGTACCTTAGTGTTACCGCCATGGGTTGAATATCGTTACGGAGAGTCCCGTTCGATTCAAGTTCCCTTCGACAACTACTTCCAAACTGCTCCTTTATTGGACTATCACAAAGTTATAACAATGGAAAAGTTCATGACTGATGTGGCTCCATCGGAATGGCCGTCAGAGAAACGAATCTCGTTCTGTTATATGAGTCGAGGTTTGTCCTGTTGTGAGGTAGACAGTTTTCATGTGAAATGTGTGCAGGTGACGGAGATAGCTGTAATGCGAAGGAAGGTAACCCCTTTGGACCATTTTGGGACACTTTCAATGTAGATTTTGTTGGCTCAGAGTTTTACGGTCCTTTGCACTATGATACTCATCACCACGATATGGCAAAGTCATGGAATCAGCAGTACCCACCTGCAATATGGCCTGTTTTAGCGTTTACAGGTATGATATTAAATTATAAATGCCAATGGAATATTTCAAATATCATATACTTTTCTGTTGAGCTTCATTGTCATGTGAAAATTAAAATTTGGTGACCTATTGGGCGTCTTAGGCTATTGTTCGTTACAAATAAACTGCCACTACATAAATGCAAAAAATCTCTTTTGTTAGTTTAACAAGCATAATTAAGTTTATTCCTCAGAATTAATTATCAGTCTGATATTTCAAATATTTCCAGAATAATTACTAAAATGGTGTCCCATAGAAATAAAATAGTTGTCCACTTTAGGTGCACCTGCCAGTTTTCCAGTGCAGCACGAGAACTTAGGATTGCAAAGGTATCTTGTATGGTCTGAGCCGATTATGGCAAAGGTGGACGAGTTTATCAAGAATGTGTTACCAAAAGGCGCCTTTATCGGGATACATTTGCGAAATGGCATCGATTGGGTACGTGCCTGCGAGCACATACCGCAGAGCCCCAACCTGTTCGCCGCCCCTCAATGTTTGGGATATCGCAATGAGAAAGGAAAGGCAACGATGGAAATGTGCTTCCCCAGTCACGAAACTATAGTCAGACAGTTGAAGCGTGTAATCAAGAATTATAATAACGCGGAGAATCACAAGAAGAACCCGATAGTGTCTTTATTTGTAGCTAGTGACAATAATCATATGATTGACGAATTAACTAATGCTTTAAAACGAATGAATGTGTCAGTATTTAAGTATAAACGGAACGATCCCCATGTCGATTTGGCGATCTTAGGACAGTCTAATTTTTTTGTTGGTAACTGCGTGTCATCGTATAGCGCTTTTGTCAAGCGCGAACGAGACGTTAAGGGCTATCCCTCGGCTTTTTGGGGATATCCCATTGAAAAATCCACGCTATCCTCGCACGACGAATTGTGATGTTAGGCAACACATCATACGCGAAATTCTGCCGCCAGACGCTTGGGGCATGTGAAACTGCACGTAAGTTATTTCTGGAAATTCCCATTAGGTAATTGTAATTAGGACAATATTGTCTTTTATTTATTTATTAAAGCGAACTTTTGTAATTTGTGTTTGAAATTTATTCCCAATAAATGATGGAATTATAAGCGTCACAATCAAACAAAGAAATCTGGAGTGCCTGCGTACGCAAGATGTATTTTTGTGACATCAACTTCCGCTTTTAATAAGCGTTAACGTTGAAGTTAATAGAGGCTATAATAAAATGATTTTCCTAAGGATAATGAGCCGAAAAGGTTCTGTACGTATCGACTAATCGCCCACGGGAATTTGCCGATCGGTTCGGAGCGCGGCGCGCAGTTCTCGGCAAGGACGCGCGCTGATTGGTTTGAGACACGTTGAAAGTAGGTTGTGACGTCACCTTATAAAGCTATAAGTATATGTGGCGGGATTATTCTCCCCATTTTAGTCGAGGAATTCGCGTTGGCTGTGTTGAGGGTGTGTTGCACGAGTTTAACCTGTAGAGTGGAATTTTTCAAGAACTATTCGTAGTGACATGGCAACTGAAGCGCAGAGATTAATAGGAATTTCGCTATCGAAAATTGCGCAATCACGTGCGAATCGCGGTGGTGTGAGTTTGCATAAAAATTTGTTGGTGGCGACCGTTCTGCAAAAGGCGCGCTATGTCTTCATGGAGGAGGCGTACAATATGGTACATTACCAGGTGCAGGCGCCCGCGCCGCCCATCCAGCAGCGTCGCGCGATTCCTGAAGACAACCTCGTCGGTTTGACCGCCGAAGAGGCGGGAATTGAACCACTTCGCATCGCCGAGGACGTTCAAGAAGCGTCAACAAGTGAAAGTTCCCTACCGGAGTTTCTACAACCTTGCGTAAGATGCACCGAGAGTCAAGATAAAGAAAACCAACCGCCAACTTATCACAGTTCCACGGAGTTGACGTATCTTGACCTGGATAAAAGTTCGAACGTGTTAAGGGAGCGCAGCAATAGCGGCCTGAAGAGGAGACGCGCCGTAGCTGAATGGGAAACTGAAGAAGCCGTACAATCAATTTTACCCAAACGTAGTAAAAGTGACGATGAAGACGACAGCGTGTTCCTTGACGACGCCACCATCCTCTCCGATGTCGTTTCGAAGGAGGTTGAAGCGGAAAGGGCGCAGACGACACCCCCAGGATCCGCGATGGAAATCGACAGAATTACGTCCCTAGTATCAATATTCAGTTTCGGAATGAGTGAAGGTGGTGGTAGTAAATTAAACAGATCCGTTTCAACGCCAGATTTATGTTCGGCCCAAGCAAAAGACTCAGATGACTCCCTACAACAGAGACCTTACCTCGCTATGACCGTATAACCGCCATAAATTAGTTCAAACTTGGACCATAAACGTGATGTGATCTCGTCAACAACGAAGTTGAATCGCCCTTGCTGAACACGAGTTGTTACTTAATCTACAATTGTTAAACATTGTGATATTGCGGCTCCATCTAATTTTTAATTTTTTTGTTTTTATATAAAGCTCATGTGATAGACAAAAAACGTATATTTATGTGAGCGCAAACGTTTTTTTGTGTCGAGGATTGAAGGAAAGAAATCGCCGTTAATTGTTACCCTTCCGTTTCTCACGACCCCCTCTATTCAACAACCCTCTTTGCATACATTCCAGTTTGAACGCACCTCGCAGGTAAATTTATTAAAATTACCAACGATTTCTTTCACAAATCCGAGACGCGATTTCTGTATATAATATTAGCCCTGTTTTAAGGGCCTGTACATTTTATTTTACATTATAATCATTATACGATAAAAGATTGTACATTCATAAATAAATTTTTAATCGTAATTTTTCTTGTTTGTCATTACTTAGAAAATCGATTTGTACAAGTTACAAGCGGTTTCTAAAAGCAGCACGTACCTACCTAATGTTTTACAAGTAAGTATTGCAAGAAGGGTAAAGCAAGGACGCGGCCCAAAATAATTACACCATTTCCACGTCTGCACAGGAAGCTTGCATCCTAAACTGCACCTGCAATTTCCTGTAATGCAAATCGATGGATGTTTTCAGCTTTGAAAAACCTAAGTACCTACTTCATAAAGGAAAAGTCCTTTGAGTGAAGGAAGTGTAGTATCGTTATAAACCATCATTTCTTAGCCATCGTGGAAGATGGGTGGGTAGGTGACCGATACAATCGATGTCTGTAGCGAAAGGTGATTATGATCAGTAAAGCGGTGCACATTTGTAAATCAGGTACTTAACGTCCTCATCGTACCAATAGAAATGACATTTGAAAGGTTTCTGAAAATATAACGCCATTAGGGCATTTCCATGTATAATGTAAGGTGTTAGTCCCAAATCTGAGGAGGATTTGCATGGAAGGTCTTCCACGCCATTTACTCGACGAAGAGTTCCAATAAACCAAAGAAGTCTTAAGAAACTCGAAACGTCAGTAGGTCAATGATTTGGTACAAGCATCAGAAGTTTAAGAAAATGAATCTGATTATGGATACAACTTAATAAGGAAACGGAAACGTTGATAAGTCCTAAGTAATCAAAGAGAAAGATAGTTTCAAGCGGTTGTATCAATATGTGCATTGGAGAAGTTTAAATCGAGCTGCTTCCGCCCTTCGAAATTAACGAAACGGTACCCTAAACACTCGGAAAGATGACTCGATGACTGCTCCACTTTGAAAAACTATACTAGGTTAGGTATATCAAAATAACCGAAGAAGGCGCGGTAAAGAAACAGTAAAAACTGAAAGAAATGGACGATCGAATCACGGACAAAGCAATCTGAAGAACTCTTAACATTTTAAAGAAACTGAGGAAGAACAGGAAATCGTAGGAACATACAAAGTACCTAAGACGGTTTGCAATCAAGAGTGCCGCGAGTTGGAAATTGCGTGTTGTACCTAATTCTAAATTTTTAATCGTGAATGGATCGATGGAATGTTTTTTATAGACACCCTGTAGACGCTTTCTCCGAGATAGGCCACATTACATAAGCAAAAATTGCATTAACAAACTAAACATTGTAAGTCTAAATATTTACACAGAGCACAGACAGACAAATATTTGATAGTGAGTGATATACGTAAAACGGAGTACTTCAGGAGAACCTACTTTTGCCAGACGAGAAACGTAGGTACCAGGTGCAAATCCAAGGATTTTATTCGGTGAAAAGGTATAGCCCTAGCACAATAAAATGCGATAAACCGTGCGTGAATACTTCGTTATTGAAATAGACCATCACTGTTGGGTACGATAATGGTTTAAGTACCTATTTCATTGATTCGAAACCTGTAGTACATAAGTTGGTGGCAAATTTTGAAGAAATTCACACTTGTAGCAGTACTCGAGCAATTTGCAATAAAACTTGAGTATCATCAGTTTCATCCATTTCCAATATCCAACAGCGTGATGATAATTATCTAGAAGAGAATCAAATTTTGCGAACCTGTGATGGCTACTCAACTTGCTTAAATCAGCATCGGGAGATAAATAAACTAAACTGAAGTGATAGTTAAATTCAATTTTGGGGTCGACGACCGACCTACCGATATCTCATTTGATATACAAACTACTTTGGGATTCATTCAAAATAAAAAATGTATCAAATTTTGTATTGACGTTTTTTTGTCCTTAAAAATACGCAATACAGGTTGTCTATTGATTTCCCCTGTCTCGGAAAAAATCCGGTCGCTAGGAAATTGGATATCCGAGTAATGCAACGTGTAATTGCAACAAAACACAATTTTTCAAAAAAATTCATTTGTAACTCTTGGATGGTTAACGAAAAACTGGTTATATTTAAAATTACTCGAATATCTAGAAAAACTCGTCGGGGGACGGTAATAAGAGGTCCTTGGATATGGTTTTTCACTTTATCATAATGCTGTTTGATAAGGTGAGTTTTGTCATCGTTCGACTTTTCAAAAACGACGCACATAATGAACAAAGAGCATTGACAACTAGAGCCACAAACGGTCAAAAATTCTCAAATTTTAGCATTTTATTCACTAACTTTTGCTACCATACCAATATAACACTACGCGTAATACGAGGCATAATATATAGATCAGACAAGGAGACTATCTATATCTTTATATCATAGTTAGGACATGAATTTAATTCAAACAGAAATTAATAAAAAAATTAAATTACATTTCGTAAATTGAATTAATTGCCTCCAGTAAAAGAGAATTGGATGACCTCTCTCTTGGCGTGTCTTCCATATCCCACATGCCTCTTGTTCTATATTGAATAAGTCCCTTCCTGAAATGAATAGCGGGAGTACTAAGAGGTGCTAATGATTCTGGATAAATGCAAATAATGGGGGGGGGGTCTGGTTACCCCCCATCTAACAATACCCTCCAGTAAGAGATAATGCGGTATGGAATACCCCCAGCCAACAATACCCACCATTAAAAGAAAATTCGATTATTCTTTCACTACAATCATCATTACCATAATAAAATCGTCATTCCACTCAGACTCCCCGGTACTACATTCCTCTACATATCTACTGTTAAGCCCCATGGACAAACGTGAAACTTTTAGAAAAGACCATAGAATATTCCTCTCTTGAAGTGTGTTCCTGTTCCATGACCCACATGTCCCGTTTTACATTGAATGGTCCCTTCTAGAAACTTATGGTATAGGTACTAGCTTTCTTTATTCATTTACTAGCTTCTCTGGAAATTACTGTGTAAAGGCTAATTGCATATTGTGAAATGTAAAAAGGATCCTTTTTGAATGTTGAAGTAAGTCCTTTCTAAGGACTTGGGACTTTGTATTTAGAAATTGCATTTTAATTTGTGAATTAATTCCTTTTTTTAGTAGGGCTTTTGGAAATGATGCCTTCGAGATACTACTGCTAAGTACCTACATATTTATTGTTATTCACAGGGTAATGGCCTCCATTGTAGTGGTTTATTTCTGCAAGTTTCTAACACCTATTTAAACCATGCCACAAGAGTAGGCATAAAATCCCCTAAAACTGGAATGTACTGGTATAGTTATGTCTATTGGTTGCAAAATAAGCAGTTTTACGAATATATTGCCAATGTACTTCTTATGTCGTAGTAAAAATAATGGTACCGCACCGTTGCATATTTATATTATTTTTAGTTTGACTGACTGACTGTAGGTACAGCATTATTTAACCATAACAAAAGGACGGGAAAAAAACCCATGAGGCAATAATAATCAGTAATAAACGTATTTTAATACAAAGAAAAACTCAACAGAAGATAAAACATGATGTCAAGTGTAGGTATAAATATAATCTTCTATCTTAACTTGCACCAAATATTTTTATTTCTTATTGCATTTGAAAAAGTATACCTCCGATTTCAAGTAAGATATGTATATCAGAATGAAGATGAACTCTTGATGAAGATAAAAAAATTAAAACCAATGGTACACTTTTACCAGAAAATATATTATCTTACTTTTCTTTGGTTTCCAACATTTTCATGGATCAATCTTTATGCAGGGTGGGCCATTAGTGCGTTGATGGAAGATTGTGGGTTTATTATAACGCACATATTTAAAATTCATTGTCGGGGCATGCCGAAGGACTTGTTTGTGTACAAAGAAATCACTTCGTCAATTTTCAAAATTTCCATCGAATGTATGCAGATAAAACGATCTGTAACAGACTAGCAAACACCATAAAGAACAAACTAAAATTGTTAAAACAAGAAACTTTTCAACACTACTTAACTTCACTGTCCAGTGCAGACAACAGCATCTGGAAAATTTCTAAAGCAAATAAAAGACCACAGGCTGTAAATCCACCGTTAAGAAAACCAAATAATGAATGGGCCAGAACAGATCAAGATAAGGCTGATCTATTCGCCGAGCACTTTGCTGAAGTCTTCACTCCTTATTCTGATGTGCCCGATATCGAGGTAGAAGCCTTCCTCCAGACGCCATTACAAATGTCGCTACCTGTTAAAAGCTTCACTTATACTGAAGTGCTTGAAGAAATACAGCATCTAAATATAAAGAAATCACCTGGATACGACCTAATTACGGCCAAGGTGCTTAGAGAATTGCCCAAAAGCAGCATAATTTTTCTAAGAAATCTGTTCAATTCCATCTTACGTCTTCACTACTGGCCATTATTGTTAAAATTCGCACAAGTCATTGTAATATTAAAACCTGGCAAACCTGCTGAAAGTGTTACATCGTACCGGCCAATAAGTTTACTGCCGCTATTGTCTAAACTCCTAGAGAAGCTTGTAATCAAAAGAATGTACGATTACGATATACTGGAACATTGTATACCAGACCACCAATTTGGTTTTAGGAAGTACCATTCTACGATACAACAATGCCATAGAGTTGTAAATATTATCAACACTGCTTTCGATTCCAAATCCTATTGTCCTGCAGTATTTATAGACATTAAACAAGCGTTTGATAAGGTATGGCATGATGGCCTTTTATACAAGCTAAAAAATATTCTGCCAAGTGAATACTACCTTCTATTCAAATCGTACCTGTCAAATCGATACTTCCAAATAAAATACGGCCAACAATATTCTGACCTCCGACCGAT